AATTCTATATATAACTTAATATATTTAACTTATATATTATATAAAAGTAATTAAGTATTATTTATCTTATTTAATTTTATTAAGTTAAAATTAGCTAATTACCTTAATTAAAATATTATTATATATATTATATTTTATTTATTTATTTATTATATATTAATATTTATAGCTAAGGATTATTCTAAGGGGTATTTTAAAGAGCTTATTATATTTATTAATTAATTATCTAAGATATTATAATACTAAGACTAATACTAGAATTACTAATAATTATTTCCTAAGTAAAAGTCTTATATATAATAAGAGAGAAGAAAATATTAATACCTTTATTTTTATTTAAGAGGTCTAATATTATATATATATATAGCTTTAAGTACTTCTTAAATTACTTATTTTATTAAAACCTAATATATAAAGATTAATTATATATTTATTTATTTTAACCTTAAGCTTATCTTACTTAATAAATATAAAATTATTAGGTATATTATCCTTAAATAAAATAATAGCCTTAATATAAGCTAATATAATAATATATTACTTAGTAAGAGAGGTAAAGGTAATATAATTAAGTAATAAAATTATCTAGGTAATATATAATTAAAAAAAAAATAAACTTATTAAAGGTTATAAATATAATTAATATTAAAATAGCTATAATATTAATTAGAGATATTATATATAGATTTATAATATAATTTTTTATATTTTTTATTAATTACCTTATAAATATAATTCTCGCAAAGAAGGTTAAAAGGGATAAAGGTCTAACTAAAAGGAGGATTTTATATAATATAGTATATAATAAGGCTAAAATTATTATTACTAATAGCTAATATAATAGTCTTAGTTTTCTTAGTATTTTATTTAATAAGTATTAATAAAAGAAAAAAGTAAAATATTACTTAAATTTATTAATTTAATATAATAGCCCTAGGAGCTACTAATAGGTCACTTCTTAGCTATAATAGCCTTACTAAGAGTAAGAATAGCTTATTTTAAGGCTATAGTAATTTATTTCTAGGTAATATAAATAATAAGAGCCTATAAAGCCTTATAAGTATAAAAAAAAAATAAAAAAAATAAAAAAAATAAAAGAAAAATATATATATTATACTATTATTATTATTATTATTATTATTTAAAGAGAAAAAAAAAATTATTAATATAAAATATTAAAAATAAAAATATTAAATTATAATAAAGCTTTTATTACTTTATAAAGCACTAAAATAAGTAATATGTAATATATTTATATTTATAATAACTCTTTAAGTTCTTCTTTTATTATTTATTATTTTTAAGTATTTCCCTTATTTCTTTTATTTAATGCCTTTAAGGCTATTTATATTTCTAATTAGGAATATTTTAATAGCTTAATTAATGCCTTAAAATAGGGGGTATATTATATAATACCTTACCCTAATTAGTCGCATATAGGCTGCCTAATAGCCCGCTCGGTTATATAAATAGCCGGCTTTCTATTACTTCCCTTTATAGAAAATAAGGCTCTTTATTATCCTCTTTTATATGCTAAAGGCGGTATAAAATAGCTGTTTGTAACAAGGAGGTTAGAGTTGAAACCTAGGTAGAGAGAGATTGTAGTGGATGCCTCTATAGCAATGTCACATAGGGGTCAAGCCAATGTACAGGGATGAGAATCCCTCAGGTTGGGGTAAAGTACGGAAAAGGGGTTTGATATTCTGATTTGCCTAAACTGTAGTGTAGTCGTAATAACTGTCGTGTATCATTTTCTCTTTATAATCCCAATCAAGACTTAGAACTCCGTTTACGTTCACTTCGTCGATGCTTTTTGCCGCTTGTTGCCTTGGCCTCTGCTTGGACGTCGACTGGCCCTTTGGCTTCCTTGGCTTCTTTGGCTTCCTTGGCCTCCTTGGCCTGATCATTCTTGGCCCTGCTCTTCTCGCTCTTGCTCTTAACCGGTTCTTCCTTGCTGCTTTCCTCTTTGGGATCTTCTTTCAGATCCTCCTGCTCACTGGCCACCGACTCCTCTTTGGCGGTCTCAACCTCTGGGACCACAAGTTCCTTGGTAACCTCAAACCCTCCAAGAACCCGAGGGATCTCTCTGCTTAGGCCTTTGTTCACCTGTGTTGTGGCAATGGTGCTGCATGCGCCAGCTGCAGACAAGGCCCCAACGAGTGCTAGGGGGGTGAGGAGAGGGAAAGCTACGCTGAGGGCGAAGGTGCCGGCCAACGAGGCTGATATACCCCCGACGGCTGTTCCGACCGTGGCAGCCGTCTTCCATTCGCTCTCTTCGCGGGTGACGTTCCCCACGTCTTTCAAAAGCAAGTTCCCTGGGTAGTCCTCAAGTGTTGGTAGGTTGAACCAGACAAAGTTGTTGGAACTGTGAGTCTCGCCGTGGATGGTGAGGGTCCCCAGATCCGGAAACTCGAGCGCATTGCCAATGAACATGGGTCGCCAGGTGGGTATCAGTAGGTGAAACATGGTTGTGTCTGAGCGTCTCCCCAAGTTTTGCCGGATAAACATCATCCAGGCGACAAGAGCATCCAGATTATCAGAGAAGCCAAGGAAGTTGTCTGGCAGAGGCTTATCCTGAGCAAAGTCGCAGAAATCTGGATGCCACTCCGAATCAGGGTGGTAGAGGAAGTAGAGATGCCTCAAATCATCTGAGAAAGCTGTTCTGCTTTGGCGGTACACAAACTTATGGACATGGGCTGCGAATTTGGCTGGGTTGCTCAAGCTTGTGCGTGCCTTTAGCTCCTCGGGAAGCTTGACACCTGCCTTTTCAATGTCTGACTCGTAGATGACATGGGCGCCGTTTGTGTCGAGCTTGAGGGCCGTTATGAATTCTTGTAGGGGTACGGACCAGTCGGCATTGCGAAAGACTCTGTTGGCGGCCCTGACAGAAGCCTGCACAGATAGAGGAGACTGAATGGGAGCCTTTGGGTTGGTGTTAGGCTCCTGCTCCTGCCCCTGCTCCGGGGAGGTGTTGCTGGCTGGGGTGTCTCCCAACTCGGCCTCGCTGGAGTTGCTGACGGCTGCTGTGTCTTCTTCGGGGTTGGCAGAGCCGAACTGGGCTTCTTTTGCCTGTAAGAATGCGTTGAGGTCGAGAGGGATCTCGATCAGCTGCCGCGATGTTTCGAGACCTCTCCTCTGTCCTTCGCCACCGCGCCTCTGGCTGCGGGGCTGCTTGCTCTCGACAGCGCCCATGGTGAGATGTGTGCGAGCGCTTGATCGACGCTCATAGACTGGTTGATTTGGCCTCAAGCAAGATGTACACCAGGGGGTGATTTGACATTGGATGCGACGAACTTGAAGCGTTATTGCCGGTAGAGGTATGATGAAAATACCTGGTCACCGTTCGAGGCTCATGACAAAGAGTCATCGTCCAAGTTGTGGGTCACCGTTTGACGCTAGTTACTGGAGCCAACGCATCCGGCGTTTTAGATGGTGCTCACCGCCTTTCCGTCTCAAGCCGTTGGGCCGGGATTTTGCCTCCTCTCTTGATGAATTGCTACCTGATCAAGACGGTTGAGTATTCCCAGAGTTGTCAGAGACTGAAAAACCGTTCAAAAATTTGATACCGCTTAATTCTAGAATAGTTTGACTTCGACGAGCGATGTGGTCTTATCATAGGCTCCTTGACAACCGATCGCAAAGGTGTGAGCACAGTCCTCCAGATGTTTAGATCACAATGTTCAAATGTATCTTGCTGAGTATACTTTCAATCTAATCATATACTGTATCGATAAGCAAGCATGGAACAACTGACAGGCCGCCGAGGTTAGGGGGCATTTACACAGTGTCTGTCACATGAACGACCATTCCCACCCACCCTATAGTTCTCGACGCAAGACCTCGTATCGCGCAATTCATAGACTACTTTCCACCATTTGGGACCTCTCATCGTCTCTTTGTATAGACTCACATCACGTGGCTTTGTTAAAGAAACATGACGAAGTTCAAAAAAAACATTTTTTCGAGCGTAAAGGACAAGTTCTCCTCAAGTTCTGAATGGTCAATCAGCAGGCAAGTCGCTCCAAGTGGAGACCATCGGACAAAAAAGAGTGATCCTCGAGTGTCTTCATTTTTCGCGTCTTCACTCTTGGCATCAACTTCCCACACTTGCTAGTCTAGACAAGGGCAAGACGATGGGAGGACAGAGAAGCTTCATTATTAGCCTGATGTCGGGCCTTACACCATACGTCTAGGTGACGGCCAGCTATATCTAGATGAAAAAGGAGAATAGAAGCCCTGGGAGGTCAACAAGTCCGGTCCTGATACATCTGTTTTCTATAGAACATGGAGGTTAGACGTCTAGTTGGCGGCGCTGTCAGCAAAGTCGGGGTTCGCCAGAACTCGAATTCTTGGTTCCCTTTATCAACGATCTGCTCGGCGTGTTTAAAGGCTGCCTTCATGTGTCCTATCTTATCAGGTGAACAGTCCTTATCAATCTTGAATCCAGCCACAATCTCTGACGCGGGCGAGCTGTTATCTGCACGTGGATAGTGGCCCTGCCCCGCCAAGCTCGGTGAGGAGCCAGGCGAAGTGTAGTGCAAGCATGCAGTTATTAGAGCAAATAGAAATAACAGGGAATAATGCCATGATAGCAACTTGTTGGAATAAGGTGCGTTGATGCAAGATGTGAGGAAGCGTTAAAGGGCAAGAACTGCATACTTGCTGAGGATCCAAGGGCTCACATATACTTATAGTGTATTCCATGTTTATAATCGTCTTCATCTGCCGGCGAGAAGCAACCTGAGCTCAGCAGAGATGCCAGGCAGGACGAAGACAGGAAAAACGCGTCTCGTGAAAGTAACAGGAAGTTTGTAACACCCAGCCCCCTTCCATAATATCCAGGGGCTTTTCGGAGAAGCTCGCTTTATTCAAGTTGCCCGCGATCATCAAGAATTAACTTGAATCATACGGCAAACTTTCTAGTTGCTGCGTACGAAAACACGTTGCGTCCAGGTGTTGGCTTTGACGGCCCAGCCTCCCCAGCGCGCTCCACTCGAGGGGGCCGACCTTCCCTGAAAATGAGATTGAATCCTGGTTATCACCCGGTTACCTCGATGGGCCCTGTTCGTACAGTGCTTATTGTTTATTCGCTCCTTGCCCCTGGTGATATCGTTGCGAGATCCAGGCGGGCTGTAACTACGGTCCGAATCTAAGCCACCATGCAGGTGCCCGTCGATGGAACCGTTGCAAAGCGGAACCCCTGGAAGAACTGCCCCGCAGCGTAATGCTTGATAATACAATTCTTTTATTAGAAATTGATACGTTCGGGCCCTCCCTATAGAGTAACTTTTAGGACCTCATCAGCCAAGCCGTAACAACAAACGGTAGCCAACTGGACTAGCCATCACTTGCATCCATCCGGGGCCCTAGCAAAATGCGGGGTATGGTTAAGAGACAAATCAGACGTAAGTATCCTTGGCTCCTCGGAACTAGTTTGCTCACGGAAGCGGAACTCGACCAGCTGATACTCACTCATGCCAAGCCATTCAATGTTGCCTGGAAATTTTCCTGGAACGGATATGAGAGGCTGTCCCGGTTACAATGCTAGATAAGTACGAGGACAGATGGGGTAAGAAAATTGGCAACCCCGAATTCATTGTCCCATGTGCGCGGTTTGACATCGAGTCGACCACCTCCATGGACAAGATCGTCCAGGCCTACCGAGGTATCATGAGTCAGAAGTACTCTTGAACACATTAGAGAGGAGAACTAAGCTGGTAGACTCTCGGCACTTCCACATGGAAAATAATAAGAGCCTGCAATGAAAACGTCTTGGTGGACGACTATATATTGAGATCTACCATCATACCACTTCTCCCTCTGTACCCCACCTCCTCCAGTAACACTTCGACTCGCAATTTCACCCCTCAACGTTGAACGCATCAAAAATGTTGAAACCAGACTGGCAAGCACTCATTCAGGCGAAGCGAGCCGAGCGTGACTCGCGCATACCTGCAGAGTGGCGTTTGGACAGCAGCATCACCAGCCAGGCCCATCGTGAAAACCCAATCAGTGCCTTCGACCTCCTCGATCAGACGAACCTCGTGACCAAGAGCGAGCGCACAATCACGGAGAATTATGATGCTACGTCTCTCCTTGCCCAGCTGGCCTCTGGCGCGTTGTCTTCCTTCGAAGTGACCTTAGCCTTCTGCAAGCGCGCTGTAATTGCCCAGCAGTTGGTAAGTTGCATATGCCTGTATTGATTACCTGGCGGGATGATTCACATTGAAACAGATCAATCCCTTGACAGAGATGTTTTTTGACAAGGCGCTCGAGAGAGCAAAGGAGCTAGATGCCTATCTTGCCCGAGCGGGCAAGTCTAAGGGTCCGTTCCATGGGTTGCCCATCAGTCTCAAGGTTTCTTGTCCTCTTGGTTTCTTCTCAAGCAACGCGGCCGCTAACATGGCATTAAGGATATGTGGATGGTAAAGGGTGAAGCAGCTACTCTGGGCTTCGTTGCATATCTGTCCAAGCCAGTTGCAGAGGAGAACTCGCCCATTGTTGATATACTTCTCGACGGCGGCGCCGTCTTGTACTGCAAGACAAACGTTCCTCAGGGCTTGTTTGTTTGTCACACACCCCGATCATGACATCGGGGGCCTTATTGCTGACATATATGCCAGTCCATGGAGGACGAAAACAACGTATTTGGCGTAACTCTGAACCCCCACAAGCTCACACTGGGGGCTGCTGGCAGCAGTACGGGAGAGGGAGCTTTGATCGGGTTCCGTGGCTCACCCCTTGGTCTAGGCACCGATATTGGAGGCTTTATCCGTTCACCGTCTCTCGTCAGCGGCGCGTACGGATTCAAGCCAACTGCAAACCGGGTCCCCTTCTCGGGTCAACCGTTTCACTTCCCCAAGGGATGTCCTGGCATCCTTCCTTCAGCTGGACCACACGCCAAGCACTAGCAGTCCCGTGGGCAGATGTCCCGAAAAGGAAGCTCAAAATCGGATACTGGGAGGGCTCACCTCAAACTCCTGTATTCCCTCCTATCCTTCGGGCCCTCCGGAAGGCCGCTGAGGCGTTGAAGGCTGCTGGCCACGAGGTTGTTCCGCTGTCCACGCCCGCGGGAGGCGGTACACTCGACTGTGCCGGTATCTATATTCACTCTCTCGGCTTTGACACAAACGCGACCCTTATGCAGTTCCTTGACGACGCCGAAGAGGAGATCCTGCCTGGGATGAAGGATCTTAAGGAGGCGATGGCGGGTGCGCCCAAGAGCACACTTGAGGACGTTTGGCAGTTTCATGGCAATCGCGGCGATTATCGCCAGGCGTGGCATGCCAAGTGGGCGGAGACCGGCATGGATGTCCTGCTCTGCCCTGCACACCAGGGAACCGGCATGCCTCATAATGCCTACGGCCTCCCAGTTTATACCATGATCTGGAATCTTTTGGATGTATGTGCTCTACAGCTATGTTCTGAACGTGGCTAACCTTGTGTAGTGCCCCGCAAGTGTCATTCCCTTTCTCAAGGCCAGCAAGATAATTGACACAGACAAAGTTGAAGGGTGTAAGTTTCCGTCGCGGTTGCTACGAGTCTGTCAAAGTGTATGTGTGACTAACGGAAGTCTAGATGACGCGGATGTTCTTGATGGTGCGCCGGCCCATGTCCAAGTTGTTGGATGGACCCTCCGCGACGAGGAGGTACTGATGGCTACGGAGGTTATTGATGATGTCTTGAGGAATGTTCCTGAAGCGGATCTCCCTCCTTTGTACTCCTCACTATAGGTAGTAAATAACTTGAACTAGTAACTATGCATGAGACTATAAGCGGATTAGTTGTGCCTTTCGGGTTCCATCCGCGAACCATTCTTGATGGCTGAGTCCGGCTGTGCACGTTTGCCCTCCGCGCATCCGAGGCTGAGTCAGTCTCACCGACTGAGTCATTCTCCGCAATCACCTTTATTCATTCCTCAAATCCTCGATAGGTATTTTAACGCAGACTATCGCTAAAATAGCTCCTATCTCAACGTCTTCACTTTTTACAGCTTGGCATTTCATGAACACACCACCCACCATGAACCTCTCTGAACCAGTACCACCAACATGTCGAACAGCAATGATCAGCGGGCATATCGACATCTCACACTCCGAGTTCGCCACAAATTATCATGATCTTATAAACGAAGCCATAGCCAGAGGTGACCGATTTATCCTTGGTGATGCGAAAGGCACGGATGAGTTCGCACTCGAGTACATATTACGACTTGATCCAACAGCTCGCATCACCGTTTATGCATCAAGGGCTGAGAGATGCAATGCCCTCAAAGATAGAAATATTGACGCCATTCTTGTAAAACCGACGAAGAAAAAGGCCCGGGGACGCCAACATCACTTAGAGAGGGATGCAGAGATGACGAATTCCAGCGACTACGACATATTATGGGTTCGAAATGAGGAGGAGTGCCGAAAGCTCTATGGGGAGAAATACCGCCCAAGAATTTCAGCTACCGAGCTCAATCGAAGAAGGAGAATGGATATTATGCAAAACGCTAATGCCAACTTGACAGCCTAGTTGCTGGCGAAGAACAAGCTTGGGATTTGCAAACGAGCATCATGATTAATAGCGAATAACAACATCACCTTTATTCATTATCCTTTAATAAGGTCTTTCATCTTACAGAGGTCTAGAGCATAGCTGAGATTCCCATTTGTCAATCGAATCGGTGACTTGAGTTGTATACTAGTCGCCTGGTGAGCGGTCCTTTTCTTCGCGATGCAACATTTTGTTGGAGTGTCGAGACAACTAGTTATGGAATTGAAACCCTTTATAAGACCTTGGAGCAACGCGATCGCGGCTTTTCCCCACAAAGAGCTTACTCAATGCGAAGCTGAGCTGTGATGTAAGCTTGCTGCCTGGAAAAGATCACGCGCATGATTCGTCAAACCCCCATGACGTGAGCAGATCTGCTATGTAAATTTTTGGGTAGCATACTCTGTCCATAATGTTCAGTGCCTTATTCTTCGCCCAACAACTTCCTCATCGCGTCGTGTCTTCACTTGACGATGCGTCGCGGGTGTCAGGATGAAACCCCTGACTGCCCAAATGCGACGGATATAGAACGATGGATGCTCGTCGCCCCGAGCAAGCAACAACGGATGACGTTGTCAACCAATCACTACAATTTTGGGGCGATAAAGCCCTCGTACTTCTGCACTTATTACCTCACCATCGACGCCTTTAAACTGCTATGCAGCTCGCCCAACAGCGTTCTCGTCGCATCAAATGATGCCGCCAGTCGGGAACTGAGTCAGACTACTCCCCAGCGAGTAATGGTTCATTCGCGACTGGAGACACTCCCCCCAGAGCTTATCGCCGTAATTTTCCCTTTCCTTGACACCAGCGAGTTCATTTCTCTCGGCCTCTGCTCCCAGACTCTATGGACCCAAGCTATTGCCTGGGCGCAAAGTGGTTACATCCGGTGGAAAAGTGCATATTCATGGGCCGGCACTCCCATGATTTGCGCAGGCTCAAGGTTGGAGGTTTTTCCACAGTCCATTTCCGAAATGTTTCCCAGAGCAAGACCAGACGTGGTGCTGCCAGGTCATGAAGCTGGCGAGGGTGGGCCGGGAACGCACAACCAACCGCGCCTTTGGCTCGACGAGGCCTCTGAGCGATTTGAGAAAAGGCCCATCCCATACGATGATGATTATCGAGAAGAGTTCTGGAAGCAGATCAGGTCATCTGGTATCCCCATAAGATTCTACGCGCCCATGGCTGCATCCTTTCCCACCTTTACAATCAACCTCGGAACCAAGTGGTACCTCCGCAACTTGACACAGAAAGAGTACATCTGCATGGAGGCTATCGTTACAGCCGATGGGGAGGTCACTATTTCTTTCATAGAAACTCATTGGCTCACATTGGACATCTTACTCCTATGGCTGATTAGCTGGAGGGGAAAAGATGGCAACGACAGTTGGTCCTGGGAACAGCTCAGGCAGTTCGAGGGTATCACGGATGAAGGTCTTGGGGATATAATGATAGACCCAACCTACGGACCTCTCGATGATGATTTCTGGCCAATTTGGGCCGGTAATTGGGCCGGTCACAGCCTGGACGTTGTGGCTGATGAAGTCCTCGAGGAGTGGGTCGACCGAAGCGACATGATTAGATTGCTCTCGGGTAAAGTGCTACGGACTTTATATGGACTTGCCATGGCGGAGGTGGGAGGCGCAGAAAGTGCATATTGGGCTAACATATTTGAGCAAAGTGGAGGGGTTGTGGATTTGCAACTGAGGGAGTACAGCTCGGGATCATCAGATGAAGATGACCAAGATGCATTACAAGTATGTAGGCCGTCTTAATGGACTAGCTCATGATGATATAAGAGAACCGAGGCCATGATATCTGCTCAACTACCTATCCGACGTCTAATTGGACTATTAGAAAATAAGCAAGGGTGATGAACCATCACGTGACGTATTGGGTCAGTTTTGCAGACGCTAAAATTTGGTAGTGGAAGCTCCCTACCGAATAAAAACATCCCAAGATCCCCGCCCAGGTCTGCCTTTTTCTCCCTCTCGTGACGCTCCTTGCTCCACACAAGCGTCTCAGCGATTCTTAGCACTGCAGCCGTTCCTCTCTTAGCCATCGTCAATAATGCCGGTAATACGGAATATCCCTGATAGCAAAAGACGGTCCCGTACAGGATGTCTGCCGTGCAGGAAACGCCGAAGAAAATGTACGCCCCAAACCTCCTGAGCGAGTCGTAACATTCTTCCTTGTTTTGGAACGGTTTCTAACAGAATCAAAAGGTGATGAGAAGAGGCCCAGGTGCGGAAGTTGCCAGGAGAGAGGTGTAGCTTGCGAATACAAGCAATGGGCGTTTGTTGCCGAAGTGGCTTCAGTGCCAGGCGATGTTGATAAAACACCAGGCCGGCAACAAGAAGTGGCACAGTCACCGGTCGTTAGTCGATTCTAATCCTACTCCAGGCTCTCCAATAACAAAAGATCTAGTTCGCGCAGGATGACTTGCTCTCCTTACCAAAGGCAGCCTCGCCCATCCCACCTCCAAATGAGTCGCCACGTAGCGCCAGCTACCCAGCAAAAGACAATGGCACTGTAAACACGCCATTTGACACATCGCCAGCAGCCAGCCTCGCTCACACCCACGAATCAACCGGAAACCAAATTCTCACACCGTCGACGTGGGATGACAAGGCTGGCCAGTGTAAGCAACGAGCGATGCACTGCTTCCGATACCAGCTCGTGCCATGGATAGAGTCCAACGCCCCGAAACCCTCATTCGGTTCCAACATGATGACTCTAGCGCAGGACAAGGCCGTCATCATGGACGCGGCTATTTACCTTGCCAGACATCGTACTAGCCGTGGTGAGACTTCTATTGAGGAGCTACAAGAGTTACATCATCGGCTTTTGTTAGAAAACACCTTTGTTGCAGATGTTGGACGATCGTTACTCGCTCTTGGAGACTTGTTCTATGATGGGCCTTCGCAGTGGCCCAAGTTTCGATTCTACCATCCACAACCAGATACCCCGAGTCAGCCATTGGAAGACATGGATGAGCCTCTTAAATCTCTGCTACGATTCCACCTCAAGATTGGTCTGTTTCTTTCTTAGTTTCGCATTCGATTTGCTGACATTCATAGATCTTGCAACCTCCATTATGACCAACAAGCCACCATCGATGAAGCTCTCGCTCTCTTCAGGCAGATCTATCTTCAATGCCCCTCTGTCCCCTATAGAGACCTACGATTCATGTTTGCTCTGCCTATTTGAATGCCTCCGGCTGATTCACTACGAACTCATTCCCCTCTTTACCGGCCAGTCCAACATGCAAACAGCCGCCCCCGAGTCCTATTCTCTCAAGTGGGCCGCTTGGTCTAGACTGTGGACAAGCTGTATGCAATGGTTCCAGGATAGGCCTCCTGGCATGGAACCGGTGCTGGAAAGCTCTGATGCTGATTTAAACGGGCACAAGATGCAAGAGTCTCCTTTTCCGGCCGATGTCTATACCAGCGCCCTATCTCTGCAGGCCAACCTGACCATGCATCTATCCTCACTCCTTCTCCTCGCCTACAAACCGCGACTTGTTAAGCTATCGAGGTTTCCGCACCATCTGGTTTCGAGAAGCTGGCATACACAAAAGATCGCTAGGTTAGCAATCTGGAATAGCTTTCCAGAGCAGTGGGATCCTCTCGTAGTGGCTGCCCTACTCTGGGCCGCAAGAGAGATGACCCATGCCTCGCAACAAGAAGCATTGCTTACTTGCTTTCAACTAATCACAGATGTGACGAAATTGCCATTAGATGAGGAAATCTCAAATCTACGATTTTATTGGCGCTCATATAGTCACAGCACACCGCCAGCCATGTCCCATCGATGAGTTGAAGATTTGAGACATGAAGACTAGAAACCACAGCATTCCTCAACCCGAGCTACAACTCGTCCTTCCAGGGTATCGACACTTGGGCTCCCTTTTTGGAGACCGTTTTCGATGATGCCTTGATACTCTGCTTCACAGCTTCATCGATATCAAATCTCTCCGACCTCGCGATAGCATGGACCGCGTGTATGGCATACATTCCGATAAAAGTGTCGCCTGCCGCAGTCGTATCAACAACGTCGACCTTGAGGGCGGGGACAAAAGCCCGATCTGTCTCGTTGGCGTAATAGGCGCCTCTTCCGCCAAGGGTGATGACAACGTTCTTAACACCCCGTGCTAGGAATTGGCCTGCGATTTGCTCCACGAACTTCGAATCTTCCAAGTCCGACTCTTTGACATCTGACAGTAGGGCTGCCTCGGTCTCGTTCAGAACCAAATGTGCTAGGCCCTGGTACGCCGTTTCCGGGAGCTTTTGAGCCGGGGCCGGGTTGAGAAGAACAGGCGTTTCTGTTTTCTTTGCTGCCTCCAACGCTTGAAGGACAGTCTCGATTGGAATTTCCAGCTGCATAATGAGCAGAGTGGGTGATGGGTCGGGCAGGTGTGTGAACTGGGAAGGCTTAAGTGAAGCATTTGCTCCAGGCGAAAGGATGATGCGGTTTTGTCCCGAAGGCTCATCAACGACAATCATGGCGATCCCAGTCTTGGACTCGGCATCGACTTTGATAGCCGGTGTTTCCACACCATACGACTTTAGACTTTCCAGAAGGACAGAACCGTATGCGTCTGCGCCCACCGCGCCAATCATGGCGACGTCGACGCTGGGTTCCTTGAGATCCGAGGTCCGAGATAGCTTTGCGCACGCAACAGCTTGGTTTGCGCCTTTGCCGCCGGGGAAAACATCGAATTGGCTAGCGGTTATTGTTTCTCCCGGGAGTGGGTGATGCGGGACATATGAAACGAGATCGATATTGAGAGATCCGAGGACGCTGATGACTGGTTTGGACGACATTATAAGAATTTCAGATAGGAAGCAGGTCAAAAGTGGGGGCAAATGAGCTTAAGACGCCTCTATTAGAAGGAAATTGAAGAGATGAACAAGAAGTAACGAAATCGACCAGAGTCTTAGCTGTTTAGAAAGAGCCTGGGACGGGGGACCTGGGCTAATATTCCCACATAAATAGCTGTGGTGAACGTTCTTGCGCGAGACGATAAGAGGAACGCTATCCCAAAAGAAGCCAGTCATTGTTGAGTGGTGGAGAGGGTGTGTGGGATGTCAATGGCGTCGCCACCCAAGGGGTTCGTAGCCTACAGGTGGATCACTGCTGCGTTCTTCGCTAATGTACAATGCCGCATCGTGTCACGGCAAGAATCTTTAGGCTGTCTCCTCTTTGGGTATGCTCTTGAAATATTAAGTAAATTACTTGACGGAATCATCGAATACATGGCCAGCCTCATATCCCCATTCCGCCTCCAGGTCCCTCAACCTCCATAAAGCTCCCCAGCCAGTTGTTCTATCAATCGACTTGAGTAATTGGGCTATCTGCCTCCGTTCACTCACATGCGAGAACAACCTTCCCGCAACAAACAACGGCTGGATAGAGTTGACCATGCTCCCAGGGTGAGGGTTGGCGCATGATATACCGACCACGCTGCGAGCATGCCAAAGAGCCAAACAGTGAGAGTCCAAGTTCTGCTCTGGTGGCTGCATTTCCAGCATCAAGATGCATGCGGCATGATAGACCTGGTTGCTCGAGATGGCTGCCCAATGAGGAAACATTATCAGTGGGAAGACTTGCTTCTCACTCGCTTCGACCACACGGATGGGCTTCATCGACGGAGGTCTTTCATCTAACCAGAATTGTAACTCTGACCAGAGTCTCTGCCACTGCTCTGCAAACGGCCTGCTATCCTGCCAGTCTGCTCTTCCAAGTTCCAGATATTGTGTCCTTCGGAATCGCAGATGACAGACTTTGGTGCAGAGGTAGATAGCCCAGTTGGCATGTGTATCTGGCGATGTGCGGCTCTTCTGATGGAAAAGGCTCTGGATAAATCTCTCTGATGCCTCAGGTGTTGATGGCTGCTCTCGCATGGCTGGAACCCATTGATCAAGAGGCAGTACGGTCGTCTCAGCACCGTCAGATATTATCGCTCCACACAGTTCCATCCTCGCATAGCACCAAAATACCGCTTGTGGGAGTCCTCCAGAGAAGCCATTGACACCGAAATATTCAAAGAGCGAGGCGCAACCCTCGACGTGGCGCCTCCAATTTCTCGCACCGCCTGACATGAGCTCAAAGACAGCGAGGATACACGCCGTGACGAGCATGTTGGGGTCTTTGGCTTGCAAGCCAGGTGTGAGGAGCCTGATACTCTCTTGATACAGCTCCAAACTGTCGCAACCCTTCTGCGTCAGTCCTCTCCTCTCCATCTGCCTCGATGAAAACGCAAGCATAGCATAGAGCAACGCCGGCGACTTGCGCGCCATCAGAGGCACCTGGATCTGAAAGTGTTGGTTCTCATCGAACTTGTCAAGATGAGGTGCACATTCCGTGATCCAGTTCTGTAGATAGCGTAACAGTCTCGCGTGTGGGACTGCGACTGTTACATGTGAAAAGTTGAGTGTCTCTGCGGTCTCGTCCTCAGGTGTGGAGGGTCTGCTGGGTGACAGGCTTGAAAGGCCGGCAAAGAGCACAGACCGGAGCTCCTCCTGGAGCTCAAAGAAGCGTGGGTCAAGTGACAAGTCCTCTGAGAAGAATGACATGATTGACCTTGAATTTCGTCTCGATCGAGTGCAAAGTAGACTCGGAACTCGACTCTTCGATCAGCTGCAAGTCCAACGTCTCATGGTTCATGCGATGTGGATCGAGTTGTTGGAGACGAGTTGAGCTATTCCAGAAACGGGGTGTGTAGCCACCTCATTATGTATTTCGTATTACCAGCTCCACTTGGTCGGGTCTGACCGAGTCTTTCAAACTCTGTCGACCTCGTGCTGTTCCTATGCCGACGCTTTTCCATTTACGGGGGTCTTAGGCACCCCCGTTGGTACCACACCCTTGTTTTGGGGTTTCAAGGGGGATCAGGAAATCCCCGACTTTCTCCTCACCATACATAGCTCTCTCATGTGGGGGATTCACCCTAGAGTCATATCAAGACAACACAAATTTGGCCGAAAAGACTTCCCCAGCTCGTACTCTGGTTCATGGTAAGGCTAGCATTAAGCTTAAGTCGATCCGGGGTAAAACTCCACGCTGATGATGTGAACTCGAGCATCCACGGTACGATATGTTTGGGGAGAACATCGCTTTGAGCTAGAGGTCCATGGCTACGAAATTTCGATAGTTCTCTACAAGGCAACTTGAATTTCCTTCATTAATCGTGATCAATCTACCGTAGGTATTCGTGCTAGTCGCTCGATTATTTGCTTGTATCTTTGGAAAGCATAACATACTTAGACATCTGCTCACTCATGGCTTCTGCCTATTCATGAGAAATACTTGCTACATCAACAACAGTATCATCATCAGGAGTTCAGTTACCCCTGCAAGGATCAATCATACTCAGGGCACCACCACGATGGGATTTTGATCATGGGCGCTTTAGGCAACCATTTCAGGCCTGTCATGAGCGGATGCCCCGAAGATCGTTGCAACGTTACAACGTCTTAGTCAAGGGTCGCGTGGTTGCAGGGGCGGCTCAGGAGCTGCCTCAGGAATTGAGGACGTTACCGAGTCTTTGCAAATTGTTCATTTAGTTGTCGTCTTACCTTGTCGCCACAAGATGCTAGACGGTTGAGAAAGCATAGTTTATCACGAACTGCATTGTCGTGCACCGGCTCTGTCTTGCGCGTAGACCATGGTCTCAATAAAGCACCAAGCGCAACATAAACCTGCGATTTGTAATTGAATTCCAGTGAATTGTATAATTTTAAACCTTGCACGTGTATATCTTCACAATACTCGCCAAATATTTCCAATGCCCCAATTACAGCTCCTCAACATGCTTTTCCACCTCCTTGTCATGAGACAGCTTACGCTCATGAGCAAAACCAAGCAGACCAACCTCGGCCTGAGCCTCCCTCATAAGTACACCGTCCATCTCACCCGTGCGGCTTCCAAAGACTCGATCCATGTCCTCAAGAGTGGCATTCTTGGTCTCAGGTAGGTAAATCCAGACCCAAACGATACCGGCAGCCAAGAAAACAGCAAAGAAGATGTAGGTTCCCCATGCCCAGGCTTCCAGCATAGGAGGCACAAAGAAGGCGATAGCAAAGTTGTTGACCCAGTTGCTGGATGCACCAATGGAGGCTCCCTTGGCTCGGATAGACAGAGGGAAGATCTCGGACACAAGCGTCCACGAAACTGGGCCCCATGTAGCACCGAATCCAGCAATATAGACCCAGATTAGGGCCACAGCTGACCAGCCGGCTGCAACGTGAGAAGGCCAGTCATGTCGGAACTTGGCTACAATGACGCCGACGGTGACCATGCTGGCACCCATGACGACGGAGCCGATCTGCAGGAGAGGCTTGCGGCCAACTCGATCAATGATCAACTAGTCAGATGTTAGTCTTGCGAGAACCTAGGTTTAGTGATTTGACTGACCATGGCAGGAATAGTGCTGATGAGGAAGACGACGCCAGTGACTCCAGTTGCGAGTAGGGCAATGGTTCCACCAGTGAGTCCCAGGCTGATGAAGACATTCGAGGCGTAGTAGATGACTAAAAACATTAGCTTCCGCATGTTTTTAATCCTATAGAAGAGCACTTACTGGCGTCAATTCCAGACCACTGTTGGAAAAACATGACCAGCCAAGCCGTGCAGACACGCTTCAAGTTGTCAATACTCCTGAAGCAAGTCACATACTGCGCCACCTGCTGCATGAAGCGGCTCTTGCCCTTCTCCGCAAGATGAGGAAAGTCGCGCGCAAAAACCTTTTGCTCAAAGACAGCTTCGGCCTTAATCTCGAGGAATTCGACTCGGATGTCTTCGTGGTCCTCTGGCAGTTTGCGCATCCAGGCCAGGGTGGATCTAGCCTCTTCATCACGACCGACCTTGACAAGCCAGCGTGGTGAGAAAGGCATGAACCAGATGCCGACAGCGAGGGCGGCGGCAGGAATGCCTTGGATGATCGAGGGGAGGCGCCAGGCGAGATCAGATTGGCCTTCTCCAGTTCCGCCAATGTAGTTGCTGCCGTAGCCCACCCAGAAAGAGAGCATGATTCCCAAGATAGTCGCCAGTTGGTAGAAAGAAACAAGGAGACCTCGCATCTCAGGAGCGGAGAGCTCAGCGTTGTAAAGAGGACCGACGCCACTGAAGAGACCGACTCCGACTCCGGTAAAGAATCGTCCAGCGTAGAGAAGAGATGGGTTACCAGCAGTTGCACCGACGTAGAGGTAACTGCCAAGGATAACCCAACAACAGGCGATAAACATGGTGTACTTTCTGGAAATGAGTTCGCCCAGAACACCAGCCGAGAGAGACCCAAGAATTCCTCCTAGCTGGAGGATGGAAGTGAGCCAGCCAGTTGCTGAGGAGGACTGGACGACAGAAGGAAAGTTCTCGGTGAACCGGGTCATGACCAGAGACTGGCCAAGAACACCCTGCTGATAACCATACTCAAAACCTCCCAGGGATGCAAAGAAGGCAATGAACAGGACCTTGGGGTTCTCCCGAAGGGACTGCCACATGTTCTTCTTGGTCGACGGCTCCATGGTATGCTCGGGTGAAGATGGCATTGAATCAATGAAACGCCTGGGCTGAACAAGAGAATGCCGACTATCTCTCCCCGGATCCAGCCAGCCTTTAAATTCTTCCTCGTCGGTAACTCAATCTCGTGCTTCTCCACGGTGCCTGGGAGTCGGCACCGGTAAGGGGTTAACAAGTGGGGAGGCCGTAGGCTATGACCCACGAATCTGGCTTAGTACACCCGCACGACTCAGACGACGCCACTTGACATTACGTGGGGAAAAGCTAAAATGGTCAAAGACGTCTGGGGATCGTGCTTCTTTGTGGGTTCTGGCCTGGCCTGTGGGTGCCGGACTGCCGGTCATGCCACCAAGCCGCTTTACCAAGGGGTGATGAAAATATCAAGCTTTGCGTGTGCTCTACAACTCTCATTCAGTCGAGCGATCCCGGTAGCCGCTTATGTGGTATTTTTGCGTGATATTTAGGTGATGATGAATTCGCAATGCACCACTCCTTGGCGATTTTGAGTCGAAATCTCAGCCCAACAATGCTGCTCCCTCGCCTAGAGCCCATCCATTAGGCGAGGCAGATTATGTGAAGTATTGAGTCCGGGGTGGATATGCAATCGCGGTATTGGAACTGTGAATGATCATAGAAGGGGTAAGAAGACCTCCACTGTTAACTTGTGTAGTATGCCATTTTATCTAATACATCACCGGAGTAAGTCATTCCAATCAGAATTGTCGGTTCATGCGTTTGATTTATGACCCGAAGTACTAACTTGGGAGTATTTTGCCAATAAGTGATTGGAGGGAACCATGATGTCGGCCGGCTGTGTCTGTCAGGGTGTCTATCAGCATGTGAGATAGAATAAGAGACATAATATCCTAAACTCAAGACTAAGATGATGCTTGGGCGGGTGCCCCAGCACTATACAGCCCTCACTCACCCTAAAAGGCCGTATAGCTCAAGCAGGAGTTGCAGGTGTCTCTGATCCTATCACCGCCTATACTTCGTCACGATAATCACCACAGCCACTATCGAAGGCTACTATTCCAAACTATGCATGGAAAGAGGGCTGCCCGAGAGGTCTTTGAGTTTGAATACTGACGGCCTATTTCTGTGTCCACCTCGCCATTCTCTGCTCACACTGCCAACCTTATAAATGTCCCTGGCGATACCAAGCTAGGTATATGACGAAGTACTAAGGGGAGAGGAGAACAATCGGAGACTGTGACTTGCGCCTACACTAGCATCGGTCGAGAATGTTCTAAATTAATATTACGTTACTGCTCAGATATGATTGCTGAGCCAATAAACATTTTTGTCCACCGCCATGAGTGACATCAATACAGTATAATTACACACCATCTATCATCTCCCTCAAACTACCCAGATTTCGGACACCTCCTGCAACACTCTCTGTCCATCTCAGAATGCCCCGTGCTAGAAATTCGCTATCACAGTTCTCGACAGCGAGATCAAAATCCCTCTGGAGTTGGCTTGCATTGTAAACTGCTATCCATCTCGGCTCCACCCGTTCCATTTCTTCCAAGAACAAGGCCCTCAAGAGAGTAAGCTCGTACTCCAACAAGCGCTCTAGGAAGAGGCTAGAGGGGAGTTGGTCCAGGTCCTGTGCATATCTTGTTTCGTTAGGCTTGTCGCGTCGAGGTCGGCCTTCCAGAAACGAAGGGTAAGAACAAGCCTTCCACATGGGCAGGGCTGAGACACATTCCCAATCGACAACGCCAGTGAGATTTCCGGCATCGTCGACAAGGATATTGCTTCGAGATAGGTCAGTGCGAGAGAGTACCGTGGTCTCTTCTCCTTTCGTTGTTTCCGGAAAGACAAGGTCGATAAGCTGTTGTAGCTTTGCGATGATACTGGCAGTTCGAGTAGCATCCTCCTTATCGTCCTCGGCATCGCTATCGATCTCTGCATCCGCTGGATATTTGCGCAACACAGCGAGACAGTCACTTTCTGCGAGCTGCAAACGGCCCGCGATCCAGTCTCGGCTATGGCGAAAGGGACCACGATCTATGTCGAGATTGATGCGGTCGCCCCAGAAGAAGGGCATCGAAACAATGCGGCCGGTTGTAGGGGTGAGTGTCGAGAGGACAGGAGGGTAGATATTACCAATGCCAGACAGCTGGTTTCGGAATAGCGAGGCTGTGAAGGAGGCAAACTGGCGAACGAGGGCAGTCTTTGTTGAGAAATCGATGTGTGTCCAGGCACTAGACAGAGAGGTCCCGTCAAGTCTAGTCATGAGGATCCATTCAAATCCAAGAGCAGAGTCAAGCGAAGAGCTGTAGGTGATCACCTGGGGGAGTGGGATAGTCGTAACCGTATTAACCCATCTGATTGTAGCGACTTCACTCAGAGTCTTGTACCGAGGATCTACAGGCAGCGAAATTCGGAGCATAAGAGGTGGCGGGCCTTCGACAATGACGTGATAGAGCTTATTAAAGGCGCCCTGAGCAAAGAATGCGACTTGGACAGTGCTGGAGGGCCAAAGCGACCGCAGTGTTGACTTGATCTTCTCGATGTCTGGTTCAGCTCTCCACCGCGGCTCAAGCTCAAAGACGGTTTCCTCCCAGAGAAAGCTGCTAATCCGGCCTTGCGAAGAAGCCATAATAATGAGTGTGTAATGGTGAGGCGATAGGGTTAGAGGAGTGTGCAAGAGAATGTGCGGGCATAAGTCGGGAACAAGTGATTGTAAGATGCAATATGGAAAGTTCATTCAGTGGCATCAAGAATTAAGTTTATTTTGGCGTAAATAACTTTCCACATCACATCGCAGCAAGCAGGCAGGTGGAGGCAGGCGGTTTTTGACTGTCTGTGACACCGTGACACCGTGACACAACAGTGCAAGCGATAAAGCATAATCGTCCAATCGCCTGGCTCTGATTCACCAACTGACCTACCAAGTCAATGACGTCGCTGTTCCTCAGTAGCCTTCTCAACGACAGCATAGCATCTTAATAATGTGGTTTCTAGAAGCACAAGGCTATTTGGACATCGATTCAACTATCCATGACGAATACACACTTCCTCTAAAAGCTCTATAGAAAAAAGGGACCGTCTGGGGGCTTATTAAAATGTCTGTAATTGATAAACCGGCGTAAATAATACATACAATCTTTTGGCTTAGTCAATCTATTAAGAACCGGAGTTAGTAGTTGACGGATATAATGAACCTTGCGTTACCCTTGTTTAAGCCCCAATAGAAACGCCCTGCTAATTGGACATTTTCCTATCGCTAACTCCTTATGATTGCACCATCTATCCCCACTTGCACATCATGTCTGAATCTGCCCCAGCCCCTATTTCTTGCCAATATATAAAATCACGGAACACGCACCACGTAGCACTTCGGCTTTCGTGCAGACTCTGCTTATGCGGTGACTCTCGCTTTCTCAAGAACTCGCGCCTATAATCTCGAGCTACGTACGAGTTTCGTCTTATTATCCGCATAGAAATGCCATATTCTCATTCAATATGGCTTTACACCCCTCGGAAGTCGCTAAGCATAACAACGCCAAGTCTTGTTGGCTTATCATTCATGTAAGTTATAACGACAAGTGGTGGAGCTCAGACTTATCAAAAAAACTGCAGAATGAAGTCTACGATCTAACCAAGTTCCTTCCACGTGAGTCACAGACTGGGATCAGTCATTAGACTGGAGAATGGCATAAGGATATTCCCACTAACGCCGAATGATGGTTTATTGGAACAGACCACCCTGGAGGTCGTAGAGTCATTTTGATGCATGCGGTATGTCAGGTTGACAATGCGTTTGATCCAGGCAACGAAGGCTCACATTTCTACTACTCTAGGGCAGAGATGCTACTCAAAGATTCAACCTTGTTCATTCAAAGGATATACTTGACAAATGGCTTGACCCTACTCAAAAATTGGGTGCTATTGATTCCAGTGAGGCTGTGGAAGCCGGCATCCTGCAAGAGGAAGAGGAACGCGAAACTACCAACAAGAAACTGCCACTCTCACAATGCATTACCATAAGAGACTTCGAAGCCGTGGCCCAACAAACCATGAGAAAAGAGTCATGGGAGTACTATTCAACAGGATCAGAAGACGAGTTCGTAGGTTGCATTCCATTGACTATCTGGGTAGGGCGCCCCATAACTCACATGTGCCATCAGACCCTCAAGGAAAACATAACTGCCTTCCAAAAGATTCGTTTCCGTCCCAAAGTCCTCGTCAATGTCGAACATGTCGATATATCGACAACTCTTCTAGGGACAAAGACGGCAATCCCCATCTATGTCTCAGCTACAGCTAGTGCCAAATTGGGTCATCCGGAGGGCGAAGTGGTCCTAACAAGAGCAAGCAACAATCACGGCATTGTGCAAATGATACCGTTGTACTCATCATGCCCTATCGAGGAGGTTACTGATGCCAGGGCCCCGGATGCCACTCAATGGTTTCAGATATATGTTAAAAAGGACCGCAACGCCGCTCGTAAGGCTGTTGAGAAGGCCGAGAGACTTGGTTGCAAGGCTCTCTGCATCACCGTCGATAACCCTCACTTGGGTAGTCGCGAAAGAGTTTTGCGATCGCACCACGAAGGTGACACAGGCAACGACGACGAGTTTGAGGATGCGCCAGCCACCGAGCTAGACCCTTCGCTCACCACAAACGCAAGCCTGGCTTGGGAAGATATCCCTTGGTTTCAGAGTATTACAAAAATGCCTATCGTCATCAAGGGCGTACAGCGGGTTGAGGATGTCCTTACCGCGGTAAAATATGGCGTCAGCGCTGTAATTCTCTCCAACCACGGTGGTCGTCAGCTTGAATACGCCGAAGCTCCCATCGAAGTGCTCGCCGAGGTGATGCCTATATTGCGAGAGCGTGGGCTTGACAAGAAAATCGAGGTATATATGGATGGTGGCGTTCGCCGAGGCACCGACGTTCTTAAAGCTCTCTGTCTTGGTGCTCGCGGGGTTGGGATTGGTCGCCCATTCCTGTATGCGATGGCAGGGTATGGTCAGAAGGGCGTCGAGAAAGCCATGCGGATCTTTAAGGATGAGTTGGAGCGGAACATGCGCCTCATAGGATGCAATTCTATCGACGAACTGCATCCTGGATTGGTTAAGTTGCTTTCCAGGGATCAAGCAAAGATCTAAACAGGCGCTTATCCTGACCGAGAACCTTATATAGTGTCCGCTAAACTGCATGCTAATGCATCGCATGAGGGGAGCTAGGATAGAGAGTAGTCAAGAGCATAGAAGCCAGCGTTCCCAACCCCAAGCGACTAGTTGTACATATCCTCAAGCTTACGGAAATGAGGTAGTCTAACAATACAAATAGACGACAACTATTTACACAATCAGAGTGACCAGACCCTGGCTTTTATATCCATATCGAAGTGTTTGAAGGTTGTGTGCTTGGCTATACAAGGAAACAGCGATTAGCCATTCATATTTTAGGGGCACACTTACCAAAGGCGGAATAGATACCAATGACACTTGACCCCTATATATTGTCCCTGTCTTTATCCGAGACCGACGGCCTAGTAAAAACTCTGTTACGCTTGCAAGGTGCCTTGGAAACGACTCGGCTCAGAGATATTGCTTGTCTTGATAGTGAGGAAGTCATTCGGCTAGTTCTGCAACGACTCCCGAAGACAGGAAGGGTACAAGAAAGTCCTCGAAGAAACGGTTATCGACCCAGCTTCAGGAACTGCCTGCCTTTGTCTACTTTTATTTTGTGACCCAGGCATGCTCTACTTTCTCGATCCGAGATAAACGGAGCGATGCACTGGCACACTGCAGCGCGTGGCGAACTGACTTGCAGGTCACATTCGGCGCAAATCCGATCAGAGAGGGGTATTGATTTCCCGGCCCTATACTACATTAGTTAGATAAGGATGAGAACCCCAGGCTCGTCTGGAACCAAAACGTCCGACGGTTGCATCCCTGCCACTACGCTCTTTAGGGTAGCGATTTTCAGGGAAGCGATTCGGAAGACGATTGCTAGGATCGGCTACGATCTCGTTTAAATGGCAATACAAATCAGTCACGCGCCGAGAGCTGAATAGCTTTAGTGTCAACCTTTGAAAAGATGTATTGTTGAAGCCTCTTCAATTAATTCGAGGTGGGAGCCTTCCAATCCGTCTGTCCACTGCGCGGCCTGGAAAAGATCTTTGCCGCGACAACCTTGAAAAGTTTTCAGCAACACTGATGGAGCAGGGTGCGTAGATGATACGTACGTAAAGAATTAAAAGCATTGACTACTCCATACTTGTCAATATAACCAGCTTGATAGGTGTGGCCGCCGGTCAGGCTTCCCCTGCGAAAAACTGTCAATCGGAACATTTCACATTATTCAGAACGCACGGTCAAAATCCCCGCATCTTGGCAGCCAATTACATCAGTATCTGGCTAAAGAGTTCGCTGACGGGGAGCGAGATAGCGGGCCGGCGGCCAGTAGAGAAACGGTGATCGCTTGCAGATAAGAAGATAACGCCCACCATCAGACAAATCATGGCGTTTAAAATGCGCTTATCGTGATTTGGATCAGCCTTATCTCCACCATCTCAGCCATTTTGAAAGACATCTCCGCGCGGATTGCAACCTTAATTATTACCCCACGCCGTTTGTCCAGCCATGTCGAGCTGACATTGTCCAATCAAAATGAGTCGACTTATCGCCAAGAGCAGGAACATGTTCGATCACCTTGTGAAACATGCGTTCAAGACTCCCATATAAAGTGTGTGCCTTGGCAGTTGGGTTAGGCTTTTGGCTAAACGAGCTTGGCCGCTGCAATTGTCTTGTCTTGTCAAAGAGGTACTCGTTTGTCTAACAAGAATTCGCAATCATGGCAGGTGGCGGCGGTCCATCTTCCGGCACTGTTGAGCCTCCCTTGAGCCAAGCCTACGGATACGGCATCATTGTCGGTCTTGGCTTTCTCTTTTCATTGGGCATGATCTTGACGACATGGATCCTGAAAAGGTATTGAGGTCTTGTCTGCATCCACACGGCCTTGGCTAACTTCATAGATACAACAATGAGCAGCAAACTTCGGAAATGTTCAACACGGCTGGCAGAACAGTCAAGTCTGGTCTGGTTGCCTCTGCTGTTGTTTCTAGCTGGACCTGGGCGGCAACACTACTGCAATCATCTGGAGTTGCTTATAGATATGGTGTTTCCGGACCATTTTGGGTAAGTGAGAGCGTGGCCTTGAGCCGTTTCATTAATATTGACATGTGATTTCAGTACGCTTCGGGTGCAACAGTCCAGATCATCCTGTTTGCTACCATTGCAATCGAGTTGAAGAGAAGAGCACCAAACGCCCATACCTTTTTGGAAGTCATCCGTGCTCGCTATGGTGAGTTGGGATTTCATAATGGATATGGCCTGGACTTGACTAACCGTACCAGGTCGCCTCACACATTGCGTCTATATCTGCTTCGGATTGTTCACCAATATTCTGGTGACTGCCATGCTGTTGACCGGAGGTTCTGCCGTCGTGACCTCTCTCACTGGCATGCACACCGCTGCCGCTTGCTTTCTGCTGCCTCTGGGTGTCGTTCTGTACACCATGTTCGGAGGGTATGTGATTAAACTACCGTTGTGCCATAAATGTCCTAACCAATGATGTAGTATCAAGGCGACGTTTCTTACTGATTACGTGAGTAAAGTTCTCCCAAGTCTGAAAGCTCATCGTTCTGACTATCGTGTTCTAGGTCCACACGGTTGTCATTCTCGTCATTATTCTCATCTTCGCCCTCACGGCGTATGCTGGTGGTACTGAGCTTGGTTCCCCAGGAGAGGTCTACAAACTTCTTGTCGAAGCTGCGGCCTCTCATCCGGTAGAAGGAAATGCTGGAGGCTCCTACCTGACCATGAGATCAAGAGAGGGCATCATCTTCTTTGTCATCAACATTGTTGGCAACTTTGGAACCGTTTTTATGGACAATGGTAATGTATGATTCTCGGTCAACAGGATACACATCTCTAACTTAGCATCAGGTTACTACAACAAGGCTATTGCGGCTCATCCAGTGTCTGCACTGCCTGGATATATCATCGGCGGCTTGTCCTGGTTTGCTATTCCTTGGCTATGCGCCACGACCATGGGTCTCAGTGCCCTGGCCCTAGAGACAAACCCAGCGTTCCCAACATACCCGAACCGCATGGATCCGGCAGATGTGTCGGCAGGCTTGGTGCTCCCGTATGCTGCTGTGGGCTTGTTGGGAAAGTCGGGCGCCATCTGCACCCTCATCATGATATTCATGGCCGTCACATCAGCGACGTCGGCCCAGCTGATTGCTGTCTCCTCCATTTTCACCTATGATGTTTACCAGTAAGGCTTCTGTCATTTTCCATTCATTTGACTCCGCTAACACACTGTATAGAACTTATATCAATCCTCGTGCCTCTGGAAATCGTCTGATTGCTGTGTCCCACTCCAGTGTTATCGCATACGGTACCATCATGGCAGGCTTCAGTGTAGGACTTCACTATGCTGGCATCAGCATGGGGTGGCTCTATTTGTGGATGGGCGTCATGATCTCCGCGGCCGTCATCCCTGCCACTTTGACCCTACTTTGGACTCGACAGAACTGGATCGCTGCGGCGTGCTCGCCGGTTCTTGGACTTGTCTGTGCCCTTATTGCTTGGACAGTCACCTGCGCAAAAGAATTCGACGGCGTGTTGAGTGTCGACAACCTCGGTACCAACAACCCTATGCTTGCGGGTAATGTCGTTGCGCTACTCAGTCCCATCATCTTTGTTCCCTTCTTCACCTTTGTGTTTGGGGCAGACCGTTATGACTGGTCGTCCATGGCAGCCATCAAGCAAATTGAGGACTCCAACTCGTCTGATATGATGGAGGATTCCGAAAATGCTTCCCCGCCGGCGACATTTACTCTTGTTGTCCCCGAAGAAGACAAGGCCAAGTTGAACAAAGCTTCCAAGACGGCCAAGATCATGACAGTTTGTATGACTCTGGCGCTCCTTGTACTTTGGCCTATGCCGATGTACGGCTCCTCCTATGTTTTCTCCAAGGAGTTCTTCACTGGATGGGTCGTTGTGGGAATTATCTGGCTGTGTGGCAGTTCCATTGCGGTTGGTCTTTTCCCACTTTGGGAAGGCCGTCACAGCATGCTGCGAGTGGCCAAGGGAATGCTAGGAAAGTCAACCAAATTTGAGGATGATCCTGCGATTGAAGGAAAAGTGGTTGATGACGAAACGATCAAAGACTTGGACCAGAAGGATTGAGCGTGCCGTCGGTGCGTTTGGTTATGATTAGCGACAGAAGTTTGGGGATATCCAGGTGTGCGTAGACCAATCAAAGCGCGAAATCTTGTTTTCAACTTGGGTCATAGCCTCCTCTTATGGTTGTTTGAATACGTGATCATTACCTGTGTGGCAGCAATGGCCAGCGGCGATGTGGATGCGTGCCGCGGAGAGTCTGGAAACCACTTAGGACCCGTCTTCTACGATTCTGCCATTATGACATCCGTGAGTAACAAGAGATAAGTTTAAATAGAGGAGAAGACATGCCCGCTTATATAGGCTATCGAACGGTATGTGGTATCCTGGTGGCGATATTGTTGTTATCGAAGTGATCGGTAGTAATGACAGGACGACCAAGCACTCCAAGATAGAAGATCGGAATGGAGACTGAAAAAGGCAAGTATACAGATCTGGCCAATTAGAAGATTTATCCCCCGCACAAGGTAGAGGTTGTTGTTCTCTCAACCCCGCTCCAACCCACCACGGTGATCATCATCATCACTCCCCAGTCCGCACAGCACAGGCACACGTTAGTAGCATACCCGGCTCCTGCAGAAACTCTTTTTCTAACCTCCAAGGCAGCTATCATCCCCAATATGGCCTCTAGTTCAGATCAGTTCTCCATCGCCCAAGACGGGTCCATCCAGGTCGCAGGTGCCTCGGGCGAGACAAACGTCGCCGTCTGGGCCCCGTCCCTCCCCACGGCCTTCCAAAACGCTCGAGATGCCACCTATTTCACCCGTCTCGAAACTCGGCACTCACACGAACAGCTGAAAGCGGCGTTCGACCTGACTCCAGACGTGGATCAGACGTTCTGCTTGTCAGTCAACAATGTCATCCTCGTCTTCTCTGCGGGCACTCCTGAAGAGCACCGCCAGCAAGTCTGCAAAGTTCTCGAAATGATGCAGACCCATTCAATGCGTGCAGATCCGAAAGGCTGTGTTTTTGATGCGAGAGCAAGCGCTGATGCTGGGATCGTGCTGGATCGAGTTGGACAGCACAAGGCTTTTATGGTTATCAACCAAGGGCCACCGAGGCGTTGAGCAGGAGCTCTGAACGTATCTGCGCATGAGACGGTATTACACTAAATTGCTCACGAGCAAAATAAGACTTCGGGTCCATGGCCTAATCAAGGAGCCCAATGGTTACGCTACTTCCAAGTCAGACTGCTATAGCGCCGCGATAAAGGCGACTGTATGAGCTCCTGTGAAATCCCATGACCCACGATGACTCTGGAAACCACTCATCTGTCCCCATCGTGCCCTTCTTCGCACTTGTAACACATTTCTATGGTTCGTTTATGGCTCTCACATCCTTGCCTAGATGTGGTAGTCGTTCACAGATGCGTACCACACAAGACTTTGTACGTAACCAAGTTCCCTGCTCAGTGTGATGTATTCAAAATTCCATCTCGCCTCCTCTCCACGGACTTCTTTGACCTCCCTGCCTCTGATGCCCAAATGCAGCACCTACGCTTTTCTCGCTGTCTAGAAGTACCTAAGAAACAAAGATCGCAACAAAAAGAACTAGACATAAAAGCCTCGTTCGTTGAAACATCGACCTCTCCAAAGCCGAGCTTTTCTCCTGGGTCTTTCTCCCTTCTGCCAACTCAAGATCTGACTCCTTATGAATGAGCACCACTGCCGGAACCCTGGTCGCGACAACGCCACTTTTACCCTCTCCACTTTCGAGGACCCGAGTAGCGGTTATCAAGCTCATCGTTTCCCACAGAGTGATGGTTGAGTCTAGAAACGTCTGAGTGCTAGTGGGCGTTACCTCCTTATGAGCGTAATACCCGCACAGTTCTGTCACGCCATAGGAAGCTATTGGACCCAGATGTGAGTAGCAATCGCCGTTGTTGTCGCCTTGGAAACCGCTACAAACCGCATCAATACGAGAAACACAAGCAGAAGAGTTACTCAAATACCTCGGGCAACATATCTTCAGAGTCTCGGAGGGCAATAGGACTTGTTTCCAAACCTCATCTGGGGGGAAAGGCTGTGCTCTGCCGGGCTCCCAGTGACTCATCCAGCGAGAGTAACTCTGCGTCAAGTATCCCGAGATCTCTGTGAAGGATCTGCCTTCGTTAACGAGGGCAGCGGCAGTGGTCCAGCCTTGGGGGCAGTAGAGGCCGGGAGAATAATAATGATAGAATCCATGGTGAATGATCTTAGCATATGTTTCAGTCATGAGCTTATCATATGCGTCTCCAGATGGTATGCAGTCGCCAAATGTTTGGACAACGGTGCAGGTTGGGTAAGCCCAAAGTATGCCGGGTACATGTGTCTGGCCCACGTAAAGATGATCTGTTTCTGTGGCGCATGATGTTGGTGCCGAATAGATCGTTGTTAGCGGGCCGAAGTTAGTGATGGTGGCTCTACGACCAGTCACAAATGTTGCGGTGGGCATCTTGAGATGAGGGTCGAAGAAGTCTCTCGAGTGTCTTTACGCAGGCGTTTGGAAAATGAATCTCATCGTTCTAGGGCTTGAGACTGGACGATGAGCAAGTATATGTACTGGTTCTTTGAACACTCCAATCAAGCTTTGAAGCTTGCTGCGACAGTACGATGGAGTGGCACAGTTTCTCTTCGCAGTTTAAGCACCTCAGGGAGGCCTCTCAATATCTAGCAATGGCTAATAAATGCGATTGAGGGCAGCTCGGCTACTTCTAGAATCGGTCTAGTTGGAAGAGGCACAGCAGTTGAGTAGCTCTCCTTGGCGCTGCATTTCATGCGGGGTGGGTTGCTTGAGGCTATACTCGCTTACATGTGATTCCAGTGCATAGCCGAGGACATGCAGATTCTCTCCGCACTCTACCTTCTTCGTATGCCCTCACAATCGCTTCGACAACTCTAAGTTAAGCAGGCAGTGGGATGCCTGCTGATTCAACGCCACTGCGAGCTGGATTGTGCCACCCACCATGTCATACTCTAGGCGTGTGAGAGCACATTCGTGCCCGAATCAACTCCCTCTGTAGATGACAGGAATTAATTAACAGATATCAACTTCAATCAAAATCGAATAGTAGATAGCAGCGGTCATTGCAAGCACTCGACAAGTGTGAATAGACAAAGACTATGTCGGCAAACATTGAACCAATGTCATCTAGACTCCCCAACATCTTCTCACGCTTGATACTTCAAAGAAAAAACGGGGTAATAACGTATTAGGAACACTTAAATACAGCCTTTGAACGGTTTCATTAATTCCCTGTCGCACTTCATGTCTCATGAGGCTAACATCATTTCATTGGGATGCTTAAGGAAACGCTGATTTGAAGCGTACCTTGTAGATATTTGTGGTTTTGCGCCTAACTGAGATACGTATTCATAATGTAATCTCTTTGTCACAAAGTAGATAGGGGAAATTCGTCATTCCGAAAGGGGCAGACTCCTGAAGCTGGTCCCGCTCTCCAGATGTGGGCGCATAACCTGTTAGTAGGTTAGAGAACCCAGCGAGGAAGAGACCATTCCGGAAGTCAAACAGTCCTGATCGGGAAAATAGCCTAACTATCATGTCTTTGTTTTTTAATCCCCAAGGCCATAATAGGCGTTCAAAGGATTTCATAGCATCGGTCTGAATGCGATCTTCTGTGGGGGATGAACCGCAAAGTCCTACGAAACTTGGTTGCTGGGATTGACAGCCCACATTGAAACCCAGATGAGTCAATCTATCCATGGGCGGGTCATTTAGATATGTATCCTCTGGGTCACAGTGATCTTTCACAATATCAGACTCGCAGGTGTAGATAAATCAGTCCTCACCTGACACGTTGATTCTCATACTATCCAGAAGGGACTTGGCTATGATATAGAAAACAGTCTTCACCTTGAAGCTCTGTACGCCACGAAAGGGCCGCTTGCTTGAAGTGAGGATATTGGCGGAGGATACGAAGACTCTGTTCCGTCGGCATGCACTGCCATTTCAGAAGGCAAAGGGGGCAGCGCCCGAGCTTTGACGGCCATGAGTGGACGTTGGTCTTAAGGCTGACTGCACTTGCACTTGGGCAAACGGAAGAAGGCCAAGGGGCGCTCAGAGACAATCCAACTTTGAATGAATTAGCTCATTCTTCAATACTCACATGTATCAACGACACAACACACAACCACTTGCGAGGGGCTTGGCGTGAGGCCAGATTTCTCGCTTGGAAGAGCAAAGATAAATCTTACTTTGGTCACGGTTGCCAAGTTGGCTATTAGGATCCTCGAAATGTTTGGATAACATATCCTCGATTATTTTCTGGTAAAGCTAGTATGTACAGAATGATATAGTAATAGTTTGGGGAGCCCTCATGGGTTCTTTTCTTCTATTACGATTAAGCCCTTCCGGCACGCTCCCTTACATCAATTACCCCCTCTCCTCCGGATGCTTTCGCCCTCGATGCGTCCATCGAAGCTGAGCGACCGTTGTTGTTGTATGCGCTTAGCAAGACTTGACGGTGGTGTACTTGCAGGCGGCGCTGACACCGGAGCGGAGCTCCTTGGGCTCCTTGCCGGGGACGGTACCCTCGTACTCAGTGCAGATCTTCTTAACAGAGGTAGCGCAAGTGCCAGAGATGGTAGCCTTGTCACCCTTGTTGGAGTTGATGCCAGTGAGGAGCTTGCCGTTGTAGGCCTTGACGTTCTTGACGACAACGTTGCGAGTACCCATCTTCTTGCAGTTACCGCAAGATCGGTAAAGCTTGCCAAAGTCAACGACAGTGAAGCCGTCGATGGTAACGGTACCAAGACCGTTGTGCTGGATGACCTTGTCGGAGGCACCAGTAGCACCACCTCCCTTGATGAGGGCGTTACCGTCACCCTTGAGGGAAAGGGCATCCTCGCAGACCTTCTTCCACCAGACGTTCTCGATGGTGCAAGAGCCCTTGCAGTGAACACCCTCGATCTGATCGGCGCCGATGATGACGTTCTTGAGGGTGGCTCCGTTCTCAAGGATGAAGACAGCATCCTTGTCGCCACCCTCCTTCTGGCCAGTGCACTTGGCACCACGGCCGTAGGTCTTCATGCCACCGTCAAAGGTTCCCTTGACGCTCTGAGCGGACTTGTAGGTGACGGAACCCTTGGAGGCGGGGATGGGGAAGGAGGCACGCTTCTCGAGGGCTCCCATGGTGTTGGGGGTGATGTTGCCCTGAGGAGTGGCAATGGCGGCAGAGGCAAAGAGCCCGGCGATGACCATGGAGAACTTCATTTTGATAGTGAGTTGAGGGTTGGTTGGTAAAGTGTTGAGTTTAGAAGTTGTGGAAGGTAAATATGAATCAGTGAATGAATGAGTGTATAACCACCAGGGTCAAAGAGTGTAAGAAGTTGAAAAGAGAGACAAAAGATGCAATGAGGAATGAGGAAAAAAGTTTACAGCAAACGGATGAGATTAGAGCTTTATATGGAAGAAATCAATCTCTTGTTGAGCCTTTGATATCACAAATTCATCCATCTCCTGTCTACCCTGGCTTTGCAATACGAGCTTTCTGGCCTCGGTAGCCCCAGCCAGGAGTTTCAGATCAGCCTCGTTGATACAGGCATGTCTGGCCATTGGCGGAAATTTTAAAACAAACTGAGGGTCTCTCCATCGACTCTTCTAGAGCCTGTCACCTGTCATTGTGGGGCCAATCCTTTGGGATATTGAGCAAGGATCGGTCATCGATGAGGCCCTGGACTTTCACTGATGGCCACGGATTTAACTCCATATCTCACTCCGTACTGTCAGATTACCCTTCAATTTCTCTGAAGGATATGATTATCATGAGATTCAAGTAAATCCCAAACTGCAGACTACTACCTCTTGCAATAAACAAAGACTCCTTTCCGCGTAAAATCTGAGACGACACCAGTCAGTCCGGAAACATGCCCCGTAAGGCGTAGCCCTGTTTAGTTAGTGCCCCATCTGCGGAAATGAGATGGGTTCACCCACCCACCCAAATATCCTTGGGCCCCTCGGGTGATTAGTGTTAAAAAGATGCTTCATTAAGCTTGATTTGGCGGGAAAATGTGAGCCCTCGAGTGACATGCTGGTGGCATGCTGGTGACACGCTCGCGTAAAATGATAAGTGCAGGTCAAGTGTCAAACCATCCCGTCACCGTTCTTTTCAAGATGCATGGAATCGATGCCAGGGGTGTGGCCATGCCAAGCCGGTTTATCGGAACTCTCGGCGATCTTGCGTTCATCCCTCAAGGTCTCCCATCGTTGACCGAATCTGACCATTTCCTCGTAAATCCGGCCGAGGTTCCCGAAACTATCTCGCGCTTCCTTGTAGGGTAAGCTTTTCTCTGGCTATTTCCTTACAATATCGTCTTCGCAGAGTGAGTATATAGGGAGTGAGATAGGAATTGCTATTTAATACGTAAATAAAGAGAAAGTTTTATCTATTTCCATATTTAATATGTGTGTATCTAAAGCACAGAATCTCGTCCCAGTGTTTCGCCTTTCGTTGAAATGATCTTTTTGTGTAAAAACTCTGCCAACATTGGTCACCATTAGATTAGTGATCGACCGCCAAGATGGACATTTCCGAATATCTGTAATAGAGCTCTGCACCTCCTTGGCATTTCTCACGGCCATGACTGATTCCATGATAGATTGTAGTTTTTGTCAAGCAAGTATATGTCCAATGAAACGTTGGTAGGATAGGTTGGGATGGTCCATTTGGGACCACATTTGGGTACCGAGAGGATGGCGGTGTGACTTCTCTGATGCACCGGATGTAAATGATAACGGCGACGGCCTACGATGCGTGCTCCTCAAGACGGTGTACACACAGTCGTCCAGGCCATGTTCGCTACTGTTGTCTCCTTCGATAGGGGGGAACCACTGACTGTCTGAGACGCTCCAGTGCTATGCTAACACCTTGATTTGTGCTTGCATTGTGAGAACATGATTTGGTTGTTACTCTTACCTGCCAGCTCTGAAATGGTTGCTCATCAGTCACATGATGCAGGAACCTGTACTTGTTCATTTCTGCGTTTCAGATATAATGGTATTGTTCGGATGTCAAAATGCCAAGCTGCCAGATCCCTGCCTGGTTCGTTGGACAGCTGCAAGATTTCCCCGACTGTCCCGCACACATTCCATTGAGAAAGATAACTATTTTGGGTGAGCGTCTTTCCCAGCCCCCCCACTGATTTCAAGGACCTCCCTGATGGCGGGTCGTGAATTTCCAGCAGCGGTGTAATGTGCGACATCCACTTTCTTCATTTTATTTCATTTCGGGCAACACAACCTTCTACTGAAGCATAGAGCAAGGTATGAGAAGATCCACAAATAGAGCTATCGTAATAATACAGCAGTGCTATGATAGCCGTCTTCTTGTGGCTCGGTCAGTGGACGGTATACAACGATAGTGAAAGCCGGACATTTTCCATGGCCTTTGAAGCCTCTTCTGATCTGTTGATACAACATTCCTTCTTATGGGGAGTATATGGGTTCCTTTTGTTGCAGTCTTTCAAAAAAGCCAAAAGGCTTACGCGAGGGATCAAAAAGTTCTTCTATAGTAAGCTCGGCGACCCGGAGTTGACCGAACCGGGAAGTCTAAAATGAGCTCAAGGCGAATTGATTGTAGGAAGCATAAGAATTAGACTTAAAGAAGCCATTAAGACGACCAGTATGCATATAGATCATTGTTGTGTGTGTGCTATCAGGGTCACGTGAAAGATCCTGTGGCTGAGTCAGCCTTGAGTCGACCAATCGGAGAAACCCCGGCTGAGCTGAATAGGAGAAGATGTTCTAGTTTAAGGGGCTCGTACAGGTAATTTAACATCAAAGAATCAGGAACACGAGCACAGACAGCTGAAGGTCGCCCACAAGGGCAATCCAGCTTTCGAGACAAGAACAGCCTTGTATTTCGACACTGACGGATCATGGTGACATTTTCTCGCTTCCATTGCCTGCTCCGGTCGTCAACCCCACAAAACATTCCTCTAACCCCGGTCTGCCAGGATGCCAGAGTCAAGCGATTACCCGAAGCGACCGGTTCTCATAGACATTGAGACCGGCTTCACTTTTTCTGCCGGGCGCTTCAAGGTCACTAATGGAAATGTGATCCGAATCAAAGGTTCCCGCCTACGGGCCCTCTTCAACCCCGCAAGCCTCCCCCAGAGACATGAGCGGGAGAAGGCGGAAAAGGCTGCAGAGGTTCTGTCAAATAAAGCGTTTGTGGCTGGACAGTTGAAGCATTACGGAATTAAATTTCCATCGACAGCTAAACTGGGTGCCATTCGTGATATTCTAAGACGTGCGGTAGATCAAGGCAAGGTAGGGGCTCATCTGTTCATCCCAAGCATCCTGAGTTCTATCTCACTATCTATCCTCTAGTGCGATCGGGTCCCGCCGTTTCTGAGGAGAGTTGAAGAGACAATGAGACGCGACATTGAGATTCTGGACGCGGAATGGGAGACCAAGATTGAGACCTGGCGAGAAAACAGGTTTGCGGCAGCCGGTGAAAGAGCCCAGAACGACATCAATGACTTTCTCGACTTGTATTTTTTAACCAACGGCTACCCGGATCCCAGCAAAACACCAGCACCTCTTGCGTTGTGTGGATACCGAGACCTCCACACAATTTACGTAGAGGCCGGCAAGGTACCTGGTCTTTCACTCGTCAGTGGCGGTTCTGCAAACAACCAAGTTCTATGTGTCGGTTGGAACTATCTCGCTGTTTCCAAGCTTGCAAGCACTTTCGGCAAAACGAATCAAACGGACAAGAATCCACAACAAGAGAACTATTGCGAAGACGATACGTATGATCAACACTATGACGCCGTATCAGGCCAGAACTTGGCCAATGTCTCCAAGCCCCTGGACTTGGAGCAGCTGTTCGGCTCGTATGTCATCCAATTTGATGGTATATCTGAGAAATGGCACATGGTAGACGTCTTTACTCTAGACATTGGTGAGCTCAATGACGGAGTGCTGATGGCGGCATATGATTTCGGAGACGTTTATGGAACAATGATCATGAGTCAGTCTGCAGAGAAGTTGGAACTCTGGGCCATGTTAAACGATTGCCCCGACGGACTCTCGCCCAAGCCCGCTCTCGTCTAGTAAGACATTATGAAACATCGTCACCAGCCCCTGGGCGCCTTTTCTATTTAATCCGCGGCCGCGCGAGGGGAGAAGATGTCATCTTCTATGATCCAGAGAGAGGCCACATCGACATCCTCGACGACGAATGCACCAAACTTTCAGGCATGGCTAAAACACTGGCGGATATGGGATCAGACCTAGACTTCTGGGCGCACAAGGTGGCAGACGAGCCTAACAAGCACGTCCGAGCTTGGGGAGACTTTTCAGAGAAGGCGTATGAGTTTGAGAGCAGGGACAGATGGCGACGGCGTTGAGAGGATTTGCTATTCGTACTGGGCGCATGTGAAATGCCGGTGCTATTCTATAGTTTTAATTTTTGAGCTTTCTTCTTGCCATTGTTGCTGAATATCCGATTTAGTACCACACGCGGCGTGGCGTATGGGAAGAAGGAGACCATAGCTATCATTCATCGACGTTCCTGTATGATAAATGATTGGCGAAGTCGGGAGGGGTTAGATAAGCCTCCATGGCATGGCCTAGAGAGGTCAATCATCCCTCTCCCTCGTCGGCCTGCATGAGCTTTCATGGCCTTCTATCATCAGGTTATCATGACCCAGCGTCTAAGGTGCGTCTCTGTGTTGGGTTCTGATTTCAAAATGCGTTAATATCCGTATTCTCTGTTCTTGTGACTGACGGTTTCTTTGAGGGCTTGCTCACTTCACAATAATCCAGTAATTTAACCACGCCAGTTCTACATCACGGAGCCGCTTAAGGCCCTCTAGGGCTAGTTTTTTCAAGTCACGGTTGGCTTTCACAGGACGATGTACCAGGTATATCGTTATGATTTAGATCCTAATAACTTTGTACCCGGTGAACCATAGAAAGGTGGCGACGTTTGCATCAACGACCGCAGTACCATTCTTCTCAACCTGACACTCTATACTGGGATCACCTCAATCACGCTGAGAAGGTGTACAAGACCCAAATTGTTTAAAAAGCGGAAATCCCAAGCCTAGGTTTGTTGTTCGAGGGCCCAAGTCGAGTATGCAAGCGGCTTGAGTCAGCCAAACGACAGGTAGCGCCTGAACACGCCAAGATCACGTTTGCCCAACAGTTATCTCGTCAAAGCCCGGCGATGAGTTAGACCGTCGTGGAAAAACAATGAGTCCACCCGATGGCTGGAATGCAATGTTGGACGATTCATCGCTCACGTACCGCATTCCTGTAACGATCCCGAATTTTACCTATGAGGAAGACCACCGGCTCGCCCTGCGAGACAGCCCTTGCTTTGCCCCCAGGGAGAATGATTGTCCGTGGCGGGCTGACCAACTGACAGCAATGTGCCTCGTCTTGGAGGGCCAGATCGAGATCGGTCCAAAACGACCCTTGCGTTGGCCCGAATGACCAACCGTCAGACCATGTTCCGAGACAAAAACTTCTTCTTTTGGAAAATTGCCTTGAAGATGGCGAGCTGACTAGAAACGAGAGCCGTGTGTCTCCTCGCAGAAAAGGGTTCAAGATCTTTCAAAAGCTGCCCTTGCGTTCCCTGTTGTGTCCCTCTATGGTATTTCTCACCACCAACAGCTGAAACTTGCAAGATATCGGAGCATGGCTGGCTGTTTCGGATCATGTTGCGAGGGCATTTTGCGTTCTGCGATGCGTTTGCTCCCCGGGGGGTTTCCTATGTACGGCTGATAAAAAGAAAAAGGCACCATGCCTTACATTGTTAACAAGTTCACCATGCCAATACGCTCGTGCACCCACTCTGGTCGCCTATTCTATGAACTTCATCTAAGAGTCTGATTTCCAGGCTGACAAGATGCAGTGCAGTCTGTCTATTCTCTTGGTGCTCATTGGCATCAATGTCGCCGGGGCTGCCGACTTTGCCCCTTCTTCTCTGTGTTTTACCTACATCTCGACCTTTTTGGGACCAGTAACCACAGCTATCTGTCCAGAGGCTCTAAATCCTTCAAGCTCCCCGTCAGAGGAGATTTCATCCTTTACTGCCTGCCTGTCACTGCCTTGCATCTCGGCCCAGCCGCCAGCCTCTACTCGATCGTTTTTTGACCCTAATGAATCATCTGGTACCGAAGAAGTTTCCCGAGCGACAGCTGGTAGTAGTTCAATCGTGCGAGTTGATTTTGCATCCTACAGCGAAATCAGGAGGTCCGAGCCTAGTGTTGATTCCACAGCCCCGACGAGCTTCATCACCACGAAGTCGACGTCTGGCCCAGCCTCGATTGACACCGAAATCCAAACTTCCGACCTAACTATCCAGTCTGGAGCCTGGAGGGATTCTACCAAGACCGGATCAGCATCTAATTCGGCGTCAATCGGCACCGACACTCCTGAGCCTGATCGATTAATCGTCTTCTCCATCACCCAGAGCGTGGAAGAGGACGACGATGACACAGACGGTTCCAGGAAAAGAGACTTTGGAGGTTTTGTCGGCAATGGAAGCCTGCATAATCCTGACAGCTGCATAGATGCCAGACCATTTGCTTTTTCCCAGGGTCGACTCTTTGACGACGATGGGCCTATATACTACCAGGTTGGAGATACCCACAAGTTGTTTGGTGGTCAAGGGCCGCTCCCTGAAGGGGCGGTTGACACAGGTTTCTTAGCCGCAGGAGACTACCTTCGTCGGACTAATGTCAGACTGCCCAATGGCAAAGCGAGTTTCTGCCTGGAACCTGTGAGTGGGCAAGTCTACATCGCATTCACCTCTCAGCCACCGGGATGCTTGCCTGCCCCTTTGTCCATTTTACCAGGTATGTTGGTGGCCGCGCTGATACTTGCTGCCCCATTAACAAGCCAATAGTTTCTGATTGCCAAGATGATCGATTGGTCTCAGAAACCTTACAGAGTACCCTGGATGCCTCGACATCTAGCTCTGAGTTTGAGGGTAGTTTTGGTGCTGCACCCCCTGCCACCTCGGATGCTACCTCCCCAGGTGTTGCCTCCACACAAACTACCGTCTCAAAGCAACGTCTATCGACAACGCTAGATCCCTTATTTATCTTTGTCCCGCCGACAGACGATCCTCTATCACCAAAAAGCACAACCGGGGCAGCCCCCACGAGGTTTATATTCACAAACTCGTCTCGTCCATTGTCTACCTTCTTCATGACTTCAACTCCCCTCGAAAGTAAGAGCCCTAAAGCCAGAATTGAACGAGGTTTTTTTTCCTGACCACACTGCATCAGTTGATCTGGCAACATCGACTGGCCCTGAACCCGAAGAATCTCCATCTGTGACACGCTCAGCTGGCCCCGGTTCTATGACACTGGGCTCTACGCAGGCCCCTGGAATTGCCAACCCCGAATCCAGGTACATGGATACTTCTTCCTCTTCTCTCCCCACTTCGCCAGCTGACGTCTCACCATCTACCAGCTCCGAGTTCGAGAGCTCTTTCTTTACGTCAGATTCAGCCGTGACTCCATCTTCTCATATTGCGAGCACTCTTCCTCCATTGTCAACACCAGTCTTTGTGGAAGAGTATTCAACAAATCTAGAGTCCACAGTTATACTCCCCGAAACAACCAGCTCAGAGCCAACTTCCGACATAATAAGCTCAGAGTCAACCATCATGACATACCTAACGGCTGACTCCACGGCAAGCTTGACAACACTCCCCACAACTGATGTCACAACCGAGTCCACTACTGGCACCACCATGGACTCGACAACCTCCGACTCGACTTCAGACTTCACAAAGACCGACCCTACGACCTTCACTACAGAGTCTACCTTAGAATTTACTACTGATTCTACTACCGATTACACTACCGATTCTACCACCGACTCTACCACAGATTTCACTACATATTTTATCACTACCCAAGAGGAGACGACTACGACCACAATGGCCCCTACCACCAGCGAGTGCACGCCTTTTGGTGCCACTCCTTCTCTCAGTAACCCTACTGTACTGGTTAGCGATAGCCAAAACGTCGACGATAGTTTCTACTCCGTGTCTCTACCGTTCGCCATCGGCGCCTTTGATGTCTATGACACGAATGTCTTCGTCAGCTCAAATGCCATGGTCACACTGGGAGAGGGGACTCGCGTTTATTCATCTCGCCCATTGCCGGCTGACACCGTCCCGGAAGTCACGGTGTTTGCGTATTGGTTCGATCTTGTATACCGGGGCTTCCGACCAGGAGACGGAATAAGGTACGAGGTCTTCAATGGACCTTATGGTCGTCAGGTCACCTTTGAGTGGAGAGGTCTGAACTATGCAACACAGACTCTCAGCTTCCATATCCAACTCAGTTTCTATGAGGACTTCCCTGGCCGGGTCAATGCCTCGTTTATTACTACGGCGAAGAAGGGGCAAGGTGCCACTATAGGAGCACAGAACCGGAGAATCCCTGCCTTCTTACAGTGGTCGTATAATGCTCCAGGCTCGGTTCCAGACGGGACGTATGTCCTGTTCGAAACCGATGGAGGGAAGCCTAGATCTATGAGGAATGGCCTGTTGCCACGTTGGGGCTGTTCTGATTAACTGAATCCCTGGTTTTTCTTCTGTGTATGTTTTAGCTAGTAAGAAAAGGTTCGGGATGACGATGGTAGGATAGGCTAGCATAAGTGAGAGTGCCAGGTGCAGAACCCAAATACGTGATCGTCAAGAAGAGGATTCTCGAATAAGGGCTGATAACGTTAATGTAAGAGGATGCTTGATCTTACTTGGAATCCTATCTCTTTGCGCGGGGACTGCCAGAGCGTACTTATCTCCACTATCAAATCACTATCTAAGACTCTATAAAAGAATATAAGAATATATTACTCTCTCATCTTAATTTTAGTGAGTATAGGAAGAGACTTATCATAATTGGTCTAGATCCCTCCTCAGTACCTAATGGTAGTCCCCGCGCAAGCAAGGAGATAAAATGTGAAAATGAGCCCAACCTGTGGGACTATTGCATTAAGCACTTTGATTCACTCATCGTGAGTGAATTCTCTCGAGATTCAGTAATTCAAATGTGTGTCTACTTCAGAAGGAGCCTTTGTTCTAAGCCTACATCTACTGGTTGAGCCACGGAGCTGGATGGACCACGTAGATTACTCGTATGAGTGGCGTTAGGCCGATGCTATGGTTGGAGAACGAGATGAAATAACAATTCTCCGGACTGCCAAGGAGTCGTCTCGTTACGGTTTGTCGATCATCATGACTAATACTGGTTCCTGGTATTTTGCTTGATGGTCGATGTGACGCGGGGTTTTCAGTCCAATGAGTCATACCGAACTCCAATCTGGCTGAACCTGGGGAACAAACTTGACTCCAACCTGTTTGAGAGACGAAATAGCTGGTTCATCTACTCTCGTTCAAACTCACTATCACCAGCGAAATAACATTAAATCGATATATCCACGGTTTCAAGTCATGGAAGCACCAAACGATGTCAAAGATCGCCTTCGCGCATCTTATAATGCCATGTCCTCGCAATACAATACCTGGACCGAGCGCCATCATTACCTGCGTCGAAAGTACCTCAATGAACTTGTTGCCCATTGCCCAGAGCTTGTCTCAGACAGTGACGGCGAGAAGCACGAAGTCCTTGAGTTGGGATGTGGTTCCGGGGATCCGTTTCTCTCCACCCTACTCTCGCAGGCCCCTACTGTACATGCACATGCCAATGACCTATCGGATGTGCAACTTGACCTTGCACGGAAGAATCTCGCGGCTTATGAAGGTCGTGCTACTTTCTATCCCGGCGACATGATGAAGCTAGAGTTTGCACCCGAGTCTCTCACCTCAGTCATCGCCCTGTACAGCATCATCCATCTGCAGCAGGAGGAGCAGAAGGAGATTTTTCGTCGCATTGGTAACTGGCTTGCACCTGGGGGTGTTTTTCTCTCAACATTTGACAGGAACAAGGAGTCTGGCATCATAATGGATAAATGGCTCGACGATAAGGGATGGATGTTCTGGAGTGGCCTTGGAAAGGATGAGACGGTTGCGGCTTTGCAGGCGAGCGGATTGAACGTTGAGAAAGCTGCGTTGGAGGGAGATGAAGAGGAAAAGTTTCTCTGGGTTATTGCTAAAAAGGTCTAAAGTGCACGAACGGGTTATATACTTGTTTCACCTTTCAACACATCACTTCTAGTGACTCTATTTCCACATGAACCTTCTGTACTAGTCACTCAATCTCATCTATACTGACAAAGAAGCATGGGTCCGTGACTGTACAAAAAGAGGGCATATTTGTAAATATCTACACTGGCTATCGCGATGGCAGAAGAGTGATGACGTGTTGGCAAAATCTGGCTAAAACATCTACGTGGCAGCTCTACTCCGAAGCCAAGGGGCCGGGCTGGGAAAGCTGCAAGGTTAGGTGAGCAAGGTGAAGGTGGATAAATGCTCAGTTGGGAGCGGGAAATTGGCTCTGGCGCTGGATCTAGGGAGCCCAGCAACCATCCAAACTGATTGCTTACGATCAGTGGAATACACGTAGGTACCTTGCGAAAATGAAGCCTCGATCGAGAGTAGAACATGACGTGAACATCAAAAGCTGCCTGGTGTTACTGCTACGGTTTGGCTGTGCCCACCAAGGCAATTGACCAAAGCGAAGCCCCTAACCAACGTCACCAACTACCACTAACTGGCCCGAAGGATACCCGCCTTGCACTAGTCGAGCCAACGTGAGCGAGGGGCCAAAACAACTACCCCCTGGGCCCATGCGACAGTGATAAGTTCCGAAGTACTTAGCGCCGCCACGGAAACAACAATCATTGGGGCTGGGCCAGGTGCCCATAGCATTATATCCCAATGCTAACACAGTCTAAATAAACTTCGTGATAAGTTATCTCCTGGGATATCATAAAACTACAGTGAGGAGAAGCGTGTCTCTTAATACTTCATAAATCACTATTTCTTGCTGGAGTACCAAGAATCTATAGTTACTATATGTAATCCAGAGTGTATCTTGGTTTACTAGCTATTGTATTAGGTTCCATGTCCACTCAGTCTTCCTGCTCAGGCCCCGGGGCACCGAGTTACTCGTGGCAGCAGCAAGGGTAACTAATACGGCTCGTAAACTACTCATCATCGGCCCGAGAGATGGTATTGTGCAACTTGTGCTCCCCCATACAGCTTGCCACCAACAGCCCTAACGCTGCGAATGCTAGCCCAGTTAAAAACACTCCCCGCAGTGCAGTCGAGTATGCCTGGTATACTCCTTCACTCCATCCCTCAGGGAGATTCTTGAGCTCGTCTAATGAATTTAGGAGGCGCTTTATAACGTCCGCAGACCCCTCACGACCATCGAAGCGCTGGTGTAGACCTTGCTGAAGCAGGTTCTGATACACTGCCGAGGCGATCGTGACACCAATCGTTGAGCCCGTAGATCGAAAGGCGTAGTTGGCCGAAGTGGCAACAGCTTGCTCATTGTGTGATACGGCTGCGACGGTCGCGAGTAGGGCGACGCTCAACATGCCGCCATATCCTGCTCCAACCAGGAAGACATATACCAAGGCTGGAACAGTCGGGGTATCGCTGGTCATAGTGCTGAGGCCGACGAATCCGACAACAGAACATGCAATGACAGCTAGGCCCAGAGTCTTGTACTTTCCTGTGCGTTTCATGATATAACCGCAGGCGAGGGAACTGATGGAGGTACCCGCGCTTTGTGGCAGGAGACGCACGCCGGAAGCCGTGGTGGAAGCGCCGTACACCTGAAAGAATACAGGAACGTAGAACGTGGCCATGAAGAGTACCATGGTTATGAGACAATTCATCAAGCACGCGGCCAGAACCGTCAGGTTGAGGAGCAGATGCATTGGGATGATGGGCTCCTTGGCCCATCTTGTCTCGACGAAAACAAATGCCCCTGCGACCACGACCGACATTGACACGGAGACCAGAACAAGTGGGTGTGTCCATCCAACAACATTCCCGCCGGAGTTGAGGCCTAGAAGGAGCAGTACCAGGGCCATAGACAATGTGAAAGCCCCTACAAAGTCCACCCTCGACAGCCTTGGCTTGTCATGCGGCTCGGGTGGAGGGCTCTTGAGGGTCAAACAGACGAGTATGGCCGAGATGGCAATCACTGGCACACGGCTGAGAAACGCAGCCCTCCATCCCCAGAAGTCGTTGACCCAACCACCGAATAAGCCGCCAAGCCCGGCCCCGGCCCCGTAGCAGACGTGGACGAAGCCCTGAACAACGCCTCTCTTTCTCAGAGGCACGAGGTCGCTGGCCACAAACGCCGTGATGGCATTCAGCCCGCCGCCACCCATGCCCGCCACTACCCTGCCAGCGAGTAGGACCCATTTGGACGTTGCAAGTCCACACATGAGGGTTCCAAGGCCGAAGAGTATGTTACACACGACGAGTCCGGAGCGGCGCGAGAAGATGTCGGTCAACCGGCCGGAGAGAGGCTGGCACGCCGCATTGGCGACCAGGTAGGATGATCCAAGCCAGGAGACGAGGCTCAGGGAACCAAAGCAGTTTGAGATGGGAACAGAGAGGGTGGCGACAATGGTGGTGTCGAGTGCGGCGAGGAAGACACCGATGAAGACGCTACCGAAGACGACGAAGAGGTATCGATTGGATGGCTCCTCGACAGCGACTACCGTCTGGGCGTTTGGCGAACCTCTAGAGATGGGAGACCTCGTCTGGTCGTGGACGAGAAGCGGAGATTCTTCATCGGCGGCCCCAGTAGTGACTCTGTCTTGGACACCTGCGGCGCCATGGCGGGCATGTTCGTCGTACATTTTTCCACGATCTCGGAGGCCACGTAAAATGTACGGACGATGTAAAAGGTTTGGCGACGGGACGAGATGAAAGAGGAGGAAGACAGGAGGAGATGAAAGGAGCAAAACACGGCACCATGAAGAGGCACGGTAGGGTTGGAGGGGACGGGGGGAGGGGACGGGGTGAACAAAGGAATAGACAAAGTGAGACAAAGAGGGGAACCGGGGACGACGGTGGCAAATGGATACGTCTCCCCCTTCCGTACCTGCTCACCCGCCTGCAGCTGGCCCTGCCAATCTTTGGAGTTGATATGGTGCATAGCTCCACGGGACGGATACTTGTGTTCAGTGACCGAAACATTTCCGCAACATGCCGTATCCCGTGCGATGTAAGATGATGATGACATGAGTGGCTCTTGTCCACTACCCTACCTCCGTACATGGTATATTGTTTCCCCCATGGTGCGCCGTTTGTACATAGTTGGGACTATTATAATTGGAATCTGTGGTTGACGGAGAAGACAAAGGAAAGAATATAAAGACTGGTGTTTCATGGCTAAATAGGGAGCGGTTTGATAGTGTCGAGTTAACGTCAATGCTTTGGGGAAGCTGGATTCAAGCAAACTAGGTAGTCATTGGTTTGGAGCCCAACCTGTCCCTTCGAGTCAACCCTCGAGCACTAACACATCCTGGTTGGTGTCTCAACAACCTTTCTCAAATAAATACACCAAGGTCCTTGTCCATACCGCCAGTTGCAACGGAATCCAGGCGTTGCTCTTGCAGAGTTTTGTTAAAGCTGCTATACTTGCTGAGAAACCACTGCTCCGCTGTCACCTCTTCCCCATCAATTCCCTTAAAGACTGCACTGTCACTGGCCCGGAGAAAGTAGGCTGCCGAGTACCTATCCTTGGACATCTTCCCACCGGGGGGTAGCACCCGGTGCATGGCTGATCTGAAGCGCCGCTTGGAGATGAAGCGAAGTGTATCAGCAACGTTGATGATTGCATGACCCGGCTTTGCAACTACATATTCCCACCTGTTGGTATTGGGTGATAGCACCTGTAAGCCTGGCTGCTCGGTGAAGAGGAGGGTAAAGGAGCCGACATCCGTGTGCGCGTTGTGGCCGCGAGCTGTCTTGTCCTCGAGTGCCTCGCTGACGGGATGGTGGAGGAAGAACAGGGTACTCTTCGAAGGCAACTCGTCCGGATGATAGCTCTCAAAACGCCCATTTCCCGTGAGCCCAACGGCATCAGACAAGCTTTCCAGAAGGGTCTTGAGCACGTAATGAGCAGAGAGCTGAAAGGTTTCAAAAAGATCCATGTTCTCTTGGACCACATCTGGAAGGTTGGAGCGGTTGAGAAGGCCAACACGGCTAATCTGAATTTCTGTTAGTTTTCGATATGCAAGACTGCCCTTGAGGATCCTATTTACCCTCAAGGCCTCAAATCCATCCCGCGAGTTTTCGTTAACTCCTGACTGTACACCTGGTGGTTTGAATCTTGAACAGGTTAGCTTATCTAAGATGTCTCAAAAAGCATATGACAATGTACCCATGAGCGTCAGATATCGTCTCCGTTTTCAACTTATCCACTAATGGTTGATCGAACCACGGCTTCATGATTCGCCAAGATGCCTCCAGACTCTGCAGCATCCTCCCAGACTCCCAATCACGAAGATCAAGGTAGAAGAAACCATGATGTTCACAGGCGGACAACAAGTTCGCCAGCTCACTTTTGTCGCCATTTAGAAGACGAGAAAAGCTCAATACATGGAGATTGGCTTCCTCCGGACCTGGTTGAGGGTCTGTATCTGTAGGCATGATAAAGAAGCGCGACACCTCAAACTGGTGAAATGGAGGTGGATAGTTGCGAGACAGCGGAGAAGGATTGAGGGGTGTTCCGTACGTAACCTTGATATATTATATGACTTTATCGCGAAGTAAGTGACATAATGCATGCCACTACGTCCGAAGTCACAGCCTTTTACGTAATTTTCGCATGTCGGAGACAAGAGACGTCGTGATATGTGACAATATGCCGGCGGAGTGGGTAAGCTGAAGACGGGATCTGGACTTGAAAGCAGCCAAGGAAAATGGACAGTCTTCAAGATACCCAGGCATCAGATACGGGCGAGCTGCCTGTGGGGGCATTGGCTGAAAACACGGCACCTCGCATGTCTCATCACCTCGGACCTTTCGATGCAACCGGTATACATGTCTCATCGCATCGGCGGCTTGCGATCGGGTCCCTTGACGCCTTGGTGACGTGTCTCTGGACGGCACGCTCCTGAGACATGCGTACATGCAGCTAATGGGATACGCCTGAAAGCTCGTATAATACTACGGCCTGATGGGGAAGGCGTCTTGACTCAACCTATAGCAGATAGACCTACTATATTCCTAGACTAGTAATAAATCTTTAATGAGTTAATAGATAATAAAGTACCCTCTTCATAGTAATAAAAAGGTAATATTTAAAATCTAAATATAAGTTTAAATAATTAAAATCTTTTAATAATATATTAATTTATTTTATTATCTTATTTTATTAATATTTTATTTTACTTTTAGTATTAAAAAATAATTTAAAAAATTATTAATATTTTTATTTTATTTTAATTAAATTATTATATTAAAGTAATTAAGATTTTAATACTGTATTTTATCTAGTAAAGCTAAGTTTTAACTATACGTTCTTTATAAGATAAGGTAGTATATTATAGTCTCAAGTATACATATCTATATTTCTATAGTATTCTGCTATATAGTATATAAAAAGTCCGCCTCATTCTTAGTAGCTATCGTCAGTCTTGTTGAGGTAAGAGCAAGAGCACGGCAACCGGCAACTTATGTATTTATCTTGCCTCGCATCCTTTGTCTGAAAACTTGATATCGACTCGACGGTAACTCACCAACACGCCTACAGCCACCACCGGCCCAGCTATCAACATGGTCGTCTTGCCAGAGCCCTTTGCCTCATTTGAGCGTACTCCTCTCCTCTTCGACCAGCCTTCTCCCCTCCACCCGCTGCCCAACCTTACGCGGCATGTCAATTCTACCACTTCCACCAAGGCCCAAATCTGGGCTAAACGGGAGGACTGCTCTTCCGGTCTTGGCCTTGGTGGAAACAAGATCCGCAAGCTCGAATACGTCGTCCCCTCAGCCATGGCCAGGGGCTGCGACACACTGATCTCCACCGGCGGCACGCAGAGCAACCACATGCGCCAGGTTGCCGCCGTCGGAAATTACCTCGGCCTCAAGACCGTCCTGGTCCCGCAGGTTCATGGGCCGTCCAAGTCTGAGGCGTTTGACCGGGCTGGGAATGTGCAAGTCAACGCTGTACTGGGGGCTCAGTACGCAGAACATAATGCCTCACTCGAGGACGTTGCAGCTGGTATAGAGGAATCGGGTGGGAAACCGTACATCATAGCCTCGGGGGCATCTGCCCATTTGCACGGCGGTCTGGGGTTCGCCCGCTGGGCATTCGAGGTGGTTGAGCAAGAGACGGCTCTCGGCGTCTTCTTCGACACCATCGTTGTCCCTGTGGCCTCTGGGGGCACCATTGCCGGCATGATTGCAGGATTCAAACTCGCTGACCGACTGAGACAAGAGTCAGTACTCGGATCATCCACTGAGACCCGCACTCGCTGCATCATCGGCATCGACACCTACAACAAGCCGGCCGGCGTACTCGAGGCCACGGTTCTTGAAATCGCCAAGCGGACAGCCAGGCTCATTGGGATCGGCGAAGATGCCGTCCAGTCTCATGATGTGGTCCTCGATACAAGGTACAATGCTGGGACGCATGTGGCTTGGGACGAGCATACGGCCAGGGCGGTCAAGTTGCTCGGGTCACAGGAGGGCATCGTTACCGATCCGATCTACTCGGGCCGGACCGTGGGCGCCATTCTTCACAAGGCGGAGCAAGGTGAACTTGATGAGGCGCAACGTGTCTTGTTTGTACACACAGGCGGGCAGGCAGCGCTCGGCGCATTTCCTGACATGAGATAGGGCGGCATCCATATCTGCCATGGTATCTCGTTTAGGCCTTGGGCCATCTGTATTTAATCTGCCTCTTTGATCTGGCAGGAAGCTTGAACAATGCCAAAAACACATTTGCTTTTACTTTCATAGCACCATACATAACACGCGGCTCATGACGGCAGCCTGATCCGGGGCCTCTTAGGTTCCTGGTCTCAATGGCCCGGGGATCCAGACACTCATAGCCATTCGTATGAGTTGTTCAAGGCTAAGATGCACCCGATGGCTGAGACATCTCGCACGGTATACGGAGTATTTCGCATTTCGCCCCTATAATGGCCTGTGCTGCTCCGTACATTGCTTATAATATTGTATTACCTTGCAGTATTAGTGGCCTTGGCACAATCCCGCCCCTTTTCGTTTTCCTCGTATATTTCTGAAGCAATGCCACGTCCACCTTTCAGCTGCTCAATATCAACCCTCGCATCAGCCCACTACTGAGACATACGGCGCTTGCCAACCTACTTCGGAGTAAAGCAATGCGATCCCATTGGTGCAAGTGGTAGGATAAGCCCCAGGCAAGTCCGAGACATCTGGCTTTCCCGTGTGGGGGGCGGGCCCAGTCTCGTTTTTATTTTCTCCTGCGGTGTCTACGGTCGTACAGGCATCTCGGCCTGAAGCTCCATCCTATGTACATGGCAATGCGTCCTGATGTCGTGAGTTGCCTAGTTGCGGTGGGGCCTATGTAATATGTCTCAGTATGCAATTGCTTGTATGGCTGAAGCCAACCCACAAGGTGCCGGGGGACTGATGGCTGCGCGAGCCGTAAAAACCAGCGTGTGCAGATTCATTGCTCCCGCCCGCGATAAGGGCAAAGTATTGATATGTACTGAGTCAGATTCGCCCTTATGTCTCATGATCCGCAGCCAAGCATTTGAGTCAAAGAGACATGGGAATCGGCATCCGAAAATAGGGTCCTACGCGTGTCGGTGGATGCGGCTTGAGGGCCGTGAGGGATCTACATTTCTGGCTCAAAGAGTAGTGATATTTAAAATCCGACGCGAGGTAGTGACCGCACACTGTATCTTCTTACACACACTTTCATTCGCTCCAGTCCTGTTCCCATACTCTACGTCCTTCGCCATGGCGCTCGTAACACCGTCCAGCCCGTATGACAATGTCAACACTGCTGATCTCTATACCGTCAAGTTCGACAATCTTTTTGATGGAGACGAGCAAGAGTTGACGACTCTGTTAAAGGCCTGCGAGAGGGACGGCTTCTTCTATCTGGATCTTCAGGGCTCGGGCTCTGGGAAACTGTGGAAGGACTTGGACCGAGTGGGCGAAATTGCCAAGCGCTGGTTCGCTCAGCCCGCCGAAGTCAAACTGGAGACTCCAACATTATCGCTGGCACATGGGTTTGTGTCTTCCTTCTGACCCTTCTTGACCAATGGCTCAACTAACCGCTTTGAAACTAGATTTAAGGCTACCGGTAACCAGTCCGGGGCAGTTGAGTCACTCAGAGATGGCTTCGAAGCTTTGAAAGTATGCACCATTCCAAATGATTATTTCGTCTTGGACGATGTCTAACCATCCAAGATTGGTAGAAACGAACTGCTCGGCCGCTGGGCGCTTCCCTCGGTTGTCCAGGACAACTTGCCCCTATTCGACCAGTTCAACGCCTCCTGTCACTTTATCTTGAAACTCCTCCTGGACTGTCTCTCAGACGGTTTGAATCTCAAAGGAAGCGCCCGTCTAGACACCTATCACCGCGACGACGCCCGCTCCAAGAGCACTCTTTACTTTTTGCACTACCCGCCCGGCACCGAGAACCTGGAAGAAGTCGGCCAGAACATGCACACCGACATTGGTACGCTGACCCTCCTCTTTGCACCACAATGGGGCCTCCAGGTCGTGTCGCCCGTAACAGGCGCCTGGGAGTACGTCAAGCCTCGGCCGGGACACGCAATTATCAATGTCGCCGACACTCTGAGGTTCCTATCCAACAAACGCTTCCGCTCGGCGCTGCATCGCGTCCTTCCACTAGGTGGTATCCAGCAGGAAGATCGCTACGCAGTTTCGTATTTCTTGAGGGCGTCGGATGCCACTGAGTTCAAGGACAGCAATGATAAAGAGTCGAATGCCAAGAACTGGTACCTGACAAAGTATGAGACGTATGAGCTACCGCACGATATTCAGGGCAAGGAAACCGTGCTGTCGGGGGGGATGGCGCAGGAACTGCGGGTCACGTTTTGACTGAGACAGAGATCGTAGCTGGGACTAGTTTCGTTTCTTTCACTGAGTTATTCAATGCAACATCCTGGGGCTGAAGCTAGTGGCAGGTAGACCCTTCTACCGATGCCCTTAAAACTGCAGTAAAGTTCCGCAGAGGGTTCACCCAAGTTTGACTTGGGATAGATACCGTGGTCTGTTGTGTTACTTAAGCTTGAGATACTTCCCAGGGTTGCCTGTGCAGCTGGCATCTCGGGCTCCTGGTAGAATCACTCCCTGGCTACGATGATGTTCGTGGAAACGAAGCGACGTGGGCGACTACAGTCGGCAAACCCCCACACGCCTGTCCCCTTGTCACAGCAGTCCACCCTAAACGCTAAGTAGGAATAGGAATTTCCGCCAAGGACATCTCGACGCCCTCTGTTCCCTGCTCCGCACTCTCAGGTAGGGAAAAGCACTCGCTGCTTACTCGACACTCCCCTCCATGGAACACAACGAGCTGGATATCTAGGAGACATAAGGTATACAGGTCCAGTCAAACATGGGTGCGATTGCAAAAAGATATGGGACTTTTTAGTTGGCACCAGCAGAGTAAATCATAAAGTTCTGGTATTTGCATGAAACTTGAACGACCCGGGCCAGGTATGGCTGTGTCTGGGAAGCAACTCACTATTCAAAAGCTCGCGGAAATGAATAACTAAGAAAGTGCACATCTCAGACAGCGAAATCACTAACGGCCAACAACCACTTCCTTGGCATCACTTGGGAGATTTCCCTGATATTAGTATACACGACGCTATGAAGTGTTTATCCATGCCTATCTCATATACCCTCATCAGTGAAGCCTCTGGTCAACATACCGTTCCCCCTTGTGTTGCTAGTCCTGAAATTTTTGGTAACTCATTTTCTCACAACCGTTGCCGGGTGATCGGCGACGGAGGTGTTCTGTCTAGACTTTCCACCCAGGGGTCTCGAAAGAATATTTTGACTTGGCTGAGTCGTTCAGCGTCATACTCTTTATCTAATGTGGTGCTGTTAAAGGAATGATGCTGTTTCGGCGTCTTGTTTTAGTCAGCTTTCACATTTCTCTACGGCTAGACAAGTTTTCTATTTACCAAGCTTTCACTTTCAAGGCTTTCGTGCATACTGCAAGAATCTCCGTTATCCCCTCCTTAAGCTTTGGTTCGTCGCCGGTACCAGTGTATAATAATCCGGTTGGTGGGTCTTGCAAGATATCCATAAGAGCTTGCTGGCCATCAGACTGGCCTTCTTCCTCTGTATTAGTATCCCTGACGTCGTCCACTCTATCGTCCCCTTCTTTCTTGTCGACTGAAGCTGTTTCCAGCTTCGCCCCCTGTTGACTTGGCAACTTTGACTGGCTTTGTGTTTTGGCGGCCAGTCTCATTGCTCGTTCAAGTACCCCTGTTGACTCTTTGGACTGGGGAGAACTGGCAATCAGTATCCACAGAATCTGGGGGAGCTTCATGAAGGTCGCCCATTCAATGGCACTCCAGCCATCTGACTTGACCGGTCTGGCATTCCCCATACTGCTGTGCATCTTGATCATAATCAACTTGGCGATGTCGTGTCTGACTGGGCTCACCGCTGCCCAGCTTAGAGCGTCGCGCTGCCGCTCATCTGACCCAAAATCGGCCGTCTCCAACCTAGGAGAACTCAAGAGTGCCCTCATGACGTCCTCGCGCCCCGGGCGGGAAGCAATAAAGAGTACAGTTTGGCCGTTCCCATTCTTGAATGACGCGTCGACATGGCGCTTACGTTCCAGAATAAGGTCAACGGTAGCAACGTCACCCGATGCTGTTGCGGAATGTAATACTGTACCGAAATGAACTGCCACTGCCTCCAAATCAGCCCCTCGTTCGAGCAAGAGCCTCAATATAGTCTCGTGTCTTCCAGGCTGGAACTCGGGATTACTTCTCTCCTCTTCGCTCAGACCATCAGGACCCCATATCTTTGAGTCCCACGTGATGCATCCAAGTGGGTTACAAGCACAGTGCAGCGGTGTTCTGTCCCAGTATGTTTTGAAGTTCACTGAGACTCTCCCTTTCGGTCCCAGTAGCAGCTTGACCACACTCTCACAGCCCGAGTCGATCGCTTCAAATAATGCCCGTGATATCGTATCTTGTGATAACCCGATTGCTTCTCGATGGTCCAGCAGTAGTTCCACAATCTTGGTGTGACCGCGTGCAGTCGCCATGTTCAACGCATTCCGGCCATTGTTTGATTCACAATTGCCATCAATGGGAGTTTTCGACCTTGTAATCATGTCCAAAGCAATTTCTCGCTGGCGGTAGCCGCAGGCGAGAGCGAAAATCGGCACCGGTCTGTCAAATATCCGGACTGTACAGTCTGCGCCGGCGTCAATCAGGAGACGGGAAATAGTCGTGAAACCCCGTATACACGCAGTACCAAGTGGCGTGGCCTCGTTGTCAGATCGCGTCTCCAACTGTAGGTCTTCATCCTCTGACCGGCGGACAAGTAGCATTTTCACAATGCCTTCACGCTCGTTTTGGATTGCTGTCATTAATGGTGTGCTTCCATCCCTGGCACGCGTATCAAGCCTCGATCCTGCTTTAAGCAGCATACTGACAATCTCTCCGTGACCGTTGTAGACTGCCCCGTGAAGGGGCGTCCAGGTGTTGGTAGATTCAGCTTTGTCAAGAGATGACTGGTCCTTCTCGAGAATGAGTTTGACTGCGCTTATATGACCGCGGAGAGCTGCTAAAAATAGAGGGCTCCTCCCAGTGCGATTAAAGACTTCTGTGCTGGCGTGATGATTGAGAAGCAGTTCTACCACATCTACATGCCCGCGTCGACAGGCCAGACCGAGTGGTGTCTGGTCGTATTCTCCCCGGGCCTCGATATATGCGTTTTTTGCGAGGAGCTCCTTTGCAAGCTGCAGATTGCCCAAAAAGCAAGCAATGTGAAGGGGATGGTCATTTGTGTTGTCTGCCACCGTGGTCTGCGCACCAGCGTTGAGTAGCTCGATGGCAACCTTTTTCAGATCTCGCTCGACTGCAATATGAAGCGCCGTCTGGCCCTTCTCGTCTTTTGAGTTGATCCTCGACTTAGTCGCTCCATCTAACATAGCTTTGAGTTTCTCAATTTCTGCATCGCTGGAAGGGTGGCTGTCTTGATGCATGTCTCGAAAGAAGACATGCCAAGAGTTCGGATTGTCGTCGCTGCCCTCAAGGATTTTGCTCTCCAGTTTGGTGAGGCCTTCAGTTGATGATCCATGGATATTCTGATCAACTGCCGTCTCGCCCTCACTTGGGGAAGTTGGCACTGTAGTTGCGCCACTTCCATCCTCGGCAGCAGTGTGATGATGGGTGGCTTCATCTGACTCCATGATATGCAGGGTTAAAAGAAAATGAGAAGAAAAGATGCGGTCAAGATATAACGTGAGAGTGAGAACGAACTTGGGCAATATAAGGGTTTGGAATGTCTGTCAGGCAACAAGAAGATACAGTGACAGCAATTGTTGAAGTGATCCATGGTTAAAAGTACTGCGGCGTGCTTCTTAGACTGGCTCACCGACTATTACTCCAAGCTCGGTTGGGACTTTCGAGCCCCGCGTCAGCAAGAAGCGAGTGTCAGATCTGGCTTTACTTTTCATCATCGTCTCATTGTGGTGCCCCGCTTTCAGGCAGCATCTGAATAGACGAGAATGATGGCTGCATACTACTGTGCTTCTTAGTCAGATGCTGCCCCTTAGCTAGTTATGGTTTTCATTATCCTCGCTGTGAAGCCTGGGTGTCCCTTGAATAGTATAGGCAACTGAGAGATCCGAGTTTCAGCTAAGGGGGACAAGGACGTATTGTCCATCCAGAATTTCCTTTTTCGTTTTCAGCGGTGGCCGTATTGAGCCATATACGCCAAGATGATAGCAGAGGCGGTTCTCGAGCCAGTAGCAAGTGGTTATATGCGGCAGGGAGATAGCACAATCTCCATACGGCAAGATAGAATAAATCGTGGTCTAGTAGTGTGTTGTTGATCCGGGGACATTGAAAAGGGAATATTTAGATGAATAAGCTGCTCGACTCTGAGATATGAACGGAAATATGCTAATATCCATTCCATTGCGTGGGCGTGTACATGTCACGATATCTCTTCGAGTGGAAAGGCTGGTAATAATTTCCCTTCTCCATTCCGCCCACCAGCATATTATTTGCGTCTGTCTCGTCCTCGTTTTGGACTTTCCATGATATTAATCTATGCTCAAGATGTAATACTCTGGTTATGGCTATGTCATTCTAGAAGATGATTACAATGTCGTTTTGGCACACTGAGTACGCCAGCTACTGGCATTCATTGAGAATCATGCAGTAAGCCAAGCTCAAAACAATACAATTGCGAGACCATAGTCATCTCTCTACATTCAGGAGAATCGTTATTTTGAACGAAAGTGGCCGTTTTTCTCTATGCTACGTACCTTTATTATTATCTGCTTTGATAACAAGAAGGCATCAGCCACAACAGCAAATATGCTACATAACGGCCTTGCAGCAATAATAATACAACGTCCCCAATGGGCAAAAAGAAAGTCTTGATGAGACTGGGACTCGAACCCAGGAGGATTGCTCCATCAGGAATCTTAGGTTGTTAAGGTGACCTTAACCTGACGCCATAACCAACTCGGCCATCTCACCGGAGGGTCTAGGGGGACCCGCTTGATGGGGTCAGGCAAAGCCCAACCGCATCATAATGGGCGAGGATGACAGCAATCGTGCCCTTGCCAACCGTTGTCGAGATTGCACCAATTCTCTCAAAGGGGACTGTCTGCAAAAAAGAATACTGCGTAGATCGGCTGTTGGAAGATCTGGAAATCCTGGATGCCACCGTTGGAGGAGTTGGGCAATGGGAGCCTCTACCGCTGTTGGGCATGTACTCGTGAGGCATTTCAGGGCCAAAAAGGTACTGCCACGATTAATTCAAGTCAATACAATCTTTAATTTAGCCTTGTTTGATATAACACGCAAGAGCCCGCCATTAATGATAAGTATATAAAAAGGTATTTCTCTTGTCTTCTCCAGCTAGCTACAAGAGAAACAAAAGCCCACGCCCAAGGTAGGGATAACCCACGACGAAGAAAACCTCTCCTTATTTGTACCGAGGCAAACTCTCCAGAGGCTGGGCTTTAACTATATCAAAAGCCACAATAGTTTGAGAAGGGACATGAGACCATTTGTCTTAACTTAAGGTCCGCCGGGAGTGTTGGGGGAAGTATCGAGCCAACGATCGCCCGTGGCGCGAACGTAGTTACGACCGTAGACGCAATAGTAGAAGCCACGGCGGTTGTTTGCGTTGGGAGACCACACGATGATGTGGCCACCAACCGACAGCCACGAGTTGGTGCAGGAGTTGTAGATACCGTTTTGAACCGTGTATGCCGTCTGGCCCTGGTTCTTCCACACAGCAAAGAAGTCATTGGGGTTGCCGTTACACACGTAGCTGTTGCCAGTTTCGATGGTTGTGACAACATCAAAGCCAGCGCTGATCCAGGACGTAGCCGCGTTGGCACTCCAGCCGATAGAGTAGGACCTCGATGTCGTGTGATATGTTGAGCAGCCAATGTGTCCAGGGCACTGCATGGGCTCCTGTGTTTATACGTAAGCTTCTGTGACTTTGCAATACCCTTATGGCTAATATGTGGATAAGTGGACTTACACTGAGCTGGATGTTCAGCGGGTTTTGGTGCGGGTTTCCGTTTCCAACTCTGCGAGTCTGTGAAGACCAGATGCCGCAAGGGGTCTGTCGCTTATCGAGGTGATTTTTCTTGACGAACTCGTCGACTTCGGCCTGGCTCAGCTCGGCCGGGGTCACATCTGAAGGTGACTCCGGCTCGACCTTTCCCTCAAAGACATCCATTGCCTGAGTAACCTCAAGGGGGCCATCGGGGAAGCATGTCTTGAGGTCTCGCTTGCCCAAAGGCTTCAACTCGACACTCCCAGGAACAGACACAATACAGTTGACGACCAACTCTGTCTCGCTTGCGATACGACCACATTCGATGGCGTCGTCACCGCCGCCAGTTGAGTAAGACTCATCGCCAACAGTGAGGTTACCGCTCCCGTTTTCGTCGACCTTGAAAGTAATGGGATGGCTCTCAAAGGGTCCCGAAGCCAGAGAGTCGGAGCAAGAGTTGGCAATTGCTTCCGACTGATCTTTGTTCCATACCGTGACAGCGCCCTGGGATGCTTCCTTACTGAGTTCCAAGACAATGTGGACGTCTCGGGTCTTCTCAGACCGGAGGATTGGATTCGCAAGAACCACTGGCGCGAGAGCCAGGAAGAGTCCGTTGGCCCTCATGACGATGAGGTAGAGGATTAGATTGTGTTGGGGAAAAGAAGGACAAGAAATCTGCTGCGGGGTTATTCAGCTCGATGCTAGAAGCCTGAGAACAAGAGAAAATCTATCCAAGGCAGGACAAAATCCATATATTTATAGTCATTTTGTCTAATTCTGTGGCCTCTTTTCACACGCTCGGTGGTGGAGGCTATCAACCACAACGTATTGAGTAAGGATATCATCCTTCTATCCCAGAGCGTCAAATGTGCCATACTACCTTCCTCTTCTGGAGTTCGGCCTCACTAGAATGGGGAGATGATCACGAGGCCTATGGAAAAAAAAGGCCTCTATTGGGGCCTGGAAATGCCCATCTTGATTCGCTGCGCCGTTGTCCGACGGAGTTGACAGAAAGAGTCAAGGGCACCAGCCACACCGCTCGTTAGAGTTACATTCACCAATACCATTGGGGTGAGAATTATCTATACAAACAGCAGGTGGGTAAGAGGATAATTACTGACTGGTAGCATGCCCCATCTATATGCTACCGCACCACCCACAGTACCAAAGGTACCGGGAATCGCGTAGAAGAGTAAGAACACCAGAGGAAAGAGAAGGGTTCGATAAGACAGTCTTCGGGCTCAGTTAACCCATCAAGAGCCGGGCTGCAACTATAATAAAGAACAGATTGGTTTGATAAGACATAGATTCACTCTTGTCCTTCTGTTTTCTTGACATCTAGATATTGTTATGCCTCTTTTCAAGGCCTCGCCACAGTCCACCCTCTGTCGTACCCTGTCCAATCTTCGTCCTTGGCTAAGTCTAACCTGCTGCGCCGCTTCTTGGCTACCATTTTAGCCGAAGGCAACTGAGACAATTTACCCTTGCTAATGACATGTCTAAGTTATGCTCGTGATAGAAATAAGCCACAGGCCCCGTATTCAGTGCTGCCTCTTCATGCCGCGCTTACATGTCAGCCTATATAGCTTCAATAATCGGGGACTTGGCGCTGTTCAACCACCGAGTGAGTGTTGTCGCTGCACTCCATAGTTATGTGGCGACGCACAACCCCCACAACCTTTACAACTCTGACATCGATGATAGCAAAGGCTCTCATCAGTAAGACAAGGCACCCACCGTTGTCAACCGGAATAGTGTTTTCAGACGGACCGTCGGACCAGTTTAGCTAGGAGATCACGCCGTGGGCAGGACACCATCCAGGAGCGCCTGATCTTACACAATAGGCTCGAGCCGGGCGAGGTAAGATCCTTTGAGTATAAAACCAGTTATGGAATGTGCTTTGACGTAGCATAGGGTACCATCTCTCGATAGCTGAGCCTATGAGCTGAATGTGCTTGGTAACAATTTGCTCGTTGACTCTGTGAATGGATTGTACTTTATTAAGTAGGAATATCAACTCATATAATTCGGAATGACTGTCACCTTAAAACAGTGGTACGCCGGCGGTAAGGATCGTGCAGTATGAGGCGAAGAAATGGGCATCTACAGCCTTAAGGCTATCAACATGGTGCTAACGATCAGTTTGGACTATGATGGTAAATGATTCGAAAATTCAACTCATTTCTGCTATTTTGCTCCAAGACGCCGCCCAAAGGCACACGGAGCCCCTTAGATGAGTCTCAAGGCCTATGGTGATTCTGTAGGACGTTAGATTTTGATGGGTAAATGCGAAAGATGAAGGAAGACATCGTATGGAGCTAAAGAATGACCTCCCTATTCCGTATTCTCTCTTGCAATGGTGGGAAAATGGCACCAGCTTACCCGACGGCTTCTCAACCCAAACCTGGGAAGCACTGATTGACAAAGACTTCTTTGCATTCAACGACGTGCTCAAAGTTCAATCACGCCAGACTGAGTGCCAAGGATGTTAAGGTTCAAATGTCGGCACGAGAGGGAGGGGCCTGAGGCAATGAAAGGCCGCGTACCTTCCTATCCCCTCCCCACATCTATCTTCCCGATTGCTGCATATTACAGCGAGAATGTTTTGGCAGCCGAATGAGATGATCATCATTGCATCTGCCGGATTCGAGGCGCATTATCCCATCGCCCAATGACAGCTCCAAGGAGGGTTGATTCACCAACACCGCCACGAACTTGGCAGCCTAATGGTGTCTGTCGTGAAACTGGCGCTGATAATCTACATGCTTTGTTAAGTAGCACGCCTTTAAAGTGTATCCCTAAGAATTACTGTGCATGCCGTAATCACAAGTCATCCACGTGCGGGTATGTACCATTGGTGTACATCGCGACTATCGCCCAAACAAGTAGTTCCAAGCCTTGGCGTCGTAATCTGACAAATGCAATCTCAACTCCTGCCTCTTGATCAAGCACCATGGTCTCTCCCATTTCTCAACCACAATACACAACTGGCATTGACTGCTTGTCCCAAATGAAAATGCCGCGCCAGTTCCAATTCGTCGCTGTATCAAATCCAACGGGACCTGTCCCTTCAGAGTCGCGAAAGCTAAGCCATGCGCACGTAACTCGTGAAGCACATGCTAAAGAAAGGCGTCTGCGGGTACAAAGATACCGAAAAGAAATGATGCAGTCTCGTACCGAACGCTTGGCGGGTGTCGAAACACCAAGCCCTCTGGTCCGGATTCCTGAGCGTTGTGAGAGCCTCTTTTCAGCATCGGCACCATCTCTGTCCTCTCAGGAGCACTTTTTGCTAGATCATTGTACGTTCTTAGCTGTCTTAATGCATCTAGCCTAGAAGTATTATGCAAGCTTCCCCAGATGCCCTCTAACCACCCCGTAGATATCCGAATTGTCGTGCCCTACTCGGCCGTGCACTGCGGCTTATTTGACTACCCCGGCGACCATGGTCCCGACGACCACGCGAGGGAGATCCTACAAGATTGGGTGGGTCTTGCCATGACAGACAAGGATCTTCTATACACAGCTCTCCTTCTCAAATCGTGCCGGAGCATTCTACATAGCAAACCTGGCGATCCAGTCTTGACGCAGATGGCCCTCCAGTATAGGCATAAAGGTCTCCAATCACTACGGCAGGCACTTACAAAGCCTGTCAGTATTATAACAGTCGCCATGGCCTTTGCCCTAGTGTTTGATGAGGTGAGACTTTTAATGGCACATAGGACCAAGTAACTAATCTTTTTTTAGGAAGTGTTTGGTGAAGCCAGAATAGCCCGACAGCATCTGCGAGGCGTGTTTTACATGGCTGAACTCAGCGGAGGCCTGCAAAGTCTTGGTCTCTCAGGGCTGCTGGAGCGTATATACTGGAGGTTTGTAACCAGAAGGGAACTTGGCGACGTGGATTTGTTATCGTTGTGTCATATCAAACCAATGGGCCCTAAACAATAGCGAAAGTTAGCTGAGAGCTCGGATTTGCCGATGCTGCAGGTAAGTCATTCGCCAAGCGTTGGTATTTCCTACTTGGGCAAGGTAGTCGTACACACCATGAAGACTCTTAAGAAGCTTTCGATTGGTCCAGAGATTTCTTTAGATTGTTCAAAAAAGTTATATAAGTTGTAACTCCTTACCCGTCAGTTCTTCCATCTTCGTAGACTCAGCAGCACGACACCATACGTTCATGATTCACCCATCTCCCATTCAATTCCAGCTCTCTTCTGTCTTATTATGCCTCCCGTTGAAGCAACTATTCCCTCCGGCTCCTTGGTCCTCGTGACCGGTGCCACAGGCTTCGTCGCTTCCCATGTCACTCGCCAACTCCTGGAGCGCGGCTACAGAGTCCGAGGGACCGTTCGGGAGCTGGCTCAAGCTTCGTGGCTCATTGACAACCATTTCAAGTCGTATTCGGAGAGCGGCCATCTTGAACTCATCGAGGTCCCTGATCTTGTAGCCGATGGCGCTTTCAATGAAGCAGTCAAGGGAGTATCGGCCATTGCCCACATCGCAACCATCTCCAATCTGGACCCCAACCCACACAACATAATTCCTCAAACAGTTGCTGGAGCGACAGGTATTTTGAAGTCTGCCGCGAATGAACCCTCACTTCGCCGAGTCGTGTTTACCAGCTCAATCATGGCCGCCGTCCTGCCAGTCGCCGGTAACGACACTAGGGTTGACGATGACACCTGGAACGAGGCGGCCGTTGAAGCTGCTTGGGCCCCTCCACCGTATGAGCCGGCCCGTACCCTGATCACTTATGCCGCCAGCAAAGTCGCTGCCGAGAGGGAAGTTTGGAGGTTTGTCGAGCAAGAAAAGCCTCACTACACGCTCAACGTCATCTGCCCCTCAGGTATTATCGGCGAGCCTCTTCACAGGAAGCATGCCGAGGCACCCACCAATTGGATAGCCACGCACTTCAGGAGGGACAAGACATCTCTAGATGCATTCCCTGCCGGTAAGGCCTTGGACTCCTCAGTTTACGGTCTGTTGTCTAACCACGTGTAGCCTACTTTGTGGATGTCAAGGACATTGCACTCCTCCATGTCGCAGCCATCCTGGATCCTCAGGTCAAGAACGCACGTCTACACAGCTGGGGACATAGCTCTAACTGGAACGAATTTCTTGCTGTCCTTCGCGAGATTCGTCCGCAGAGGGATTTCATTGCCGACTACCCCGATCCTTACTACGTTACGATCTCTACTGATCAGTCTCACTCTCTGGCCCTTTTGGAGAAGTGGGCTGGTCAAGAAGGGTGGAGGCCACTGAGAACCAGTCTCATTGAGAGCATTGAGAGTCCATACTTCCAGCTGTAGTGAGAGATATCGTGTTTGAGGCTTACTTTAATTGAGAGAAGGGCGGGCATCAAAAGAAGAAGGAGAAACGGGGCGTGGGAAAACTAGATCAAAATGTTAACTATGAAGGAAAAGACGACGTACTAGGGAAATGACATGAACCCGACATGAGGAGTTTTGATGGAAGCAATACCGGCGGTGGGTTAGCCTTGCCAGAAATCTAAGCGCTTGGTGCGAAAATCAAAAGTTATCTCTCGCTACTGCTATTTCATCTAGACGCCGAAGACTGATTTGTGTCTCTTCGAGGTTCCAAGTCTCTAGCCTCCTTTCCAAGCAAGCAGTGCCCGTACACCCGACTCTATGATATGGTTCCGGAATTATCGGCGCAATTGAACACTTTGGCGATCAGGCCTGACGCATATGCATCTCGGATAGATACCGCCACGCTATAACTGAAAGGAGCATTAGTCAACGTCGTAATCCAGGAAAAAGCGTCAAACTTACGTCCCGGCAACCACCATGAAGGATCCGACAAGGGCGACGAAAACGTGAAAATAATATGCTGCCTTCTCCCGAACACTTCCTTTTCTGTAGGACGCAAAGTCTTGCATCCATAGTAGAGCAGGAAATAATAAGCTGAATGGAGCGAAGCAAATAGCTCCCGCGAGGCCTAATAGGTAGTTGAGAATAGGAACCGCTTCTGCAACAATGAAGGCAAGAATCCCCAACACCAAGTTACTGCCAACCCATGTTGCCCAGTGAACAGTCGTGTTTTCCTGCAAGTGGTGAGAGTCCCTGAGAATGCGAACAAAAATATACTTGGCCGCTACATGCTGATAAATACCGACGCCGATGATCAAGCCCGGGAGGGCAATGCCATAGGAGAGTTTCTTGAATAATGGCCCTGCACTTCCAAAGGCTGGGGTTGCCAGCCAGACACCGCACCATCGGTAAATGACCAGTGAGAAGGACAGGTACATGGCGAGAACAAGGACACCCGTCACCAAAGCAGCCCTTCTGTAGTGTTCTGGTCGTCGCATCTCCGAGATGATCGGCAAGTACATGGATGAGCCACTATTGCTAATGAAAATATTGGCACTTGCGGTAATGCCTGCAACAAATGTTGGATGCGCAATAGCTGTCCACCCAAGGTCGAAGTCGCCCGTTTGAGGAGCCATGGCAGGGCGATCCTGTTGTGTCACAGCCACAGCAAAGATGAAGACAGCGATGAAGAAGGTGAAAAAGCCGATCCAAGTGAGCCACCCCAGGTGACTGAAAGTACGCACAGATGAGAAAGCAGTGATCAGTATAGCGGAAACGAAGGTGAAGACGACAGTACATGCCCCATGCTCAGAGACTGCATTGAAGGCTGTGGATATCGAGACAATGCCAGCGGCAGAGATAAGAACCTGGGCCACGAGAATCTGCAAGCCCACGAATTCTCTGCCGGCGCGGCCCCAGAGGCGTCCGCACATGTCGGCCAATGCTAGTATATGTTGTCAGAACCAACCCGAGACGAGCAGCAATATTGTTGGCTTACTATGGCATTCAGGATGGCGGTTGCGGAATTCACCCAGAATCACAGCAGTATCTTGAGGGAGATTCGTCAGGACTATCATTCGATCGGCGGCGACAGAGACTAACAGGTGTTGAGAGTGTGCCATCCGACAATTGACAAGGCTCCTCCGACTGCACCAAGAGTAGCGAGGGCTCCTGGCACACTGAGGATGCTCATGGCAAATTGGATCTTGAGGAAGATAATTGTGGCTCGTTGCCAGCTCACAGTGCGGAACTGGACGCCGTCCTCGGTCTGCCGGAAAACCTCGAGAGTCGCCGCGGGGTCACCTTTGCCAGACGCAGCGTCGTCATTGTCGATGGGACTGTGAGGTCTGATTTTCTCATCGTTCGACTGCGAGACGACATGGGCCCCTTGGGGGGTATCTTGGGATGACATTTTGTCGTCTTGCTGTCGAAGTTCTGGATGGAAGAAGCGTGCTCCTTGACACGAGTCCAGGAGATGGGACCCGTAGTTATACGATATACCGTCAAACGACCCGATTAGTTACGCGAGCTTCAGCTGGAAGCCGAGGCTGGTCGGGTAGTTCTAGCACACATTCATGCATCCATGGGTCTTTAGCCGCCGCTAACGGGCAAAACACACCCACCTATAGATAAGACCTCAACACCGTCGATAGAAGGGCAAGGCTTATCGTCCCCTTGTATACGACAACTGGCAAGACCTAGAGTCGTGAGAGCTTACACGAGAAATAAGATCAACCAAATACCGGGCGTGATGCTTGGAGCGGAAACTTCACACGATGCCATCACAACTATTGGCGCCACCTAAAAAAGTCCTCTTGACTAAACGGTAACATCAAGGTCCAATTGACCTCATCTACAGTCCAATGTTTCCGCATGTTCTTTGCCCCTAAGCTTCGAACTTTGGCGCCAAGATGCTCCTTCAGCACACAACCCCCAGCTATCCATTTTTCTCTGGGTCAATTTTTGATCAAACTGGGACCTAGATGAGTAGCTGAGAGCCAAATAAATGTCAAATTACTTCGTCCCTTGTGCGTAACACGATGCTGCTCCAGTAAAGGGCCTTCGTTGCCATCCTGAGAATCGGGCATTCTGCGAGCTAGCAGTGGGACTGTTCTCGCTGCGTTGGTGGCATTGTTAACGAACTTAACAACATCAATATCAACAAACAAAAATAGTACAACAGAGTAAAAGATGAAGTTAATGATATGGAACTTTCGTAGGGTAGAAGACAGTTAAAGACAGTCACCCAGCGCTCTGTACGGCGTGTAAGCCATGATTCTTCACTAAGCATAGTTGTTAGCACGCCTAATGAATGAATCAAGATTTGCAACCCGCCTCCCCAGGGCTGACAAAGGTCTGTACTTCATAGGGAAACCTACTCGTGCAGTAGAGAAAAAGGAAGTCTTGTTCGAAGCTTCGCTCCACAGCTCACATGATTTGGGTGACAACGCCCACGGAGGTGTCTGAAATTTACATGTTTGGCGATTATGGCTGTGACTGACACTCATCATCGGGTGTCTGATACCACGCTTGGTAGCGGTGAAGGGGCCGTCGGCTGCAGCTCGATTTGTGTCGCGCGGCCTTATCTCGCGGAATGTACTCCGTAACATCGGGTCCATTGTGCGGAACAGGTTAAGGGGGCCGGGGTACCTTGGTGATAAGCCCCTTCTTCCCCTCAGAGAAGCACGCATCTAACAAATAAGGCCCATATTTTTACTGTGGCTTATCAAGAGCAGGCTTGCGCTCAGTCATACAGTCACCCGGCGGAAATGGCTCGTCTGGGGATGATCGCCAACGACTTCGATGATAAATCTGCGCAGGGCCAAGATGCCTGTGGCTGGGCAGAAGAACGTTATCTCCCTGTCTAGCTCGTGGTGGTACCCGCCCCCCATTCCGGAGCGGGGTGAAGGAGGGTTGAGGGGGAGTTGACTGTTCACCTGGAGGCTAAGATATCATTCTGATAACTATGGCTTATCAAGGTCAAGGTTGCCGAGACTTGAGTCCATAGCCGCCAGCCCCATATCCGCCGGTGCCATAGCCGTCAGGGAGACGTGAATGCCAGGGTACTGGGGACCATGAACACAGCAATGCAGATAAACCGATATAGAAAGTATTGAGAACCAGCAAGCGCAGCCATAAACATGATTCAGGTATCTTGAATTATCCGACGAAGCCCGGCTACTTGTGGAAATATCTTGTGTACTCGTCAGGTCAAGCAAGACCTCTGGAATCAGCACCCAGTAATGCCGAGACGGAATAAAGTGTCAAAGGCTCCTTAAACCTTCAAAGCTGACAAAAATCGCTTTTTATTCTGCGATAGTTGCAACAGTTATGTCCAATCTCAGATCACGAAGCAACGATTTGAATTACACTCGCTGGGAGTCTAGGAGATGTGGGCAGGACTATTGTGGCGGTCCTCAACCAAAATACTCTGAGCCATGTCTTACACTATCGTGAAAGGTATGGCTCTCTCGCTCAGTCTATGGCTACATTTTTGATAGCTTAAAATGGCTCGCAGAAACGGTTTCTACTCTCCATGTCAACTATAACGACGTCGCTGGTCTGCACAGCATCCTTCATAAGAATGGCGTTGAGGTTGATCTATCCACATATTACTTTGACACCCGGATGATAGAATGCGACGTCGACATCCATAGGTTATGCAATATCTAGAGAGGTTTAAGCGCGATGTGATATACTGATTACGGGGACTTCATAGCCTTGTGAGAAAGGTTCTAAGTTGAATGCCCAGATCTAGCCTCCGTCGTGGTCGTGACACTACTCAATTGCCTCCAGCTCATGCAAGGGCACCATTCTCTCCACCATCAAACAAGTTCTTGGCTTCGTCAAGAGCATGGAAGCGTGCTGCGATTATCATACCCTTTCTTCTTTGGGCTTCGATAAGACGCCAGTCCAATTCCTTGTCCATCGTAAGGTCAATGTTGCTCAAGTCAACAGACATATCACCGAGCTGCTCCTCACTCCCCTCGATCCAACCGCCAGGTCTCTCAGGCAGCAGCCCGGAATCATCCAGAATACGCGCAGGATTCACCGTGAGTCGTCCAATCTTAAAGACGTACTTGCTAATCGCCGTAGCCTGAACTTTTCTCTCCCAACCGCTGGCGAGGTCTGAGTTGGGCCTGGCCTTGGACCGGCCGAGCCCAGAATTGAGCCATGACGTGAGTTTGGCGGTGCCCGCAGGTAGGAAGTGCGTCAAGATGTATAACCACTTTCGATCCCAGCAAAGAACCCTGCTCCAAAGCTCATACTTCTTGTACAGGCCAATCTCTTTGTGGAATGAGCACTGCACGGACCCAAGTACGACGCCGAGAGCCCCTTTCATGGGCTCACCTGACTTGGGATCCAGGATGTAGCGGCTTGAGGTATTGTGCGCCAGGTTTGTCATGGCGGGGCGTAGTAGATATGAGACCAGTTGTGCGCGGGAGACATCGACGTCGGTAAAGAAGCTGCTGTTTGACTTGTGCAAGTTGTAGTCGATCTCAAAGACGGAGGTGTACGTTGTGGAGATCATGGGTTTGAAGAGGGCGCTCGGTCCGAGGCCAGGTCTCTTGCGAATATATATGTGGTAGATGATGGTATAAAAGACGCGGAACTGATAAGTCTTAGTTGTGCGGTATATGAAATACGGAGTTGTTAACTTGCCGTCCATACAAAGGGCATGCTCTTCCAGTTGATCAGAACCAACGCAGTGATCATGATGCGTTTCACGATCCCAGGGCCCATCAGGAAGTTCTGTAATGATTCTTTCCAGTTCATAATCCACACCATAGACACAGCCACGGAGATGGTGAGCAGTGCCATAACAGGCCTAAGCACGGCGTAAACATCTGGTCGAGCGGCGGCCGGTGCCATATTCGAAGAGCTCATAATTTGATGTTCGGTCGTGGTGTGACAACGCGCTATCGCATTGGGAAAGTGTTGAGGGAAAGGGAGATGGCCACCAATACTGGGATAATACAAAACCTATCGAGGAGTAGAGGGTCATACGTGTTACAGGCGGTAGTGATCATGAAGTAAGAAAGATGCGTTGAGACAAGGGACACAAAACGAGTATTAAAGATCGAGGCAAGGGACAAAATGTCGAGTCTGGCTCTTGAGATGCCATCGGTTGCAACGAAGGCGGATTTTTGTGTACAGGGGTGCGGTTCAATGTTGCTTCGCCGGACTACACAGCACATACGTGGCAGTGCACCCGTGGTCGTTGGAGATTCGCCTAGAGAAGCCCCCGAGGATCGCAACCGTGTTGGGTTTCGCAAAGATGACGGAGAAAGTTCAGAGTGGGTTAAGATAACCAACAGTGAAACAGAGTAAGTAGAGAAAACATGGCCTGGATTGGTCACAAAAGCAACATAATCTGCGACTCAAATGCAATCTCAGCTGACTGGGTCCATCACCATCATCATCACAGGCCTGTGCTTGCGGCGGCCCGTCCACCCTCGAGCTGCCAGGCCTATCAGATGCTGGTGTTTTCATCTTGTGCGTTGCGAAGCTGACTGCCGCAGTAGATGTTGGTACTTCATTAACAGATACTACCCGAGAGCCCAAGCTGACGAGTTCCACTCTCTAAAGTCAGGGACGGAGAATATCTCGATCAGGATAACGTTTTGCGATTGACTAACCAAAGTCAGCTTATTGCCCAGACAGAGAACCACCAGCTCGGTGGGTCTGCGACGTCTGTAAGACATTATTTGCTCTACAGTCTCAATCAGGATAAAAAGTTGCGATTGCTTGACGGGAGAATGTCACGATACGTTGCGAGGCCGCGACAGTGCGGGTCGAAATCGGCAATCTCATGCTGATGTACGTGTGTCGTAGTGCGATACTCGCAACGAGGAGACCCAAAGCGAGCGGAACAGGCCCAAGTTGGGACAGTCCCGGTGTTGGCTCACGTGTCGCACGTACGCATCTTAACGTCATGAAGGGAATATGTGTCATATCTGCCCCATAGTACAAGCGGCGAAGGAAAGGCGTGAGCGGAATCAGCTCCGAAAGCCTTACGTGGCAGGGATGGGGAGTTCCATGCTTCCACCCCGTACGCACGAGATTTTATCGTGCATCTATAAGCTTGAATAAAATCAACAACAGTGAGAAACCTGTCCCCGGGTTTCGAGACTTGAGAGCACAAGTCCCCGATCCCCTTCACTTAACATCCCTGCAAGATCGCTGCGCTCGCCGCTTTTTACAGATGAAGCCACTCTCACTTTTACCCAGCCACTCTTACATTTATTATCAACCAAGTCTTACCACCCACCTAGCGTTCTAATTCTTCTTCATGTCGGTCTTTCCGTCCTTCTAGTTGCACAAGACCTGTTGATTTGGTCACTTCAGCAGGTGACGATATCCATGTCTCTGGCCAGCAAGACGAAGATGTGCCCTGATGGCACAACCGACTACAAACCACTACGTGGTCGGCCGAGAGACATCAACGGGACGCATATACAAGACATTCCTCTTACTTGGGGCAACTGGTACAAGAAGGTTGACTGGCTCAACACCACCTTTATCATCTTCATCCCTGCCATTGGGCTAATGTCGTCGTATTGGGTGGCCCTTCATCCATATACTGCAATCTTTTCCGCCATTTACTACTTCAACACCGGCCTTGGCATCACAGCAGGTAAGATCCATGCCCCTTTATGCTCAACACTCGATCTGACTTGTAGTAAGGGTATCATCGTTTGTGGTCCCACCACTCATTCAAGGCCACCCTACCTCTACAAATCTACCTGGCCGCAATGGGCGCTGGTGCCGTGGAAGGTTCCATCCGATGGTGGGTAAAAGGCCATCGTGCGCATCATCGGTATACCGACACAGACCAGGACCCTTACTCTGTCAACAAAGGCTTTCTATACTCACATCTTGGCTGGATGGTGATGAAACAGAATCCCAAGCGACTTGGCCGTACGGATATCTCAGATCTCAATGAGGACCCTGTCGTCGCCTGGCAGCACTGCCATTTCTTGTCCTGTGTGGTCGTCATGGCCATTGTGTTTCCGACGCTCATCTGTGGCCTGGGCTGGGGCGACTGGAGTGGCGGGTTTGTCTATGCAGGCATCCTCCGTATTTTTACGGTACAGCAAGCTACTTTCTGTGTCAATTCGTTGGCGCACTGGCTTGGGGACCAGCCCTTTGATGATTGCAGGTCTCCTCGGGATCATTTCGTCACGGCTCTCATCACGCTCGGAGAGGGCTATCACAACTTCCACCATGAGTTTCCGTCAGACTATCGGAATACTATTGAATGGTGGCAGTATGATCCTACCAAGTGGGTCATTATGATCTGGGAGTTCTTTGGCCTCGCCTACGATCTTAAGCAGCTACGGTCCAACGAGATTGAAATGGGCCGTACCCAGCAACTGCAGAAGAAGCTAGAGCACAAACGAGCTGCCATTGACTGGGGAACGCCTTTGGGACAACTCCCTGTCATTGGTTGGGACGACTTTATCAGACGGAGTAAGGAAGGCGAGGCCTTAGTAGTCATCGCCGGCATTGTCCATAACGTGGCGGATTTTATGAAGGACCACCCTGGAGGCAAGGCCCTGATCAGTTCTGGTATTGGCAAAGATGTTACTGCCATCTTCAACGGCGGCGTGTACAACCATTCTAACGCTGCGCACAACTTCCTATGCGCCATGAGAGTCGGTCTCTTGCGAGGGGGCTGCGAGGTGGAGGTTTGGAAGCATCACATCAATGACTTGGCTGGTCATGGCATTAGGCCTGCAGGAGGGCAGGCCACCAAGATTGTCCAGCCCATTCAGGGTGCCGAAACGGCCTAGACTAATGGAGGATCTTTCATTTAAGATCGTGTCAAAATTGAATAGAATTTCCCTCTCACTGTCTAGTTGCAAAGGTGCCGCTTAACTTGACTGTTGTCGCCTCATTGTTTTGGTTCCTCAACGCGTTATCAAAGCTGCATGAACATTAGACTAGAACGAATATCAGGTTACAGCAACATGGCACTTTATCCACGAACGGATGATGATTAGCAGGGATCAAAACGCGGATTTTACAAAAAGTCTCGGGGTCAAAAAGAGAAGTGTTGCCGTAAATGACAACCACCACTCTGCTGTCTGATCGTCAAGTCTACTTGCTGCATGTCCCGACCCATCACTGATGCCTTGTCGGCCCTTTCCATACAAGGGTCAACTCGCCAAGGGAGTGGGTTCACAGATCTTCAATCTAACATCCCAGTTTCTGGCAAGTGTTTTGCGAGAGGTGCCGCCGATGCAAGATTGTGGCGCCGGCAACTGAGCCTTGCAAGATTTCGGGGGAAAAGCAATCCTTCTGATCCTTCCAATCCTCTTCGGGCTAATCAACCAATGCGATTACAATTTCTTGGCCAGTCGGTGCCGTGTCCCGTCTGTCCCTCCAGGGAATAGCCCTGCGGCGGCCTGGTCCGACCATCATCCTCAAACACGAGTGCTTGTATTACACTTGACGCTGAATGATGACTGGGTGGAATGTAGCAATCGGCTGACTGCTAAGTTTGCCAGTGGCTCCGTATTAAGCTAAATATATCACTCTTCCCCGCCATTGCCTTGTTTCCAGAGATGCTCGACTGCCCTCAAGGGTTTTATGTCCATTATCATCCCTCACAAACGCACAGAGAAAAACCCTTCTAGTCTCAGCTAGTCTTTGCTTCTCTGTATTATATACCTACCATTGTCTTTGAACTATATCACACATCCCCAAGTAGTCAAAATTCCCTTGTCCAGCGCCCCATCATGTCCGACCGCGTATCGGCTCAAGACGAAACACAGAAGGCCTATAGCCTAGAGGAACTCAGCATCATCGACCAGACAGCACAAAGGGATGTAGGCAGCAATGAGAGGCCTGTTGGCTTGCCAGAATGGAAGTGGAAGGCGGCCGTCCTCATCTTTATTATCACAGGCTCTTGCAGTGGTCAGTATCAGGCCGTTCGGGCGCTAGCGGAACTAACACAGAGCCATTCTCTCCAGGATACGACGTCAGTAATGTTGCCAACATTCAGCCTCGCCTCTATGAGGCCTTTGGCAACATCGAGCTCCTCCCCTGGATCGGTCTCTCTTACTCGCTCGCCAACTTTGCTGTCTTGTCCTTCGCTCGCAAGATCGCCTACTGTTTTGATCTGAAATGGATCTACCTTGTTCACCTTGCCATCTTCATGGTTGGCACGGCTATCGGTGGTGCCTCGAACGACATCCAGACCATGATTGTTGCCCGTGTTATCATGGGTTGGGGTGGCTCTGTCTGTCAACAAATGTACGTCAATATCTCCCCGTGGTCTGACACATAGCTGAACACATCATAGCAACTTCTCCTACGTGGCCATTCTGGCCAAACCCGCCGAAACGGCAGGCCTCTTTGGCATTCTCAGCGCCATGTGGGCAGTTGGCCTCGTTGTTGGTGGTCCCATTGGCAGTGCTTTCGCCGAGAACAGCCACGCTACTTGGCGATGGGCATTTTATATCAAGCTCCCAATTGTTGGCCTTTCCTTCGCCCTTGCCATCATTTGCCTCCCCTCGCGGTCCCTCGCCACAGCCAGCACCCCTCTGTGGAAGCGTCTCGCTAGCATTGACTCTATCGGCGTCACCTTTAACATGATCGTTCCTGTCCTATTCGCCCTCGCGACGACATTCTCGGGGCCCATCTGGGAATGGGGCTCCGCGGCATCCACTGCTGTGTGGGTAGTTTTTGCTCTCGCACTTGTTGCCTGGGTCTCACAGCAATACTTTTGTATCTTTACGACGTCGGAGGAGCGCGCCATTCCGATGCATATGTTCTCGAAGATTAGACTGCTCCCTATCTGGGTTGCAACAGGCTGCGCAGGCGCTGCTTATGCTGTACCGCTATACTACACGCCGCTCTTCTATGCCTTCGCCCGCGGCCATGGAGCCATTCAGCAGACAGTTCGTATGCTGCCATTTATCATCGTCTTCATCTTTATTGTACTCTTTACCGGCGTCCTTCTTACTGTTATCGGCCGTTACAAGATCATCTATCTTTGTGCTGCGACGATTACACTCGCTGCGTCTATTGCAATGGCTACCACCATGGACGACAAGGTCTCTGAGGCGCAGATAATGGGCATTGAGGCCCTCATTGGCATTGGTCTTGGGATGCAGTTCCAGCACGGCCTAGGTATCTCCAACGTGATCAACAAGACCGAACGTGACCGCGTGGACAGCACTGTGATATGCAACATGGTTCAGATGGGATCCATAGCGATCACTCTCTCCATCGCAGGGTGCATTTTCCAAAACGTGGGCTTCAGCCTGTTATCCTCCGCAGTGGGACGGAATCAGTATTCGGAGGAGGATATCCGTGAAGCCCTGGCTGGTGTATCGTCAGTTGTCTGGCAGACCAAAGACAGGCAGGTTGTTGCGCGAGGCATTGCAGCTGTGACAGAGGCCATTTCTCGAGAGTTTTACATAGTTGTGGCCAGCTCAGCGGTATGTTTGGTATGCGCTCTTTGCATGAGCTCAGAAAAGCTAGACTACGGCAGGAAGAAAAGTACCAAAGCAACGACCCAGGAGTCGTCTTAGTTAAGATCTGAAATTATTTGGTAGGCCTATGAAGCGATAGCTAAGGGAAACAAAACAGTAGTAGCAGACTAATCTTAGTGAATGAGGACTCTACTATTTACAGCTTCTTAACAGAAGCTTCAAGTTCCGGCTCTACACCAACAGCCTCAATAACTCCGCCATCGTTCCCTTTCCACTCTTCCATCAATCCCCTAAAGTCTGCTGGAAGATACGGGGAAACAAGCTCCTGGAATGTGCTAGACTTTCGGTGCGTCTTGAGTCCCATATCATGCATCAACATGTTCACATAGGGCAGACCCTCAAAGACCATGTCGGGCAGGTCAGCGCCGTAGCCACAGGGAAATCGCCACTTGCCCCATTGGGTATGCAGCATGATTTCATTAATAATCTCCTCTTCAGTCCCGACAGTATGATCCAGCTTGCCGGCCATGAAAGCAGCGATCCAGTGGCCTTGGATAGTTGCGCAAACAGCAGTGCTAACTGAGGAGATCATACCCGCGAAGGCGAGGTCTTTGGAGCTTACATAGGTGGACGGGACCATGAAGCGGTAGTATCGGAGAGGATTAGCCTCCTTGGGCTTGCCGCTGATCTTGGGCTGCTTCTTCAATCCAGGGTAAAGGGAGAGAACCTTGGTGTCTGCGGCTTGAGCCAGAGCCCGCTTCTCATCAGTCGAGTAAGGCAGATCGAGCTGCTCCTGTCCGAGATTGGCGAACTTGATGGTCGATTCTTTCTTCCAGCCAGTTGAACAGATTATGGCGTCGGTATCTATTTGCTCTCCTGAGGCCAGGATAGCTCGGTGAGATTCCAGCCGCCCAATGTCATCAAGATGCACGCGGATCTTGCCCTGCTTGACAAGATCGAAGAGAGGGCTATCGTAGTTGAGGATGCTGAGACCACTACCGATCCAGTAGGCAGAGTGCCAAGGCTTGAGCTTCTTGAGCTCGGGGTGCGAGTCGTACTCGTTAGCAGTGATGATGTCGCTGCTCAGGACCGACCAGAAGCGCTCGACAACGAACCGGCCGATAGCCGTTTCGTGGAGGAATTTCCGTATTCCTTGGTAACCGTCTGCGTCTCCCCATGGACAAGGGCTGAACCAAGTCATCCATCGAATATTGAGAAGCTGGTCAATCCTCTTCTTGAAAGGGGTGACGAATGGGGGTGCAATCCAGACAGGTCCGTTGCCAGTTGGTCGCACAATTAGATCGACTGTAGCACCATCTTGAACAAGGGCATAAGCGACGTCGAAGGCAGACTTTGCACCACCGACAACGATCGCCTTCTTAACGTCCAAGCTGGGAGCATTCTTGCAAAAGTCCTTTGCGTGGAAGAGCGGTGCGTCAAACTTGTCAGCATCCTTGTAAGCAGGCATGCTTGGGGTTGATGTGAGGCCAGTTGCTAAGACTAGCTTCGCAGTGTCGATAGATCGGCTTCCTTCGGGGGACTTGACGGACAAACGCCAGCCACCGCTTCCTTGACGCTCAACTAGGTCGACAGCAGTGTTGAACTGAATTCGGTTGTAGACGTCGAAGTGCTTGGAGAAGTCGGTAAGATAGCGGTGGAGGACAGGCCCAGGGATGTGAGAATTTGGCTTGACACCGTACGTCTTCTCCTCCATGGGAAAGTCGGGGAACTCATATGTGCCTCTCATGTTGTTTGACTTCAAGCCGGGGTAGAGTCGATTCTTGGACCAAGTGCCACCACATGATTCGGCAGATTCAAGAACTGCCAACTTGGCTTCGGGGGAGATTTGTCGGATCGCCTTTGCTGCTGCCAGACCGAACCATCCTATTGCCAAGGTTCAGATTGCGAAGACCGCCAGGGCACGACGTCAGTGACTTACCGGCACCCACTACCACAATATCATATGATTCCTTCATGACTCTTGTCGTTGCCATCCCTCGAGTAGTAATTGTATAGTTGGGTATAATGATTGGAGGTCTCTTAATTTGTAACCTTCTTTGGAACACAGATCGACTTGGTGAACCAACTGAGCGAAAACAGACGGAGAAAGACATCTTTAACTTTTAGACAATACGGAAAGACAGCCAGGAATGTTTCTTAGCTTATCAATGGTGCTCCAATGATAATTACGTTCTTCTCAATAGGGCTACTAATAACAAGGGGCTGTATCCGGAACTGTTTGGCCAAGGCCTCCCTGCCAACACACCGCAAATCACAGTACACCATTCTGATACACTGCACTCAGCAAGGACGTTTGGTGATTTCAGCCTGATAGTTCCGCCGGCCAGCGCATTTCGCAACTTCCGACGTGGTTCATACCGTCTTTCCCGAATGGTGATGTGTGCGTTGCATCCTATCACTAGGAACGGAAAAGCCGCCAAAGAATGACAGCAAACAAGGGTATTTCCAATCTCGCTCAATGACCCCAGCTCCCCGCAAAGTGGCTTATCGTAATCAGAAATCGTCAATCTGCCATTTGGCTCAGCTGTACGTAAACAGGTCGAGTGGTCGTGTGATAACAAGTCGGAACGCCACTACCCGTCGCTTCGTATCTGGGCTTCAGTGGGGCCGGGGACGCGTTCTAACGTCATCCGGGGTATCATGGTATGGCGTCTGCAACTTTCGTTGCTAATCTCGAGATTCATTGCCTATCTTGACTCCCTGTGTCTCCAAAGCGTCCAGGGGCATCATAAAAGACGCTACGGAACCTCCGATCGGAACTTCCGGACGGAACGAGACATGTACCCACCCTTATCTCTCGAGCCATGACTGGGCCGTTAATCCCGCTACTAACCTAGCAAAGAGACAGACTATCACACAATTAGTATAAGTCTGAGTGCATTGGCCAAGCTAGTGGCCCGGGGGGAGCTATTGTTCACCTTCAATAAAATTACAGGGTAAGAACCAAGAGGGACAGGCTGAGGTAAAAAACCCATCTCGCAAATTCAAATCACCATGCCCGTGTACGCAGATATCACCAAGCCTCCAGCTCGACTGCCTCAGCCCAAGCCCCAATCATTGGGTGAGGGCATCACGCTGCTCCCACCGCTTTCAAGGCTAGGTCGTGGTCCAGGCCTCATTATTCTCACAGAGGAGTCGGAGAAGCATCTTCAAATTATTGAAGGTGTCCCCTCTGCACTCATCAAGTGGGCCGAGGAGGGCTATGCTGTGGTTGAAATCCAGGGTAAGGCTTTCAGCAGAGGTGTCGAAGAAGTTGTTGGTGTTGCTCTGGAAGGGTTGAGCAATTGTGACAAACTAGAGCCGAAGAACAGTAAAGTTGGTGTTATTGGTAAGTTATCTCTGTCCTGAAAGAACACGTTTCGTTGGATAGATCTTAACAACCATAGCATATGACCCCAAACTGTGGAGTCAAGCGTCCGGAGCCCTCCTTGGTTCACCAAATGTAGTAGGCGGCGTGGTATACGCGAGCGCCTCTGATGAAGATCAAGTCGAGGCCTCCGGAGTCCCTGTGCTTCGTCACGTAGCTGGCAGTTCAGCTATCACCAAGAAGGAAAATGGGGTGACGACATATCCATACGCCAATGGAAAATCTTTCCGCATGGCTACTCCGTTTGACAAAGACTTTGACTACTGGGCCGAGTCTCTATCTCATACGAGAAACTTGACATTCCTAAAGCCACTGATGGGTGGTCCTTATTTCGATCTCGAACAGATCTGGGACGAGCATACCTATTACGAGTTTGCGGACAGGTCCGTTGAGCATACGATGAGCACCATGGTTGATCAGCCATATGTCAACCATGTACCCACTGTAAGGAAAAAGATGTTGACTATTAAAAACTTGACGCTTATTCACGTCTATAGCTTACTGGTGGCATCGGTCGCGGACCATTGACTGAGTTCTATCGAGGACACTTCATATTCCAAAACTCGGTAGATACCGAGCTGGAACTCATCAGCCGAACAATGGGGATTGATCGTGTAGTTGACGAATTCATTTACAAATTTACGCATGATGCCACGGTGGATTGGCTGTAAGTCACCTCATCAACATCACTTTCCCACAGGCTCACAGCTTCTGACATGTAACTACAGGCTTCCCGGGGTTCCGCCTACCTTCAAGAAACTGGAGATGCCTTTCACAGCGGTGGTAAATATTCGAGGTGATCGGCTGTATCACGAGCATATTAGTTGGGACCAGGGTACAGTGCTTGCCCAGCTGGGACTGATGCCGCAGTATCTCCCATTTCCATATCCTGTCAAGGGTCAGAAGGAAGGGTCCCGTTTTGAATTTCGGGTGCCAGTGTTAGGAATTGAGACAGCCAGCAAGATGAGGGATCGGAACTCGGTACCTTCGAATGAGATGTTTGACTACACAGTCCGTGAGGTAGAATAGCTGAGGTGACAGTGGATTAATACTTTATCATGAATAAAGCTTCTAACGCAAGCCTCGGATTCTCTATGATTGCGTGAAGCCTTGGTGAGGTCTATTTCTGGCTGTGACTCAAAGAATCAGTGAGCAGTAACCGATTTAGGGATTCTGCCCTTGCAGGTGATCGCAATCCTTCCCGTCCAGATGTGTCGTCACTATGTCCTTGACTGGTACAAGGCCCCAATTATGATAAGCGCTGTGATCGATCATTCGCTGGTCATTGCTCAAGTAGTTCGCCACCTGCCGGTACATCAAAGCCAAGGAGATCCATGAAACATCGACTCAAAGTCTGGGGTACCTACTTGCACCTCACGCTCCTGGCTTAGCGTCTTTTTACCCCGCATTTTAACCCTGCAAAGGAGGCGAGAATTGGAGCGCTGCTGATACGGTAGATACCCGACCAGCCAGCACATGCTTATCTCCCTGCACCAAAACCCAAACCAGCCCCTGGACCCTCCATGGGTTCTTATCCGACCTACGATTTCCCTTTCTCCAACCACCTCCCGCCCATTGTTTGTTTGGACTTGGATTGATCAACTCCTCAATAATGGCTACCACAGCGACACAGTCTCGAGAGACGGCTCGGGTTCTCAAGCGGTCAGGTAACAATGGCGGAGATACAGGCAAACGCAGAGCACCCTACGTATTGCGCGCGTGCGGTGCTTGCCGACGTCGGAAGGGCAAATGCGACGGACGACAGCCGTGTCGGTATTGCATGGATCGCGGCCAGAGCTGTAGCTACAGCACCAGTTTTGAGTCTGATGGATGGAATGTCGAGGCGGTCCAGCCAAGGCCAAGACAAGATCCTGGAAGAGCCAATTCGTCATCGTCCAGGTAAGATCGCATTTTCCCACGGCGCATCATTGACACTAAAGTAGCAGCAGCAGCAATCAAGAGTCCATGGTCGAATTACTGTCTTCGCTGCAAGACCAGCTAGATAACCTAGCATCGCAAGTTCACATGGCCAACCGCGAACGGTCGAACCCGCCATCCCCCACCTCCAGTGCCGGTGCTGCCAAGTTCCACGATTTCGCGACAAGGCTTAACGAGGCCAGCGCTCACGACGTTCGCAACACTACCGACAGAAGCCTTCGAGGCTGCTCCCCCGGATTCTACGGCCCGACCAGCCCAGATTACACCTTGAACGTAGGACAGCTGAAACTGCGGCGAAACAGCTGTCCCGGCCCACCGTTACAAGAACAGCAGCTCCAGCTCGCCAGTATCGACGAGGACGCCGCGTCCGACACAAATGACGACGAGGCTGCTCAGGATGACCGGCCGTCAGTGTCACCTCGGACGGTGGGCAGACAAGACACGACACCACTATTGACCTTTCGATCTATAATGGGTTTGCAAGAGGCTATCCAGCTTGTGCACATCTATCAGGAGGTCGTCGGAGATCTTCATCCTGTCGTTGACATAGACGCACTCATCAAGCAGGCTCAGTCTTGGTATGCAGACTCTGACTCTGGGTCTACATCCTGTGAGCTTCTGATGATATTCAACCTTGTTCTTGTTATTGCTCTCCGCGCCGACCCAAGGCCAAACCACGGCCACAAGGAGAACCTTCTTCGGGACAGTTTTGAGGACGCAGTCAATGCAAAACTGGCTGCCCCGGCTTACAGCATAAAACACGTCACAATCATATTTCTAAAGGTACAGTATCAAACATCCGGTCACTGACTGACTCGACCTTGGCTAACTCATGTACGGTAGGGATGGTATGACTTCTTCCAAGAGATGCCACGCTCCGCCTGGCGCATGTGTGGAACTGCCGGTCGTATGTTGATGGAACTCGGGTTTCACAACGGCCAGGTGTTTAATCACACATTGACGTCGGATGCCCAGCGCACAGAGGCTTGCATCTTGATTAGTAGCATTGTGATTCTAGATCGCCAGTGGAGCTATGCCACAGGGCTGCCATTACACTTTCATGAAAACAGCTTCAGCTCTATTTCGACGTCTTCTGTGAGTATACATGCTCATTTCTATACCTCTTCCCAACCTAATGCATCATAGGTTCAACATCCATATTTAAAGGCCATGCTCTCTTTTATACTCATCAGCGACCGGTTCGGCGAGCCCATCTCTAGGGCTGCCAAGGGGGAGCGATACACCGATGATGATGCCTTTGAACTGTTGAACTTCCAGATCGACCAGTGGAGGAAAAAGGCTGTTGGGAATTACACTCTATCTGAATACCGTACATGGCACACAAATCCATCCGCCAGGCCACCTACGTGGGCCATTTTGCTGAACCTCCGCGCCGAATCCGTGCGCAGTCAACTACTCAAACCCTTCTTCTTCTCAGAATCCGACATTGAGATAACAAAGAATCACCTCAGAGCCGCAACAGAGCTCGTCTACGATATCTGCCACGTTCTCTACATGCTCGACAACTTCACCGACATCTACCGCAAGCAACACCCCTACTTCCAACACATATTGGCTTGTACATCGGGACTTGCCTTTTTGGTTATAGCATTCCTCAAGCAAAACAAAACCACGGTCTTGGCCAATCTAGAGCCAGATCTAGTCGATTCGCTTGGTGGAAGTTTCCTCATGGCAGAATGCGTCACGTTGAACCATGCTAAACGGTCACGTCCTGCGCGGAGACTGGCAAAGAGGCTAGTGGAGATGAGACGGATTCTTCTAAGTCTTGGCCTTCTCAAAGGCCCAGCTACGGGAGCTAGTGAAGAGGAGACACTGGCTAATACTTCAAAATCGATTCCGAGGGAGAGCTTCATCCCTCAGCCGGAGATGGTGGACCTTCAGTCCCAGTCGGGCTATACGCCACCGATGTATGATGCTAATATTTCTGATGGGTTTGGGTTTAATATTCCGCCCACTCTTGCTGACACAGATGTTATTATGGGATGGACGGATTCGCTTCGTCTCCAGTGGCCCATTGGCGACGTAAGCCACATGTTTTCGGAGAGCAGCTTTTAGGATGTATCAATATCGAGCATTGTAACCTAGACGTTGCCGAAGGCACTATATGAACCTGTCTTGCAGCATTTCTCTACCATGTTACACGGGATTTGGGGTCATGAATAACCACAACGTATGTTCAAGATCCTTCTGTGATAGATTTGTTTGCGATGAATCTTGCCTTGCAGATGCCTGTCCTCCGCACCAACCCAAGATTCACACACGCCCTTGGTCTTCCACGAAAGATAAGGGATCTTGCAGTGGTACAATTGACACTTGTTCCTATGACATGAAGCAGTGCCTCTATCCTTGTCATATCAGATTGAGCAGCTGAGCTTAGTGTAGCCGGGTGCTCTATCCGCGTTGCGGGCCGGTTCCAACCCCTGCAATCGTACATAGCCGGCCTCGGCCCGCAACTGATGCTAGCACTGAGCTGCAACCGCCAAGCGATCGGCTTCGATATCATATAACAAGCATATCGTTTCTTGGCAGCTGATAAGACAGGGAGGGTGGGTTTATTCCTACCTTCTTTAAGGTTATCGTACCTTTCTTTAGTGACTCTTCCGAAAGAAGCCATCAGCCACTATGATAAGAGCACAGTTATTGACACATGCCAGCATCAAAGCTCAATGCTGTAAAAAACCATGACGTAGAGAGTTCCTGCTTGTCATTGAAGTGAGATGCCATAGGAGGAACTAGTAAGTAGGAATGATAGCCTTGGTTAAATTGAGGCTATCAGGGTTGAGCCGAGTCATCTTTGAACTCCATGAGATGAGCAACATGTACAGATAAATTTCAATTCGCTTGAAACAAAACGCCTACTGATTGTCGTAGCTAATCAAGCCATCTATCGTTCCCGCATGAAGACCGCCAGTGATCGGAATATCAGCTGCGGTAGTGTGTCGAGCAGCATCGCTCAGCAAGTAAACCACCGCCCCTGTGAGATCGTTCTGGGTGCTTAGTCGCTGATTAGGCGGCGCAAGCCACATCTGTTCACCCTCCCGCTTGCTCTTCATCGCACGAACATTTCTCGTCATCTCCGAGTCGACAAAGCCAGGCGAGATGGTGTTGACGCGAATATTCTTCGGTGCCAGCTCAACCGCCAATGCTTTAGAAAGCATAAATACACCACCCTTGGAAGCGTTGTATGCGGCCATTCGATAACCCGGAAGACCAATGTGGGCGGATTGAGAGGCTAGTAGGACCATGCTACCGCCAGTGCCTTGCTTGATCATCTGACGAGCTGCCATTTGGGCAACGAAGAATGTTCCTCGGACCTGGTCCTGTCAGCACCATTTCAGTTGGTGAAAGATTAATACGCACGTTGATGTCTTGAATTCGGGTGAACTCGTCCCACGTCTGGTCCAAGAAGGGCTTGTCGATGGCGATTCCAGCAGCGGGCACACAACCATCAATGGTACCAAACTCTTGCAGGACCTTGGCAAAAGCCGCCTTGATGCTGTCCTCGGAAGTAACATCAGTCTGGATGTAGATGGCCTTTGTAGAAAACTTGTCGCTTAGTGTGTTAAACTCTTCCACAGGGTTCTTCTGAATATCCAAGACGGCAACATTGCCCCCCATCTCACAGATGGCGCGGGTGCACGCAAAGCCGATGCCCTGGGCTCCGCCTGTGATTACATAGTTGCGGCCGCGAAGCTCAAACATTGGCCGCACATCATGGAGAACATCGGACGGCATGGTGGACAGAGATTGGAGGTCTAATGAATTGGAATATCTGAGCGGGAAGAGTGCCGGTCAATGGCAAACGGTAGATAAATATATCATGTATTTGTCTCTTCTTCCTTGTTGATGATCACGCGGAGGTGATATGAACCGCCGGCCTCCGGAAAGTGGATCTGGATCCACCTTCCGTCGCTCGGAACGGATCCCTGCCGACACTTTCGGAAGCGTACTATGTAAATGCCATCCACCGATTTTTGTTGGCATGAATGACACAGGCGATTCTTGGCCAAGAGCTACAGATTATCTCGCCAGAATTATACGTATTAATGCCAATTCCATCCACGCTCACTTTCACCAGCGTTCTGCAGATATTCCAGGTTAACCCATATGAACCATGTCCTCCCGTCCGCCCGCCGCATGTTGTGCCACCGGCACCCTTCACCAGTAAGACCTTGCTCGTTTCGTTGAACCGATCTCTTAAACAGAATGCTCATGTATCAAGGGGTACTCCAGTGGGGACCATGGTGAAGATCGATGGCAAGATCGACGGTTATCGAGCCAAGCCTTCCGCCCAGACTCGCACAGCCATCTTGTACATCCCAGACATTGTCGGCATCTGGCAGAATAGCAAGCTCATGGCAGATGCATTCGCTGAGCAGGGTTATGTCTGCCTCGTTGTTGACATATTCAACGGGGATCCAGCGCCTTTAAACATGCCCGATGGTTTCGACATAATGGGATGGTTGACTAAAGGGTCTCAGGGGGACAAGTTGTTGGCCAGGTTGGCGATTCTTTCAGTGAGCATTCCTGACATTCTATCCATTCTTTTACAGTGTTAGCCATATTAGGGTGAGTATGTATCAATGTACTTACTCGCGGCGCATGTCTTCGATCTCAATTCTGAGCTTTTTGAGCTCATCATTGGCGTCGCCCAGTTTCTTCTCCAGAACATCCACTCGAGTGTTGAGGCTCGGTTCTTGCGCGCGGCGATGTCTCTCAGCAAAGCTTTCCCGCAATTGCTTGCGCTTTTCCTCGTCCCAATCACGAAACTTGGCATAGACAGCCCAGGCAAGTCCCATCGCTCCGATGATCACTGACAAGGTGCCCTGGCTGTTGGTCCATGCGGTGAAGGCGACTGTCAGCTCTCTTTCCATGGTGAATAGGAGGGCTCGTAGGTATTGTGGTATGGGATGGAGATGGGATGGGAATGGGATGGGAATGGGATGGGAATGGGATGGGGATGGGATGGGAATGGGAAGAGGATGGGAAGGCAAGGCAAAAGAAAATTGGCCCAAGGTAAGGAGAGTTAACTGAGCATCACCGCGAAGGAAGGAATCTCGTGTCTGGCTGTGGAGGAGCGGTACACCGTTGGCCCCTTCCCTTGGTTGTGGCATGGTTCAAGAGTCATCCTTCTTTCGTGGAGGAACAGGAGCTATCTGCTGTTGTTGGCCCACTGTCAATTGCTGCTGCCGAGCATGATGATATTTTTCCTGTGGAGAAACGCCACGAGAGTGAAGCTATTCTGTCCAAGTCCAAGAATGAGTGGCAGATCAACCTGTTTTCCGGAGTACATCACGGCTTTGCTGTTAGGGGGGATATGAGCGACAGTAAGCAACGGTTTGCGAAAGAACAAGCTTTCAATCAAGCAGTGGCATGGTTCAAGAGTCATCTTGACCGTAGTTGAGAATTTTCTACTAGCGAGCAAAGTACCAGGAGCAAGCCCTGAACTCTTACCCTGAGGTGTCTGCCAGTATTCTAGCTGCAATTAGTTTGCCCGACAGCTAAGAAGAAGACCACATACTAATGATGAATGGTTTCTGAAGAAGGGCGACGTTCTGGGAGAATATTTGAGAACTGAAAGATGCTTGGTGATTATCTTGTACAATTACGACAAGAGGCCAATGCCACATCAGCAAAGACATAGGTATTAATGTATAAGGACATAAAAAGCAATGCCGGCAAACACCATAAAATAGCGTCATCTTTCGCTCCCGTCTTTGTTTTGCATCAAACAATTGTCGCGGAGCAAGGCGCGTGCCAAATCACTGCAGGGTAAAAGATGCAGATAGACTACCGACAAGATCTGGACAGGTATGTGCGGTCGTAAAAAAAAAAACACAGGAAATCAAGACCCTAATTCTTATGGCAAAAGCAGTTAATTAAAAGCCTAAGGATTATCAGAAAATCATCATAAGTAATTTGACACTCTTAGAGGGTAATTAGGCTTGAGTTTCTCTTATTCTCCCTTCATGGTTGAAGATTCAGAGCTTGGCCCTTTGGTTATGGGCCCGGTTGCCATCGCTTCGTGTGTATTGATAGGGAGCAATGTACCAAAGGCTGTTTTGAAATCCATGGTAGGCAAGGGATGCAGACAGCCAGCAGAGATACAATGAGTGAAAGGCCCCTTCCCTTGGTTGTCTTCATTTGCCAGGATGACAGGAGCGACGGCACCTATGATTGCCACATAGGTATGGATTCATGTTATCTTGGCAGGTACCTGCAGTAGGTATTGGGAGATCGTATTCAACTTGTGGCAGTTTCAAGTAGAGTTATATTGATTGATAAGTCCACTCATAAGAACGGATTTTTTCCTTTACGATCTCATCTAATACCCTTATCCCACTCTCATATCTATGGCGGCCCACATGTCCGCCCTCGTAACCGCAGGCGATCGAAACCAGGGTATAGAATTTGATCAGCTCACGTGTCGTAGCACAGGACCGATCACTGCACCATGTTATATGCTTCGTCTCTGGGTCCGTAAAGTGGCCATAACTTTCTGGGTCAAGGTTTTCGATCCAATCTCTTGGCAATAGTGTTCGTGGATCTTTGCCTTGAGGTATACAGCGGGATGATTCGATGATTTCGTTCTGTAAGTCGCACTTAAAGAAGGATCCATTAATCTTTAGACATTTGCGGTTTTTTCTGCCATCTCCGAAGGTATCGTCTTTGAAATACCCCAATCGAAAAAGGCGGCCAGGCGTGACCTGAAGTGCAGCACAGAATAGGTATGGGCAAGACCCATATAACTGTGCGGCTTTCGAGATACTGCGATCCCAAAAGGTGTTCCCAGGCAATGTATGCTGGATGGGTGCTCTCCACTTGACCCAGACATGATTCAAATTTGGATCATCAAACCATCCAGGGTCATAGGTGACGGTCACGTTAGTACACGGACATGTACTCAGCGGGCAGCTGAGTTTTATTTCCTGGTTCGCAGCTTTCCACGCCTCAATGTCTGACAGGCTGAGCTTTAAGTGACAGCAGACGGCGTAATGACCCTGGTGGCCAATACAGAGTCTAGTTGACGGCTCAGCGTTGCGATAAGAGTGAGAAAAAAGTATGGCCGGGTGTTGGGTTTGGCAGCCAGCGCAATATAAGCGGTCAATCAGCCTTGCAACTCGTTCGTTGTACTCATTGGACAATCTGGCTTGCTTGCATGCCCTGCAATAAAAGAAAGGGAGTGGGGGTTCATTCATATCCTCTTCAAGTTGATTCGATGGGGACGGCGTCGTGATCCCAGGCTTCTTTTCGGCTCGGTAAGGAGAGGAGGTAAAATCTGGTGGGCAACTGACGCTTGATTTACTTCCTGATGATGTTGTTTGCTGAAGGAGCGGTTGCTGGTCGTCATTTTGGGAATCAAGAGCCGTTAAGAAGTAGCGAAGCCAGCGTAGTCGCCGGTGCAGCCATGACTGTACTGGGGGCGCCATTTTTCTTGAAGTTGAGAGTAAGTTGAATGGTAATGGAATCAAATCAACTTGACTTGGAAGGATGGTGGCTTATTCATAGTATATGAGTTTCTCGCCTGCAAGTGACGTGGCATGAGGAGGAAAGTATGCATACAAGGTTCAAGACTGCATACGCCGTATTATGCTTGGAGCGCCACGAAGTCAAGTTAGATTTAAACTATTATTGTCTGCAATGATGACAAAAGGCCGTCAGCCACAAAGGCCACAAAAACTAAAGTCATTAATACATAATGACATAAAATCCTGAGCATGGTAGTTGGACTTAATCGGTCACTTTAACAATTCCGAAGTAATCTGCATAGCTGCACTTGCTTAGCCCCAATAGTTGCTATATTCATGCCTCCACGTCAAGAGCTTTAAGCCACGCCATTGTCTCTTTCTTCGTTTTTTCTCGTACAGAGGTTAGAGCAGTTAAAATACCCATAAGAGGTTAGACTTTCATGATGATGTGGCTAGGTATGACTCTTCTGCTACTGCAGAAGTTTAAATAGGCCACTGTGTTAACATTAGGTTATGATGTTACAATGTGTTGAAGATCTGTTCTTTATTATAGTTGCAGCCCGGCCCTTGATGGGTTAACTGAGCCCGAAGATCGTCTCTTTCTTCCAGCAACGCTTATAGATTAGACAATATCTCAAGTATATTCTTTGGTCGGAAAAGACACGTGGGTTCTATGATCTAATTTCCAGCCTGAGATACCTACAGTAGGCGCAATGCAGAGCCCCGATCCCATCATCAGCCAGGTAGTGGATCTTTTTCTTTGAGGCTCGCGACCAGACTCTAACGTTTCCGAAAGAGGTGGGCCCTTGGCATAGATCAGGCTGTGACTGTTGAGGGACAAGGTACCTGCTGCCACATGACCAATAGTGCTTACCCCCTGAGGACTCTGAGATAAGAAAATGCCTCAAAATAAACTTAAGCGAGGGATTTAGAAGAACTTTAAGCATACAACTCAGAACTGCTCCGACCAGCAACCAGCCTTACTGAACATCTATCGTTGTTATACAGTTATTATGTTTTCAAGGAAGCACTTTTCATCAGGATTGCAGAGGGGTGATTGGACTGGCTATCCCTATTTCAATGGTTGTGTCTTCCTTGCCTTTGAGGCATATGAAAGGAATGGCTGCTATGGTCCACATGTAGTTGAGCTCCCTACTCTTCTCGAACATGTCCGTACATGTGTTGGCTGCTTGATCTTTCGTCGCGCCATCGAGAATCTTACGCCTCACTTGCTCCAAGAAGGCCGATACCAAAGCTGCATCCTTTGTATGACGGGTGGCTATGACCCTGACAACCAATGGAATGGTATATTGACCGTCCGGATTATCGAAAATGAGATGGACGATGGAAGCAAGAAGTTTCAGCTCTTTCGCAGATCGACGGGTAGGTATTCTGTCCTTACGTATGTTTGTGTGAAGAAAGATTCTAAATATGCCGTCAGTTGAGCCATTTTTTGAAGAAAACTATGACTACAGCGGGGAAAAACGCAACAGGTTTGCCCAGTCTCTCCATGTGGTCGAGGATTCCTCATCTCAGGCTGCTTTTGATCGGGCCGCAAAGTGGCTAGCTCATTGCGTCGAGAATGACAAGGCCTGCGATCCCCCAGATGACGAATTCATGCCAATGCACCTCATCAATGTAGGATCGGCCTCCCAGTCACCTTTTCTATTCAGGACCACCGGGACTCGCCAGCCTTATGCTTGTTTAAGCTACTGCTGGGGACCTGGCTCGGATGCCATCCTGAAGACGACAACGTCAAACATCGAGGACCATTACCAGAAGATCCCAGAGTTTGCAATGCCCGAGGCTATTCGAGACGCGGTTAGGGTGTGCCGGGGACTCAAGATCCCGTTTCTCTGGGTTGACTCCCTTTGTTTAGTTCAGGATGACACCGAGGCTTGGCTCACAGGCGCAGCACAAATGTCCCAAATCTACCTTAATTCGCACCTTACGATTGCAGCGCTAGAACCAGGAACATGCCGGGCTTCTTTCCTAGGCCCGCAGAAGTTTGGTGATAGAAATTGGCAACGGCTTGTGAGGCCCGTGGCCCTTGATGAGGCTGCTGATCAGGGACATGACCTGCTCATTCGACCTAACTCCGATGCGTCGCCAAGGGATTCACCGTACTCTCTTGACAAACGAGCATGGTGTCTGCAGGAAAGCATGCTGCCAAACAGAAGACTGTGCTTTGACGGAAACGAAATGATATGGGAATGCCTATGTCGGCAGCTCTGTGAATGCGGTCACACCATTCGCAAACCACTCACAATCCGTCATGTGGAGAATGGGGCGGCTCTTAAGGTGAATCGCCTCAAGGCCACTCCTATACTCTCTGATCCTAGACCTCATTCGTTCGGAAGGGATCACGTAAGCGAATACTCTGCCACATGGGGTCATATTCACGAGATGAGGACCACGTGGAGACGACTAGTCGGGGTGTATTCCCGTCGACAAATGACGAGAGGAGATGACAAGCTCAGAGCCATTGCGGGTCTGGCAAAGATCTTCGCAGAAAGGTTCCAAAATGAGGGAGCCACAAATAACAATGACGAGTACCTGGCTGGATTGTGGAAGCATGAGGTTCATCTTGATCTGTCCTGGGCCGTCACGAGCCTACCGTCCGAGCTGGAAGATACGGCCTCGAGATCTGGCAGCGAGGGGCCCCGGTGGAACGTGCCGACTTGGTCGTGGGCGTCTACTCCAGGGCACATTGCGTACGACTCTGAACAGGCGCGTGTTTCCTGGAAGTACACGCCTCAAGCTACAGATGCCTGCCAACTCGTGGAAGCACACTGTGAGAGGGAAAACGCACACGATGAAATGAGTGCCGTTATCCAGGGTCGCCTGTCCTTGCGAGGGGCTCTCGTACAGGTTGAGCTCCTCGCTGAGGTAGAGAGCACTGAGACTTTGGGTGTACCACACCATTTCGAAATGAGAATCACTCGTGACCAGGGCTGTGCTGACCGTGTCGCATGGGCAAGATCTAGCAATGAAAAGGTCAACAGGGTTCTACTCGATCACCAGAAGCATCAAGTTGGGTTGCAGGAGGGGGCTTCTAGGGAGCCTGTAGTCGGGGCGGCAGGGGAATACTACTGTTTTCGTATTTTCAGCTGGGTGGCGGACACAGGAAAGGTTTATGGTGGAGAGAGGCAGTTCATGGGCCCGGAAACCTGGTTCTTGGTCTTAAAGAAGTCCCAGAGGGTCAAGGGCGCGATGGAGAGAATTGGCATTGGCAGCGCTGAGACAAGCGATTCTGAGCCGTGTCCAGTTTTCGAGGAGTATGAGAAGACAACTATCAGTATTGTATAGGAAAAGCTAGTCTCGGAAGTGGCGAGTTGAAACATCATAGAGAAACCACTAGTACTTTACCCTCAATCCTGTTCTCTCTCGGAGAGTTCATAAAACTTTGAGTATTTCCTTATTGGCCCTTATGTACTCTCTACCTGGATAAAGGCTCTCCTTGAATTTGTGGACTGCAGTTAGACTTCCCACGGCCCAGTTCCAGCGGATGTGGCAGTTGTGGAGAGTTACCAGGCTCTCAAGCCAGTCCAGACTTATTTATACAGCTATAGAGTGGCGATTGAGGATTTTTGAATGCTCATGAAGGTCTTGTCTAATCCTCACTGAGGATTGACGAACTGTTGAGCAGCATTATAAGGCCCAATTGCCTCTGCAAATAGCAGAAGGTATCTTCTACTTTTGCTTTGGCATAGTGGTCTATTGTGTTTCACACGAACACTAATGGAGTTTGTGACTTGGAAATACAAACGAAGATGGCTTTCTTTAGAGGACCTAACAATGTCCTGAAATACGCATCAGCTACCTAGCCCCTCGCTGAGTTAAGAGCACCGTCTGTATGGTATGGCACGGCAGGTGGCTCATAGACAACGACATTGGATTCAGTAGGTAAACAAAAATACAATCTGCAAGACCTCGAGTGGCGTTGTAATATCCAATCACAAGCCTAAGTCAAGCTGCCGTATTATCTCTCATTTACACTGCTTCTAGCTTCTGATTACCAGCTAGGTGCTCTCAAAATAGTGGTTTACCACTGGATCGTTTGTGTCGTTGCCATAGGCGCTGCCACCATATTGAAGATAACCTTGTGTGAATGGCACCATAGGAAACTTGCTCAAAATAGCGGGAGCGTCCCCGAATACCCAAACCGTGGCCATACCCATGACCGCGTGCTGAGCAACGTGGCAATGCATCATCCAGGCGCCAACGTTTTCTTCAGTGACACGGATCCTCCATGCCCTCCAACCGGCTGTAGTATGCGGCACGCCTTTCGTTGCATACCTATAAAGAATCGTGGTGTCTCGACGGACCGGTGTGAAATCTTTAAAGTGCTCTTCGTTTCGTTGAGCATCGTACGTTCCATTGCCGGACCCCAGATCCCAGAAGTGCTGTCCATGGATATGCATTGGGTGAAAGTCCCAGCCCCCAGTTGGTCCGTTATTGTTCTCCCATACAATGTCAAGAACCTCGCCGACTTTGGCTGGGAAGGCCTTTGTCTCGGGATCGAAGCCATTGTGCTCTAAAGCGAGTGTATAATTCGGCGTCCGGCCAGTATTGTAGACGTTGATCAGGTATGGAACTTGATTCTCCGCAGCCTGGACACTCTCCTTCCATGGAAGCCCGTTCTGTCTGATCTCTCATGTTAGCAGTGTAAGCAAGTGTTTTGATGCTGGGGAATTGACTCACGCCCAGGCCACGGTGCCGTTCAACGTCCCATTTTCATAGCTCCCAGTTGTGAGGATCTGGTTGATCTGGATAGTAACTGTCCTTGTTACCTCGGATAAGCAGGGAAATGCTTCGTCTTTGTTGTCGGTCAGGCCTTCAAGAGTGTATTCAAGATAATCATTGGTCGTCTCGGGCAAGGTGATGGGTGGGGAGTTTGGTAGCGAAGATGGCAAACTCTGTGACTGGTCACATCGGTATCTCAACAAGGCGTAGCCAGCAATCTCTTGTGGCCTGTCGCGGCTTTCGTATCGAATCCAGAATTGCGATTTGCCACTTTTGCAAACGTCCTTGGCAGGCTTTGTCTTGAAGAGGTAGCTGAAACGTTGACCAGAGGATACCTGCGAATGGTCGACCGTAACCCTTTTGGTGTACGCACCATCGGCCTCGATCACCTGGAGTTCTTCGTGATGCTCAATTCCAATTTTTACCAGGGACAAGGCAGTTGCACTTATGACTCGGACACGATAAGTCTTGCCTGGTTCCACCTCAACCACATGCGGAGCGCACGTCAGATCAGGGGCCGCGTTGAAACTCCGATTGCCGCTATTGCCTTGAAATATGATTGCCGATGGCTCCCCAGACCACTTGAATGGGTCTGCAAGGATACCAGCCTCGATTTTGTCATCTTGTTCGACATAATGATCTCCCAGTATCAGAGTGATGTCGTCATCATAGCGGTAGGGCGGCTTTTTGGCATCGTAAACAATTAAAGCCCCATGGGCCGTCAACTGTTGGAAGCCAACATGTGAGTGATAGAAATACGATCCGGCATCGCCATGTTCTGGCCTCAACTCATAATCGAAAAAGTGCTCGGGCGGGATCGGCCACTGGCTGACCAGGGGAGTTCCATCAGCGAAAGGCGCTGTCCTTTGGCTCAGCCCATGCCAATGCTATCGTTGTCAGTTGGCAGATCCAGACACTGCTGCAGGTCTACATACCACCGTAACGTTCTTGTGTGCCATACGATTGTAGACTCGAATCCATGTTGTTTGTCCTTCCCGGAGGTTAAGAGTTGGCCCTGGGTAGGTCCCATTGAAGACGACGGAAAGTCTTGGTTTGCAATCGATCTGGATTTCTTCCAGAGTGGCCTCCAGTACATAGTCGGGCACAAGGTTGCTATCGTGAACCAGGTACCCAGCTAGAGCCCCAGTGAGAAATGGCAAGAGGGCCAAGATATTGGATAGCATCGTGAAGTTGTTAGTGTTATGTTTGAGCGCAGATTCCACATGGACATGAGACGCGGACGATACTGGTGTAAATAAAGGTCGATGCTGTGGACGGTAAGAGCCAGGCCAATCATCTCAAGGGGACTGAGACAAAAGAGGCTGGAGTTGCAGATGACGTCAAGGCGTAAGCGCAAGGCGACCTGAGACTGGATGAGAGTGTGTGAGGTCGTATTTAAGCCATTGATCAATTTCCGGTCAATCCGGCCTTGAACTCTCTTCACGCCCTAGACCAGCTCCATGACTATCACTTGTGCCAACTTGCATGTTTCTGGTTATTTTCGTCGAAATGCAGTGGCTTTTCTCATCACTTAATGCCAAAGAAGCGAAACCAGCCGCCGTAGGATGTCACTTTGCCGATCCATGTCAGCACTAGTCTTTGCAGCTCCCGCCTAAAGCTCACTGCCTTGGAGAATAGTGGCTTGGGTCAACGGCGGGTGGCGTGGCCGTTGGTGATCGTCAATTCGATGTTGTCCACAGCCAGGCCCACAGCAACCCTGAACGAGTATCATAAGGAACGAAGCGAGTGGAATCGAAGGGTTTGGTTGGAATGGCGAGAGAAAATGAGAGATAAGCAATGTCTCAGCCTGTAGTAAGTAGATCATTATGCGATAGCCCTCCCACCACTGAATGAAACGACTGTTTTGACCCTATCCAATCCCAAAGCTGACCCAGTATTTAAGGGACAGCATGAGGTATTGAGTAATTTGCAGAGTTTAACATGGTTGAATTAGGAGACTATACCCCTCCTGGGAGCCAGTCTATTCAGCATGCTTATCGCCAGAACGGTGGTTTGGACATGCTCGGATTACACAGATGATGAGCCAGCCTTTACTTAATATGCCCCTCGAGTTAGTGACCTGCGTACCTCTCAAGTAAGAGTCTCAACAAGAAAAAATCCCGTCAAGGCCCTGGTCTCTCTGCCGCATCCAAGTACAGTAGTGAGCACATTGGCAATCAGTTGGGCGTCAGTAAACATAACAGGAGCCTAACTTACCGAGATTTAGGTCAGAATCAACGATGGCGTGAAAATGGTGTAACAACTATGCGCCCAAGTTTTCTCGAGGTGTTTCTCTCGTGTAGTTCCAGATTGGATCTTGGACACGGCCGTTCTATGAGCGGAAAAAGCAAGGAACTTGGAAGGAGAGCCGCCAACGTCGATTACCAATCAAGTAGTAAGGCGTTCCATTGCTTCTGCTCTGTTTACAAGCGTTGTGAACCCGAAAGTCAGGGCCGCCCAGTAGCGAAAGAATCCGTGAGAAGGTTAAGAGCGGAGTGGAAAAATATAGCTAATTATATATGATGAAGCAGACAAAACATCATTCCACCAACGCTGCTACTAGGCTCATCTACGAAAACCCAAGCATACCGTCCCATTTCCGTTTTCATAGCCCAGCCCTTGCCTGCCTTTAGGCTGAACTACTGCTGAGTTGCTGCTAAGCGAGGACTGAGGTGCAGGCGCCCACTTTTGGCATCAACCTCGTCCTATGATCTGATATCACCAAATATCACAGTTGTGCCATCGGTCTAATCGCTGACCTGAGAGGAGCTCTTGTGTTCAATCCTAGTTAGACTGAAGAGGTAAAAATTACTCTATCTGCAAAAGAGGAGGTTTCAAATGGCTGCAACCCGAAATGGCGAGACAGGTAAGAGATTAAGATTTCCCACTCAGTTCTTCCCACTCAGTTCAGCTTTCTTCAACAGTTTGTTCGCGATGATCACTTCCCGTTTAGGATCAATATCAAGTAATAAATGCCATTTACTCAGGGGATTAGGTAAGTAATACGCAACCCCTCTGTTCATCACAGAGGGGGCATCACAACCTATAACTCGGTCACTGCTATAACCGCCTTAGCTACCTTAAAAGCTATATAACTTATTATATAAGAGAAAAGAAAATATATAAAAATAGGATATATATAAATAAGAATATAAGTTATTATTTAATTTAAGTTTTAGAATTTTATATATTTTATTTAAAGTATAAATAATTATTTAATAAAATATATATAAAAACCTAATAGAAATTAAAAGATTTTAGAATTAGATATATAATTAGGGAAAAAAGGTATAAGAAAAAAGGAAGGGGTTTAATAATATATATATTTTATACTATATAAGTTTTATAACGATCGTAAGGTTCCTAAGGGATAAACCGGTCATACTAGGTTTATATTAGTAAAAGAGAATATTACGTAGCCTTAAAGGGGTATTATAAGTTATATCTAGTAATATACTTAAAGGAGTTAAGTATAACTAAGTTATATTAATAGCTAAGGTAATTAATATATAAGAAGGTATAGTATATATATATTATATACTCTAGTGGTCCCTAACTCGAATATACTTAGTTTAAGTTAAATTAACTTAGTTTAACTTATAGTATTATATAAAGTTAAACTATCTCTATTTAACTTATAGGCTTATAATTATATAAGTTAATTTTACCTTAGCTTACCGCCTAGGCCTATATTATAACTATAATATAAGGCTCCTCCTTTATTAGGCTTATCCTTAAGGCTAGATTTTATAACCTAGTTCCTTTAATATATAACTTAAACTTATAATTATTTTTCTAGCTAATATAATATTAGGTTAAATCGAAAAATTATCTTTTTGCCCTCGCCTTATAATAGAATATTATAATAATCTTACCTATTTAATTAATAAGTTTAACTTTAAGATACCTTAATATTCTATATACTTTTATACTAATTAGTATCCTTATATTATTATAATAGGAAAATATTATTATAATTTTTATATTAAGAAGAAATATATTAACTATAACTTTAGGGGTATATCCTCTTAAGTATATAAGTTATTTTCTTTATTCTTATACTAGTTTATAGCTAATATATAATAGTTACTTAGGTATCTTATAAGAAAGATTATCTTAAAGAATAAAAAAAGTAAGCTAAGGTAGACCTCCTAGAAGCCTTAGCTTATTTATAGCGGCTTTATTATTAAGAGAAAAATCTCTATAAGAAGGCTACTAAAATAATTTATTAAGGGTATAAAAACCTTAATAAGCTTAATAAGGCTAAGTATTATAATAAGGAAGCTTATTAAGTATCTAAGTTATAGGCATTATCTAAGATCTAGCTTTTAGAGGATCATAGGGTTATTAATTAAAATACTATTCCTAAATTTATTTTATTTTCTCTTAGTATTATTAATAGAAATTCTTTAGGAGATATTATAAGCTAATAAGATATTCTAGGGGTTCTTATATATTTTCTAAGTTAAGGTAATTTTTTTATTTAATAAAATATATTATTTTATTATTAATTTTATCTATATTAAGGATAGCTTCTATAATATATTCTTAGAGTCTATTAACTTCTATATTAGGTTTATTACTTATTTTTACTTAAATAATATCTTATATTAATTTAAGTAATAAAATATAAAAGATTAAATAAAGCTTAACCTTAGGTAATAAGTCTAATTTATAATTATATTTTAAGATTTTCTTTTTAATTTTATAGGGTCTAATATATTTATAGTTAAGTTTTTTATTTTATTATTTTATTTTAATATTTTTTATTATAAGATAGATTATATCTCCCTCTAAGAAAGTTAATCCCTTAATTTATTTCTTATTAATATAATTTATTATTTTATTCTTAATAAATTTAAGTTCTATATATATTTCTTTATATAGGTTATATAGCTAATTATTAATAAGGATTACCTTAAGGTTAATAATAATATTTTATAATTATTAATATATATCTAGTATAAATCTAAAATTAGTATAGGCTAATATAGTCTTTATGCTTTTATTTATAGCTATATTATAGGCTAGCTAGGTAGCTAATAATTTTTTAACCTAATTAGTCTATTTATAGTTAATATAATATTAAAGGTATTATTCTAATATCTAGTTTATATATTCTATTTATTTATTAGTCTCTTTATAATATATAATAAAGAGCTTATAATTAATCCCTAAATATCTTATAAGGCTTTACTAAAACTTAGATATAAATAATAGCCCTTAATTAATAATAATTTTAAGTAATATATTATATATCTTAGTAATATAAAAATAGAAAAAATAAGTAAATTCTTTAGCTATTATTAATTCTCTATAGGGTAAAAAATAAGAAAATTTTATAAATCTATTTATAATAATAAGGATATTATTATAGAAGTTTCTAGTAATTAATTCTTTTAATAGGGGTAATTTAATAATAAAATCTATAATAATAATTTCCTATAATAGCCGAGGTATTAATAAGGGTTATAATTTATTATATAATTTATAATATTATGCCTTAGTTTTATATAAAAGTTATATTAATTAATAATTATTATAATAATTTTTTTTATATTAAGAAAAATATATATTATTTTAATTTATTTTAGGGTTTTATTAATTCCTTAATATCTATAGAGTTAATAATTATATATTTTATATATAAAGTTATATTATAAGTTCTATAGTATTTATTACTTATTTAATTTTTTATTATCTAAGAGCTATTTATTATATTCTAAGATCTTAATAAGTAATAAATTACCTTATTCTATTATATAAGTTATTTTAATAATAAGGTATAATATTTTAATAACCTTACTTTATTTATAAATAATTAGTTCTATCTATATATATGCGATAGTTTATTATTAGAGATATTTATTAGTAATAAAATATAATAGCTATTCCTTAGTTTAG